AAAGTAGAATAGTGGTGCCAGGGGAAAGGGTGGGGTGGAGGGGGGTGGGCAATTAGTGTTTGATGGGTATAGTTTTGGTTTTACAAGACAAAAAGAATTCTGGAATGGATGGTGTTGATGGATGTATAACATTATGAATGTATTTCATACCACTGAACTGTATACTTAAAAATGGTTAGATGGTAAGTTTTATGTTATGTGTACTTTATTTACTACAATAAAATAATGAGAGAAAATTTTTAAAGTTCCTCAAGATATTAACTTATTTTTTCACCTGGTGATTTGTAGGTAAACCAATAGTCTTTCTCTTTTTGTTTGAAGAATCCCATATAACATAGGTTTTTTAGGGAGTGCCCTTTTTTATTTTGAAACAATTCAAAGCTACCCAAAATCTGAAAAAAATGTAATACAATGAATTTTTGTATATCCATATGTATATATTTTTCCTGAATCATTTGGAAGTAAGAAAGACACGACAGTTTACTCCTAAATACTTCTAACTGTATCTCCTAAAGTCAAAGGTATTTCCTTGATATCATCATCCCATCCAGGAAATTTAATACTGATTCAATATCATATAATACACAAGTTTATTTTCAAACTTCCCTGTCTATAAAAATATGTGTTAAAGTGTGTGTATTACAATCCAAGATCCAGCTGAGGTTCATGTATTGCATTTGGTGTTCCTGTTCCTTTTTTTAAATTTATTTTACTTACTTTTTATTTAATATATTTTGTTGATTATGCTATTACAATTGTCCCATTTTTTTCCTCCCTTTTATTGCTCTCTGCCCTGTACCTCCCTCCCACCAGCATTGCCCCACCTTAGTTCATGTCCATGGGTCATGTAAGTTCCTTGGCTTTGCCATTTCCCATACTATTCTTAACCTCCCCCTGTCTATTTTGTACCTACCACTTAATGCTTCTTATTCCTTGTACCTTCCCTTTATTCTCCCTCCTCCCCACTGAAAAGCTTACATGTGATCTCCATTTCTGTGATTCTGTTCCTGTTCTAGTTGTTTGCCCAGTTTGTTGTTTGTTTAGGGTCAGTTGTTGATATTTGTGAATTTGTTTTTACTGTTCACATTTTTAACCATCTTTTTCTTAGATGTGAGTCCCTTTAACACTTCATATAAGGGCTTGGTGTTGATGAACTCCTTTAACTTGACATTATTTGGGAAGCACCTTATCTGCCCTTCCATTCTAAATGATAGCTTTGCTGGGTAGAGCAATCTTGGATGTAGGTCCTTGCCTTTCATGACTTGGAATACTTCTTTCCGGCCCCTTCTTGCCTGCAAGCTTTTTTTTTTTTTTTTTTTAAAGAAATCAGCTCATAGTCTTGTGGGAACTCCTTTGTAGGTAACTGTCTCCTTTTCTCTTGCTGCTTTTAAGATTCTCTCCTCTTTAATCTTGGGTAATGTAATGATGATGTGCCTTGGTGTGTGCTTCCTCGGGCCCAACTTTTTTGGGATTCTCTGAGCTTCCTGGACTTCGTGGAAGTCTATTTATTTTCTTTGCCAGATTTGGGAAGTTCTTCATTATATTTTCAAATAAAAGTTTTCCATTTCTTGCTCTTCCTCTTCTCCTGGCACCCTTATGATTTGGATGTTGGAGCATTTAAAGTTGTCCTGGAGATTCCTTAGCCTGTCCTCTTTTTTTTTTTTTTTTTATTCTTGTTTCTTCATTCTGTTCTGGTTGAATATTTATTTCTTCCTTCTACTCCAAACCGTTGATTCGAGTCCTAGTTTCCTTCCCTTCACTGTTGGTTACTTGCACGTTTTTCTTTAATTCACTTTGCATAGCCTTTACTTCTTCCTCTATTTTGCAACCTTACTAAATCATTTCTGTGAGCATCCTGATTACTAGTGTTTTGAACTGTGCATCTGGTAAGTTCGTTATCTCTTCACTGCTTAATAGTATTTTTTTTGGAGCTTTAATCTGTTCTTTCATTTGGGCCATATTTTTTTTTGTCTCTTCATGCCTGCTACAATGTAAGAGGTGGAGCCTTAGTTATTCACCAGGGTGGGACAACCCATGTGGCCATGTTGTGGTGCTGTCTGTGGGGGAGGGGTCAGAGAGGGAACAATGCCACTTGCTCACTTCTGCGCCTGCTTTCAGTCACTTCTCCCATAAACAAATTTGGCCCTTCTGGTGCTGATTCTTGGGTTGGTGGTTTTGTGTTTGTTCTAGGACCCTGTGGGTCCCTCCAGCAGACTCTTCTGACACTGGGAGTTTCTCCTGCTCCCTCATCTCCTACAGGTTTTATAACGAGATGTTTTGAGGCTTTATTTCACTTCTCTGGAACCCTGGGTTGTGCATTCTGTCTCAATCCCCAATTGTTCCTCTAGGTTTATCTGCATGCAAATGTGGAACCGCCTGGTCTACCAGCTGCCACCTTGCCTGCCTCTGTCCTCCAGCCACCGTCTTGCTGCAAATCCCCTCTGCCCCAGCTGCCTGTCTCTGCCCCTCCAGGAACTGGTCCGGATGACTGTTTCTTCTTTAACTCCTTGGTTATTGCACTTCTATATAGTTCAAGTTTCTGGCACTTCTGGTTATTTTTTGTTTTTAGATTTGTTGTCCTTTTGATTGTGTGAGGTGGCAAAGTGTATGTATCTTCGCCTCCATCTTTCCGGGAACTGTTTTCATGTTTCTTTGATCTTTCATTACATTGTTATTTTTCAAGAGTCTAGGTCCCATTCTCACTAGATGGCTTGTTTCCCAAGATTAGAATTTAAACTCAACATTTTGGATAAGAATGCTATAAAAGTGGCATTGTGTACTTCTCTTGCCTCATATCGGTAGACATAACATGTCAATTTGTTCTATTAATGGTAACATTGGAGTTTAATAAATTTAGTTAATGTGATGCTTTCTACTTCTTTCTCTTTCTTTTTAATAGGGATCTAGGGTGACACTTGGGATTGTGTGAATATTCTGTCTTCCATCCACCTTTCACTCAATTGTTTTAACGTTTATTAATGACCCTTGCCTGATTCCATTACTACATCTGGGGTGCAGTATAGTGATTTTCTAATTGTTATTTCTTCTGCATTTACTGACTGGCTCACGCGCTCATGCACAGGCGCGCATGTTTTCTCTCTCTGTGTCTCTCTTTCTCTCTCGGTTAATAAGGGCTTTCTCTTTTTCTCTCTCCCTTCTTTCTGTATCACTGTGGACTTGTGGAGTCTTTTCATACTAAGAACAGGCTATATTCTTTTTCTGTTATTCTTATTAGTCGGTGGGAATCTGTGTCCTTTTGAAATGACCCCATTGGTCTTTGAATGCTCAGTGCTTTCTGGCACAAGGTATTCCAGGCTCCCCTGTACTTTCCTTGTTCCAAACCTGTCATTAGTCATTTTCTCAAGGGATGTTGGTTCCTTTTAGGGGGAATGGTATTTAGAAACCAAGATCTGGGTGCTAGGTATACTTCAAAAATAAACTTTCAAAACAGATTGCCTGTAATTTTGATAGTCTGTTCGTACTGTTTAAGAAGATTTCCTGTCCTGGCTGGTGTGGCTCACTGGTTGGGTGCTTGCCTTGGGTGCAGTGACCCAAAAGGTCACTGGTTCCATTCTTGGTCTTGGGCACGTGCCTGGATTGTGGGCCAGGTCCCTGGTAGGGGGTGTGCGAAAGGCTTCCACACATAGATGTTTCTCTCCCTTTTTTTCTCCCTCCTTTCCCCTCTCTGAAAAATAAATAAAATCTTTAAAAAAAGAAGAAGACTTCCTTATGTGTTTTGAAATGGTTCATCATTTCGTCCTGTGTATATATTCTTAAAATATCTTCTGAAGTATAAATCTGTTGATACTTCTCTTTTTTACTCTAATCTTCACCCAAGGACATACTCACTGACTTTAGAAAGAGAGGAAGACAGGGAGGGAAACATTAACGTGAGAGAAACATCAATCAGTTGTGTCTCATACACTCCCTGACAACATGGAGACTGAACCCACAACCTAGACTGGTTGTGCCTCGACTGGGAATTGAACTCGAGACCTTTTGGTCCATGGGATGATGCTCCAACCACGTGAGCCGCAGCAGCTAGAGCTGGGCAGTGTATTTTAAAATGCTGTGCTTATGCTGTCATTTGGTATTTTGCTATGCCAGGGTCTCTTTTCTTAATCTTAATGTGTTTTATTTATTTTTTTACAACAGCTTTTTTTCACTAATACTACAAGGAACATTTTCAGATATTTTCTCTCAATCTCTCCCCACCATGTAATTTTAATATCTCAGATATGTGGTATACCTGTTTGCATACCGCATGTATGTTTGTGTTTTACATAGAAAAAGAGTACATTTTTTTATCCCTCAAGCACAATTTTTCTTTCTTCAGGGTTATGCCCTCATTGAAACTGCATGGAACAAGTAGATGGAGAAATGAAGGATAAAACTGATTTGTATTATAATAATACATTTTTTATTATAATAGTATATTTAAAAACTCCAATTAAATGCTAATAGCACTGTGATTTTTTGTTTGCCTGAAGGCTAAACTCATCCTACAGCTGCTGAGATAGTAATATTTCTTCCATGTGGAAGGGAGTTCAGAATCAACAGTCCTAATTTTTTCTCATCCAAACAGCTAGATAATAGTTGCTGATACTTAGGATTTACTCTTTCCCAGTATTGCTTTCCCCTGGAATTGTTTGATGTGTCAAGGTACCACTTAAATGTATTACAACATTTAAGGGTCACCTGCATTTTCCCCCAAAGCTCCCTTCTCTCCCACAGTACCACATAAAGGACTCTCCTTGGATCTGAGAAAGCAGAGACTGCAGTTAACTTTTTGTTTTAAGCTTTTACACATTACAGACTATCTTGTGTCTTTCGTGGGGTTTTCCCCTAAGTATTTACCTTTATGTCTCTCTTTTTATTGCTTCCTGCCTCTGTCTTCTCTTCTGTTTTCTTTTGCTGTCTCTACTTTCCCCACGTTCCTTTCCTTTTCCTTTCCGCTTGTCTCCTCTCTCCTACATGGTGTTTCCTTTCTCTTCCTTCAGGACTATGAGAGTAAATTGCAGGCCTTGCAGAAGCAGGTCGAGACTCGATCCTTGGCTGCAGAAACAACGGAAGAGGAAGAAGAGGAAGAAGAAGGTGAAATCTAGTGACTGACATTTTTCTGTGTATAGCTTTTGGATCCATATTATCAGGTTCATCCTTTATCTGTGACCATAGTTGACCCTACCATTTATTGACATTTTACTGTACCAATTTGAAGATGATTTTCTACGGATGTTCAGTGCTGAGCATCCAGGCTGTGTTCTGTGAGGTTGGAGTGGGACTGTGATCCTCAGAACACAAGATTTCTGAGCGTAGTCTTCATGTAAGTCTCTTGGGCAGTTCACTTACACTTTCCAATATTAATGTCCACATGAAGTTCATATATGTGTATTGCATGTAAACACAGAGCTTCGTTTTTGTTAATATGTCCTATTCTATTCTCTGGTGTACGATTTGTGTCAGGGGTTTTCCGGTGAGGACTTTGAAGCATATCAATGTATATTGATAATGGACCACTCAATTCTTAGCTGGATTAAGGCTCCGTTCGTTGTTATTGCCTTATGTCACAGTGTAAACATTTGTCACATTTCATTTCTCCACTCAACCTCCCAGAAATTTCAGACTCCAAGTTAACTTTGAAGCAACTCTTAACTTATGTAGTGAATCCTTTATTTTTAAATATGTAGGTGAAATAAGACCTATTACCCTGTACCAGAAAGAAAAATAGATTTTGTGGAACTGCGTTTATACTTGGGGTTTGTTTACATTATAGTCCACACATTAGAGGTTATCTTAAAAAAAGAGAGAAATCTATTTCTTTGATTTACTGTTTTAAAATAAACAGGATTTTCAAAAAGTTTTCTGAAATGTATATTATAACTATTTTAATAATTTCAACAGAACTCAGTAAGCTTTACTAACAATAAGAAAAGCAAAAACAGCCCTGGCTGGTGTAGCTCAGTGGATTGAGAGTGGGCCTGTGAATCAAAGCATCACAGTTCGATTCCCAGTCAGGGCACATGCCTGGGTTGCAGGCCAGTTCCCAGCAGGGGACTCACCAGAGGCAACCATACATTAGTATTTCTCTCCCTCTCTCCTTCCCTTCCCTCTAAAGATAAATAAATAAAATATTTTAAAAAAGAAAAGCAAAAACAGCTGACTAGAGAAAAACTGGGAGTACCTTACTTGCCAACAGGGATGAGGTAGAGGAGGCTGTAGTTCCCACATTGTTATGAGATCACCGTTAAATACGCTTTGTTGCTCTTTCAGTTCCTTGGACACAACACGAATTTGAGCTGGCCCAGTGGGCCTTCCGAAAGTGGAAGTCTCACCAGTTTACTTCATTAAGGGACTTACTCTGGGGCAATGCCGTCTACCTGAAGGAGGCCAATGCCGTCAGTGTGGAACTGAAGAAGAAGGTATGGGCAGAGGGAGGGTGGGGGCCAGAGCCGAGCTTCACAGCGCTCTGGTGTGCATCCCGAAGTAACCTTTCCCTTGGGGGAACTCAGCTACGTTTGCTCTGAAACAGGTTTACGTGTGCCCTTATTTGGTATATGTGCCTGGAATATAATAGGTACTAATTACATGATTATTAAGTGAAAATTTTAAAATAACATGTTTTCTACCTTATTTTATAAATAAGGAGACTGTATTCCGGATGAGCTGGGGAAGGTTGTCGGTAGAAATATGCTTCTCATGCTGGCTGGCATGGCTCAGTGGATTGAGTGCCAGCCTGAGAACCAAAGGGTCACTGGTTCAATTCCCAGTCAGGGCATATGCCTGGTTTGTGGTCCAGGTCCCCACTAGGGGGAGCATGAGAGGCAACCACACATCAATGCTTCTCTCCCTCTGTTTCTCCCTCCCTTCCCATCTCTAAAAATAAAATCTTCAGAAAATATGTTTATCTGATGTTAATCACAAATTCTTTGTCAAACATATACTGTATGTTTGACTTCTTTTCCTTTGGGCATGATTATATCGCCTTATCTCTGAAGCTTACATGCTGAAAACAGGCCATTTAGCTCTGGTTTGTTCTTTCTGTGTAGGTGCAGTTTCAGTTTGTGCTGCTGACTGACACGCTGTACTCCCCTTTACCTCCTGAATTACTTCCCACTGAGATGGAAAAAACTCACATAGACAGGCCTTTCCCTCGTACCGTGGTGGCGGTAGAAGTCCAGGATCTGAAGAACGGAGCAACGCATTATTGGTCATTGGAGAAACTCAAGTATGAAATGTTACTCACGAAGCCAATTGTTTTATTTAGGAAGTAGTAATGGGCTCTAGGGGTGGTCCCTCAACCTCTGCTCCCTGAGTTGTTGCTACTGCTTCCTTGTTTGTGCTTCTAAATGCTGTCGCTGGCCAGTGGCACTGCTCTCCGTCCGTTTTCTTCTAAGTGAGTGAATCCCACTCAGCAAACACCTTTGTCATTTGTAGATAGGACTTATATTTACCTTCAGAGACTTATATTTTAAGTGTTCCAGTTTTATGAAACCTATTTACGTCTTAGATCTAGTAATTTTGATCTTTTCTGTCCTGGATCTCAGGATGACCGGTGATAAACAGGAAAGTTATAAAGCAGCTTCCTTTGCTTTTAGGATGATGAAATATTTCTCACTGTTTCAGTATATTTGAGACACACCATTGAACAACATTTCTCCCAGGACTCACCAGAGGCAACCAGAGGTTAGGTGGCCATTCTTGACTTTTGGTTGCTGATCTCTAGACTCAAAACACTTTGGGCACTGTTTTGGTTTCTGTACTTTTAGCCTTCCTTTTATTTAATATCATTAAGTGATGGGAGCAGCTTTTTTTTTAACTTTGCATGGAACATACGTCCAAAGTGAAATGTCATTGTTATCTTACGATATTAACCCAATATGTTTCTGTTTCCTCTGAAGGCAGAGGCTGGATTTGATGCGAGAGATGTATGACCGGGCGGGGGAGATGGCCTCCAGTGCGCAAGAGGAGAGCGAGACCACTCTGACTGGCAGCGATCCGTTTTATGACCGGTTCCATTGGTTCAAGCTTGTGGGGAGGTAGGTGATGATTTCATTTGACATGTTCTTTTTAAATAATAAAGGGTTTTATTTTAATTCTTTAAAACTGCAGCAAATTTTACAGAAATAAAAGAAAAGGCATATCCACCCGCCCCATGTAGTCTGTTCCACTCCCACACAACTGCTCTGTCATTCGGGGTATTTCCCTTCAGGTTTTTTTTCAACATGCGCATTTGTTTCGAGTCACAAACTTCCAAAGTAATTGACAGTCTTCCCAGACTCTCAACTCATTCACAAAATGTCTTAGAGTTGAACTAGATTCAAAAGAAAAAGAAAACCTGTGTTTATATCCGTTCAGTATCATAGTATGACTTATAGCTTATCAGACTGCACCCTGTGTAGGATCTGAAATGTCCTCAATTTTTTTTTTTTAAAGCAATTAATCTCACTTTATTCTTTGCTGGAGTGGATTAGTTGCACACATTGGTAGTCCTTTTGAGCCTCTTTTTTGTATACATATTTCAACATTTAACGAAAATAAATAGTGCCCTGTGAGTCCATATTGAGGCAAGTTCTTAAGAGGTTTAGAATTTAAAAAGCAGAGAAATGTAAGTTTTATGCTTAATGATTTCAGAATTTAAATTGTTTTTTAATTGCAAAATCTTCCTGACAGTTTTAAAGGACCTGAATAAAAGAGGAAGAGCTGTAGTCATAGTATTTTGAAATAAGACAAAGTCTTTTTCACTCTACTGTGTGAGTGGAATGTTTTTAAAGAGGTGAATTAGCCGAACAGCAAGGTACATCTTTGCCTTGCTGTATTCCAGTTCATGCATTTTGTTTTCTGCCTCTAGACGACTTGGGAAGTGGAGGGAAAATTTAGACATTATTTTACTTAATACTGAGTGGCTCCTTTATGGCCTGGCTGCTGATCTTTTGTACAAACCAGAGAATATAAACGTTTTAGGGCACACTGTTTACCTGGGGTATTCTACTCATGTGTTTCTTTTGCTTTTTGATTCTAAGGATCAGTCCTTGTTCCCTTTTACCTGAATCAGATGACTTATGCTTATTTTATCCTTTTGCTTTTCACTTGCTTTTACTGTGTTGATTCCTCAGTGGATTCTGTGCTGTTGGCACCTGTAGCTTCCTGTTTAACCAACTATTCCTCTCTCCTTGGCTGTGTCAATTGCGTCTTACCTGGTGTCTAGCTCCCCCATTTTCCATGGCTGTGTGAATGAGCGCCTTGCCGACCGCACACCCTCCCCCACTTTTTCCACGGCCGATTCCGACATCACTGAGCTGGCTGACGAGCAGCAAGATGAGATGGAGGATTTTGATGATGAGGCATTCGTGGATGACACCGGCTCTGACGCAGGGACGGAGGAGGGATCAGATCTCTTCAGTGATGGGCATGACCCGTTTTACGACCGATCCCCATGGTTCATTTTAGTGGGAAGGTTGGTGAGGTTACTGCGAGAAAGGCAAAAAGGGACCAGCTCTTGCTCTAAAGAGGCTCCTTGTACAATTTTGGATGATTTTGCTTTAGCCGATTCAATTCATGACATGCTGATCTGGCTAGAGAGGGTCCTCAGGCAGCGTTCGTGAGATTCTGGGTCTACCTGGTACAGCATAGGGCAATGTATGAAGACTCTATGGGGAGGACCCATTGTCTTAAATTGCCCAGTAATATTCTTCTAACGCAGGAAAACCCAGAGGAGAAACTGATTAAGGCCTAAAAATCCAAGGTTACAGGGTTGAAGAATGTCATTGTGGACTAAGGTTTCCTTTTAGAAGGAATGTGAGTAAGGAGGCATAGGTGACAACTTGAGAAAGAGAGCAGAGCAAGCCCAAGGTTAGGCTGAATGATTTGTGGCATCAGCAGGAATCGAGAGGACATAAGTGGAATTAGGAGTTACTTCTTCCTTAGTCTGTGAGTGCAAAAAACAATCAAGAACCCAGTTTCCTCTTCATCTAAAATGGATGCCTTTCTCTGGCCAGTTTCACTGAGCCTATCTGTGGATCTTTGGCTTCTGCTACAACTTTACCTATAGGCTTTGTGATGAGGAATTTCATAAAATTATCTGCTGGCACCGTCAACAATGGATGTTTGTTCACCAGTACATAGAACCGCTTTGTGGCGAGTTTAGCTCCCCAAACTGAGGCATTGTCTCTGGCTCCATCTGTCAGTGACGCAGACTCTCCTGCACACGTTCCTCATACTGGTGTCTTTGTCTGCATCCAGTCTCTGTGCCGAGGTAATTTTATTTACAGATGCAGCAGAGCAGCGCTCACTGGATTAACCAAGATGTATGTCCTGGTTTCGAGGTATCAAACTTCCTGGTTTCGAGGTATTAAACTTAATGTAATGGTTGATTAGAACCACCTACTGTTGAACCCTTTCAAAATGAGGGAATTCTGTCAGCCTTAAACGGATAAGCGCCAGTTATCTAAAAATTGAAGTGCAGTTGTCTCTTACTCAGTAGAAACATAAGGTTCTGACTCTTAGCTTATACTGTGGTGTTGGTTACCTGGTTAGAACAAAATAAATAATACAGATTATCACTGTTATGGAATGGGGGAAGTGAAAGCTTTTTAATAGAAATAAAGGCCTCAATCATGACTGTGAGTTGTAATATCAGTCTCAGGGTTTTACAGTGGCGAAGAGACATTTATTCAGTTCTTCCATGAATAAGCGTAAAGGGATTATATAACCACGGATCTTGTTTTCTCCTGGTGTGTTGCCAGGAACAGGTGCTTAGAATTTCAGAGAAGCTGATTTACATTAAAACTGAGAAAGGTAATTCTTTGTACAGATAATGGGACCATGACGCTTGCTGTATTTTATGGCTGCATGTGTCCATCAGCACATTTCCATCCTACACTGAAAGGGTCAGAAGTTAGAACCACGTCTGTCCAGAAACTGCTTGGTCCTGGTGCCAGCTACACAGCTTCTGAGTCTGCTCGCTGCAGTTCCGCATCGCCACACAGTGGGGGCGGGGAGTCATCACTTGGCTCGGTGGGAAGAACACTGACCTGAAGGTCAGGAGGAGCCTAGGTCCTACCTTTGGACTGGCAGCCTAAACTGATGGGCTCTCAAGTATAAACAAAGAGTTAGGTAGGGAAAAGGAGCCTTAAGGCCCATTTTTGTCTTTCAGATTCTGTCATCCACACTAGCAAAATGAGGTATCCTGGATCAGACTTCTGTCCAGAAGCATTTTGTATTTTGAATCAGTTGTATAGAAAACTTAAGTCATAGCCCCACTTAATGTGGAAATTTATTGGCTTAAGATAGATGTATTATTTTTCTCTCTATTTTATTTATTTTAATCATATCAGTTTTAAGTGTAGATATAAAGCAATCAACTTAACTTTGACTTTCAGATAAAATATTTATGGTGCCATAGCTCAGGAATTGACCTTTCCATTGTTTGGGTTCCCAGGTTCTAAAACCTGCTTTGGCTGGAAAAGAGGTTAGAGGAGTAGGCGAAATCAGCCCTCAGTCAAGTGAAGGGGAGCTCTTTATTTTCTTTCTTGCTACGTGTCTCATATGTGAACAGTTTATAACAGTTCACATCACCCAGTTATACAGTGATCACTGTACACGTAGGAGAAGCAACTTCTTTCCTATTCTTGTGACTCACAGGATTGGGTTTCCGCTATTGGCATGTAACTACAAATACAATTCACTTGTAAAAATTTCCAGTTTCTTGTGAAATTCCATTTGTAAGTTTTGTCCCTTGGCTGCCTCCAGTGAATTTTTATGTGAAAATTAAAAGAGCTTGTCCCTTTAGCTGTTCTCTTATAGCATGCTGGGATGTTATGAACCATCCATCATAATTTGGGATGACATGTAAAATATTTAAGCTACTCTTCTGAGTTAAAAGGGGGCAAAAGATGTTATTCTGTGACCTAACTACCTGACCTGACATTCTTTCTGTAACTAGAACCATAATCATGCTGATTTTCCTTTTCTTTATGTTGACAAAATTTGTTTCCCTTTTTGATGTAACTTCACAGAACTTCTGCTAATATATCCTTTACATCTTCCCCTCTTTCATCCTGTTCTCCTTCAGTCTGCTAGGTCAAGGTATAAGGACTCTCACGAATGTGGGGTAGTTACTGAAATTCCAGTTCAGAAACCTCAGAGCAGAGTTTCTATATGGCAGTGATACCCCTGCCACTACCATAGGATGTAGAATTCGATTTTCTAAAAGGAGAAGTCTGAAACAATACTTCTGTTCTTCCACATTTGGAACAGCCACTGCCATAGGCAGAAAGGGCAGTCTTGTCTTTAATGTGTGCTCGAACAGTGCTTCATTGTAATGTACGTGTGTGAACATGATATGCTGAGCGTTCAAGTGGCAAGCTTTTTCAAATTAAAAACAGGTATTCCTGTTTTTGAATAGCTATTTTTAAGTATAAGAAAGATAGCTGTTACAAGTTAAGCATAGTTATGAATCTAAATATGTTCTATATAGTGAATATTCATTGTGACTAATACTTTGAAAAATCAACCTAATATAAAGTGGGATGGCTTTGCTTCTCTATCTCTGGTGGAACCCATTTTTCTGGGAAAATCTTCCACCTATACTTACAGGTAGAGGACAGTTCATTTCCCCATTAATGTATGTACTTAGATGTTGAATTGCTCACCAGTGGCCAGCAAGACCAGACAGGGTTCCTGCCCTCATGGGTTTACAGTCCAGTGGATGAGACAAATTGCATAATTACATAAATAAGTAAATCGTAAATCATAGCAATTCTGGAGTTATGTGTGTTACTGAGATCATGTAACACTGGGGAGACCTATCATCAGAGATTGGTGTTTGGAAGAAGACTTCATTCAAGATGTGGGATACAGGCGTGAGGCAGGGAGTGGGGTTCAGAGAGGACCCCAATCTGAACTGGAGTGGGCACGTGCGGTGGCTATTTATGGCCAAGGCGTTGGAAGTGGGCACGTCTGGCTGGATCGCCATTAAGAGATGAAGGTGGTCTTGTACTGTGTGTTCACTCACTTCGGAAGTGAGATTATCCATTTGGTACCTTATGCCAAGTTCTTAGTCTTTAAACCCTGTCACAATTGTTGATGTTTGAGAGTCTTGTAAGAAGACTTTTCATTTTTTAATTTTTTTGTACAACAAAGCTTTAACTCTGTTTCTTAGCATTTGCCCTCCCACCTTCGGAGCAGACTGAAAGGGAAGTAGATACCATTTGATCCGATTTAATGTTCATTTGCAGTTCTTTTGTCATACTTTCATTCATATTTTATTTATGCTCTTAAAATTTTAACATTCGTTTTTCTGTGTTGTATTTTGTCAGTTTTCAGAATTGTTTTCAACTACTTTGAGTTGAAATCCCAAGAACCTGTTCATCTTCCTTTTCTCTGTTTTAAAGTAGATTTTTCAGAGCAAGAAAAAAGCAGACAATGTGCGTCATGTTGCTATGTTTGATTTCTCAGTGCACACGTTTACTCTTTGTCTTGTCTTGTGTTCAGAGACCAGCATGTATCAAGTGGGGAGACGGGAACAACAGTAGGAACTCCATTCTATTTCTTATTCACTAAGCTTTGTGATCACCAGTTTTTATTGCTTTAAAAAATCAATAACTACAAATAATGAAAGAAGAAAAAAGAATACACATGTGATAGGACTTAGTTCATTTAAAATAGAAAATGTTAGATCTGTAAACTGCCTTTTGTATATGCATTTCTGAGTCAGGTTTTGGACCTTAGCAGCAAAATCAGCCCTTTAGGCATCAGAAGTCTTCTCCCTTGGCATTTATCTTGATTCCCATCCAGAGTCTCCTATAAGCTGGCTACTCAGAAACTTCTGGCTTCATAGCCTCCCCCACCCATATGAGTCAATAACCCTGCCTAAAGATAATAGTCATTTCTTGGAGTAAAAAGAAAGACTCATAACACTGTGGCTTGGAATCTATTTTAGACCTATCTCAGTCACATTCTTCTGCCTTTTTTATCTCCTGATTTCTGTTTTATCTATTGGGAAAAAATAAATAAACCTCTTTATAATTCCTTACATTAAAAGATTAAGCTCCTTGATGGGCTCTCTTTTTCCCACCCTTATAAGTATTTATAGACTAGTATCTGTAAAGTCCACTTCCAATTGTTGCTCTTCTACCTACAGTGGTAATTTTTATTGGAAGTAACTAATTTGGTTTAAGTTAGTCTTTGTCAACTGTTACCAGGTGTTTGCATTTGTTTATATATTATCTGTGCTAAAAAGCAACTGGAGGGAGTCAGAGTACAGAGAGAGAGGTAACCTTAACTCAGGGCCTAGAAGCCAATCCAGTTTCACAAAGGTGTTTTCAATACATTTGACAGCCACTTCTCTGTCTGTGGGATGCTCAGGTGTTTGTCTCCCGGCTTCTGTCTCTAGGGCATTTGTTTACCTGAGCAATCTGCTGTATCCAGTGCCCCTGATCCACAGGGTGGCCATTGTCAGTGAGAAGGGTGAAGTGCGCGGGTTTCTGCGTGTGGCCGTACAGGCCATTGCAGGTAGGTGGCCCTCTTCAGACCTGAGAGCTGTAGATTCTTTGCCGGGAGACACAGCAGGCAGAGCTGCGTGGGCCACACCACAGTAACACATGCAGACTGCCATGGGTCTGTCTTGGAGAAAGCTTTTACTGCTTCCTTTCTGACTCTTCTTCCCAAGCACCAGAAATGGGCTCTGTTTAGCCTGGGCTACTGCTTCTGGAATACTGGGGTAAAGGGATTCCTTTAACTTGAAGGCTAGCTCTTGGATTAACTTTGTAAAAGTTATTTGCATTTTAAATAATGTATATTAATTGCTTCAGAAGTAATAAAGTATTTTCAGGACTTTTTCTTGCCTAGTTTTTCTCAGGATACCTTCTAGACATTTGTCCTTTAGCTATTATTTTGTAAGACATGGACAGATAGTCTGATACTTCATGATCTAGCCTACATTCTGAGGGAAGAATATGGCTATATTTCCTATAACATGCTTATATTTCCTGTAATTTTTCTGTCTTAATTTCTAAATGCTATGCTGTGTTTAGTGACTTTTCAGCTTTTCCCCATGGAAATTTGTAACATAATCACCAGTGTTAAGTTTAGGGAAGTCTCCATGAGTACAGTCTAATATTTTTAAATATTTATTGAATATAATAAATATTTATTCAATAAGTATTATTTAAAATAATCTTGCCAAGTAAAAGGATCAGTATTTTTAGTATGACCTTTGAACAGCATCAAGAATAAAACTGATTCTTCACTAATGAGTCTCACTGGAGCTAAGGGGGTTGGTAAAGGTAACAGAGTAGAGTTGAAAGCAGCTTATTTGACCTTCCTGCTTAGTTTTCTTTCTTAAGCAAAAGGGCTTGTCCTTTGGTGTCTCCTCTTCCATTAAAGTTCTCAGAATCTGAGGTTCCACTGCTCTGTTATTTATCTTATTATCCAGCAAGTGTTGTCCTCCCTCTGCCCCGTAGTCACATTCAGTCTTTGCTTTTTTTTTCCCCCTACCTAGCGGATGAAGAAGCTCCTGATTATGGCTCTGGAATTCGACAGTCAGGAACAGCTAAAATATCTTTTGACAACGAGTATTTTCATCAGGTGAGAAACCTTCCAGGAACAGGAACACCTGATGGAAGGAGAAGGAAGCAGATGCTTTGTAAGAAGGATGTTCAGCACTGGAGAGCAATTCTTCTACCTAGAACCGAAGAGTATAGGCAACCATAGGGTGTTTAATAGAATATGGGACATATCTAAGAATTAAAACAGGGATTTGTATTTTTTTCTGTCGTCTTTTCTCAGGCAGCTCTTAATCCACATAATTTTACAGTCCCTATTTTTCGTTAGGCAAATAACAAAAGAAAGGAAACGGGGCAATGTATTGTTGTACTGCTTTGTAATCTACCACCCCATGCCTGATTTTCAGAGTGACTTTTCTTCAGTTGCAATGACTCGTTCTGGTCTGTCCTTGGAAGAGCTGAGGATTGTGGAAGGACAGGGTCAGAGTTCTGAGGTCATCACTCCTCCAGAAGAAATCAGTCGAATGAATGACTTGGGTATGTAGACCCAGTTTACTCTGATCAGGGAGATTTTCAAAAAGACCAGCCATTGTCAAGGAGATGGTCACTTTCATTCACTGGGAATGGAAAGAATGTTCTACTCTCTCCACTTTGAAGGGCGTTCTGTGCATTATTTGAACCAGATGTGTGTTTATTTGACCCTCTTTAGACTTGAAGTCAAGCACTTTGCTAGATGGGAAGATGGTAATGGAAGGGTTTTCTGAAGAGATTGGCCACCACCTGAAGCTGGGCAGTGCCTTCACTTTCCGTGTGACCGTGTTGCAGGCCAGCGGGATCCTCCCCGAGTACGCAGACATCTTCTGTCAGTTCAAGTAAGCTGCCCTTCACTCTGCCTGTCTAGCCGTTGACCCCGCTGACGTCTCTGCTTTACATTCGGGAGGTACTAACACTCTGAGAAATGACTACTACCCGTCTCTGAAGTAAAACACTGTCTTCACTCAAGATGGGACTAGGAACTGGAAACCTACAGTGAAATGAAACAGAGTTCATGGTGGGGAGGAGCGCGGCCATGCCTCCTGCCAAAGGTGCTGTGGTGGACTGTGCCCTGAGACAGGCTCTGATCCAGATGAGCCTGTGTTAGTCTTACTGATGCTCTTTATGCTGAACCGTTTTATTAGTAAATCCGAAAGCAATGCGTTACTTGATTACTCATTATGCCTAATTAATACTTGGGAAACAAAATTTAAATAACATAATGAACAGTAATATTCTACTACATCAATTGAAAGGAAAAGGTAGTGTATGGAGAAGATGCGACAGGTTTCATTTCTCATCCACTTACTACAAGCTTTTTCTGTCCCGTAACCCTCTTGACTCTATTGTAGCTGCTTTCTTCTCTTGACCTCCCTAGGAAAACACTCTTTTGTGAATCTTAAGTTTTAATACCTTCAAGCATCAATATATCTTTGCAGTTTTGGGAAATGGCCACAGTACAGGAGAATGGCATCCCGTTTCTAAAGCCCAGTTTGCCAGGGGTGCCACCAAAAGGCTGCCTCAGAGTTCTGCCACCCCTCGCCTTCATGATGTGGTTTTCCTAGGTGTCCTGATACAGTTTACAAAGCATTGCTTTTATGTAGAGGTTGGCCCAGTCCTGAACTGAATGTGATTGCTGCAGCTGTAATTTTCTGTAACTGATAATCATTAAAATGTTATCCATCTGGTACTACTGGTTTTGCCCATTTCATGTGCTTTTACTGAAAGCTTCAAGTTCAGAGTGGGATGGAGTTGGCTGGGTGAATTGGTTTTCTGGAACTTTCACTGTTCTACGCAGGCAACTGATATATAGGGTCTAACACAAATAACGCCCCCCTTTTAAAAAAGATTTTAGTTATTTATCTTTAGAGGGGAAAGAAAGGAGAGAAATATCAATGTATGGTTGCCTCTCTCATGGGTCCCCTGGTGGGAACTGGCCTGCAACCCAGGCATGTGCCCTGACTGGGAATCGAACTGCGATCGTGTGGTTCGCAGGCCCGCGCTCAATCCACTGAGCTACACCAGCCAGGGCTGTAACGCCCCTTTTTAATTACAAAATTGTAAGCATGTAATTTTTTAACATAACAATATCACCCTCAAGCACACCATACGACATTTTAGGAGAAATGTTCAAATTAAAATGATAAATGCTTACTCCTGTATTATTACCCCACCAACCACACTCAAGTGGGTGTTACTTCTGCTGGACCCTGTGTTTGATGGGAAAAACCCACAGGGTTAACTGATGTCTGAAGTGACAGTAGTATGTTGACTTTTGTCCCTAAACCACCTAAAAAGAGCAGCATGTCTATCTGGTGTTCGCTCTGGAGGAAAGGGCATGTTGACTCGTGTTGAGAGAAGACTCAGACCCTTGTTCACGTCTTATAAACTCTCATCTGGCCTGCCTAGGGAAGACACGGTTGTAGAGCAAAGTGACTGGTTTCACTGTCGCCCGTGTGGAACCCCAGGATAGTTGCACCTGCTCCAGGCAGAGCACCGGAGGAGTGTAGGCCAGGGATCACCCCCTCTGCTGGGCACAATGTGTAGTCCTCAGGCTCAGTGATTTGGAAGACAAGGAGCTTATGGTCCTGGTCCCTCTGCCCCCTATTCAGAGTATTCTTTTCCCTTTTTTTTGTGGGAATGTGGGATGTCCTTTTGATGGATATTTCTATCTGACAGTAAATCTTAGTATTGAGGATCTTTTAAATCTTTGCTGCTTTTTATTTCAGACTTATAATAGGGAGGGAGAGAAAATAATAAAACCTCACTATTTGTAAGAACAAACGTAGCCCACTGATTCAACAGGTATTTGTTGAATGTGCTGTGGGAACACAACTATTTGGATGAGTTAGGACAGACTTTTTGCAAAGGGTGGCATTTGCATTACTCGTAGCTGGTCTGAGAGAGACTCCTGGGCAGACACTCCGCCCACAGGTTTTAGTGCTCCCTGTAGAAGCTTGAATCTGCCAGATCTCTTCTACACAAAACAATTTCATAATTTTCATTCCCAGTGAAAACCACAAAGGAGCAGGAGTTCAGTGAATTCGCTCTTCACGCCCTTTAAGGCATTTCTGCGTGTACGTCCCCATAGCTAAATGATCAGGGCCAGTGCATCTTTCAGTCGTTTTTGAAATAAAATCTAAAATGCTGAGTGATATGGAAAATGTTTTGACAAGTTCATGTAAATAATTTGCTCAATTAAAGACTCTGCTTAAGTATGTGTTTCTTTCCATATGATCCAATTTGAGCTCTTAAAATATTCAGGGGTGCCAAACTCATTTTCACCAGGGGCCACATCAGCCTTGTGGTTGCCTTCAAAGGGCCGAATGTAATTTAGGACTGTATAAATGTAACTAGTCCTTAACTTGGGGCAAGGAGCTCAGTGCTGCCACTGGGTAGAAATGAGGTGAAGGGCCGGTTCGGCCTGCAGGTCTTATGTTTGCTACCTGTGATACAGGTCCTGATGAAACCATTTAATGAAAAATTTTTGTGTCTTATTTTTCCATTAAGCTTTTTGCATCGTCATGATGAAGCATTCTCCACTGAACCCCTCAAAAACAATGGCAGAGGAAGTCCTCTGGGCTTTTATCATGTGCAGAACGTAAGTGGCATAGACATTTTTGCCAAATGTGTTGTGGGTTGGTGGTACCTTGAAGTGGCTGGTGTGAGGCTGTCATGTGTGGGCTCCCTTGGGTTTTCTCAGCCCAGGAAGGATGATAATCACAGCACTGTGCTAGGCAGGCTCTGTGGGGAGAGTAGACAATGGAGGGAGTGGACAGAGCAGCTGGCCTTCTCCAAATTACTGTGGTCCCCATAAGTAGTGTGTACGTTAATCTGCCAATAAAATTTTTCATCATTTTGAATGTAGTGCGAGGGTGTCAAACTCATTTTCACTGGGGGCTACAATAGCCTCGTGGTTGCCTTCAGAGGGCTGAATGTACTTTTAGGACTGTAAAAATGTAACTACTCCTTAACTAGGGACAAGGATCTTGGCACCGCCGCTGAGTAGAAACAAGGTGCCAGGCAGGATAAAACAAGGTGGGGGGCCAGGTTCAGCCCCGTGGGCTTTGTGTTTGCCACCTGTGATATAGTGAGTTGTTTTAGTGTTTCCTTCCTAGACACGTAGGCATTTTAGTATGAGTTTGTTAATGTATTTATTGTCCTTAAAATTGTAAGGTACTTACATTGTTCAGTTGCAAATAAGATAAAAACTATTAAATACCTTTGTAACTAAGATTCAGATTCTGTCTTCCTTGCCACTGATACTGTGATGAATCCATTAATGCCCTTTACAGCTCTTTCTTATGTGGAATAAGAAAACAGACCTCCCATCTCTTCTAGGAAGGTTCACTCAAACTCCTCAAGTCATCATGCTCATCACAATAGCTAACAGTCATTGAGAGCTTTTTTCCGTCAGTCACGGTTAGCAGTGTTTTTTGTGTCTTAACTCATGTAATCCTCACCTTCATGCCAGAGACTATCTTAATCCCCATGTTACTGCTGTGATAACCTAGGCACAGAGCAGTTGGGGTCAGCCAGGTTACAAAGCCAGGAAGAGGCAGAGACGAGGCTGAACTCAGCTGTGTGGCTCCGGCTTCCAGGATCTTCACCACCACACGAAATGGTCTCTCCTTCTCTTGTTAGCCGCATCTGCTATCTAAAGTACAAGAGGAAAGGACAGCTCCAAAGTGGAACAAGCAAATACAGAACACACTATTTTGTTTTTATTTTTAATTGTATAAACATGAGTATGCGTGTATCCAGTAAACATTGATTGGCTACTGTGCACCAGGACTGTGCTTGATGTGCTGGGGAATGCACAGATGAATCACAGAGGATCATACCCCGGAGAGCTCATAGTTAGGGAGATAAAATGCTCATTTAATCAACAGTAGCACAAGATCTAGAGACATTGGAAAGGTATTCATTAAATGCTATGGGAGGAGAGAGAAGGAAATGTAATTTCCATTAATAGAAAGGTGTTTTTTACTTTTTTTGTTGGGGGTGGATGGTTGGGTAGAGAAAGGAAGTGGGGGACTTCCCGGGAGGATATAGTGTAAATAAGAAAAGGTGGGTCAGCCCTGGCCGGGGAGCTCAGTTGGTCAAAGCATCGTCCCAGTACGCCAACTGGGGTGTGGGTTTTATCCCTTGTCGGGGCACAAACAAGAAGCAACCAGTGGGACTTCCACCAAGATGGAGGGATAGGTGGATGTGCCGTGCCTTCTCACACAACCAAGTTTAGAGACAACTAAATATTAGCAACAGAAAACACAGTCAGAACACGGAAAATTGAACTTTTCGGAAGTCCGTTAACAACAAATTCTTCAGCCTGACCGGTAAGGGGCGAAACCAGCGGCTGGTGAGGGGTTGCACAGGAGGACTCGGTCAGACGGACTCAGGCTCGGAATCCAGACGCGCGGAATCCAGGCGCAGGGTTGGACCTAGTGAGCGACCAAGCGAGCCACCAGGCGAGCGACCGCGGAGGAGACAGCGGGGAAGCAGTGCTGCGTGTTGACTGTGGTCGCCCATTTGTGCGCAAGCGGACAGGCGAGGGAGTGGGCGGTTGGACCGGGGCGGGCAAGCGGCAGGAAGGGCGCCACCATTTCCCCGCTCTGACCACGCCCCCACATACAGCGTCACAACCCAGCGACCTGGGAGTCCAAGGCACCACTTCTCACACTTAAAGGGCCAGAACAGACTGAAAATGTCGCAAGATCTCAAAGTCCCAGAGCCCATAGATCTAAGCGATGAAGAAATAGCAAAACTCTCAGACGCACAGTTTAAAACACTGGTCATCAGGATCCTCACAGAACTGGTTGATTATACCGACAAATTAGACAAATATATGAAGGCGAAACTAATTGAAATGAATGGAATTGCACAGGACACCAATAGCAATGAAAAGGAAACTGGGACTCAGATCAATGGAGTGGACCAGAAGAAAGCAAATAATGGCCAAACAGAAAAGAGTCAAGAAGCAAGAATTCAAAGAAATGAGGAGAGTCTTAGGAACCTCCAGGACATCTTTAAATGCTCCAACATCCGAATTATAGGGGTACCAGAAGGGGGAAAGGCACAGCCACCAGTGGAAAACTTATTTGAACAAATAATAAAGGAGAATTTCCCCAAGCTGGCAAAGGAAATAGACTTCCAGGAAATCCAGGAAGCTCAGAGAGTACCAAAGAAGTTGGACCCAAGAAGGAACACACCAAGGCACATCATCATTACATTAGCCAAGATTAAAATGAAGGAGAGAATCCTAGAAGCAGCAAGAGCTAAGGGGACAGTCACCTACAAAGGAGTCCCCATCAGACTGTCAGCAGATTTCTCAAAAGAGACCTTCCAGGCAAGAAGGGGCTGAAAAGAGGTATTCCAAGTCATGAAATCCAAAGACCTACAACCAAGATTGCTCTATCCAGCAAAACTTTCATTTAGAATGGAAGGACAGATAAGGTGCTTCTCAGATAAGATCAAATTCAAGGAGTTCATCATCACCAAGCCCTTATTATATGAAATGTTAAAGGGACTTATCGAAGAAAAAGAAGTTAAAGAAACATGAACAGTGAAAGGACAACAAACTCACAGTTATTAACAACCACACCTAAAACGAAAGCAAACTAAAAGGACAGCTAGATCAGGAGTGGAAACATAGAAATGAAGATCTCAAGGAGGGTTAGCAACAGGGGAGTGGGAGGAGGAGATGGGGGGAGAAGGTACAGAAAACAAGTAGCATAGACGGTAGATAGAAAATAGATGGGGGGGCAAGAATAGCATGGGAAATATAGAATCTAAAGGACTTGAGACACATGGTCATAAACTAAAGGGGGGGTAATGGTGGGGATGGGGGGTAGGGTGGAGGAGAATGAAGGGGGGAATAGGACAACTGTAACAGCATAATCAATAAAAAATTTTTTAAAAAATCACATACATGTCAATTAAAAAAAAAAGAAGCAACCAGTGAATGCATGGATGAGCAGAATAAAAAAATCTCTCTTTCCTCCCCTCATTTCCTTCTCTGTCTAAAAGAATAAAATTCTAAAACGGTGGGTAAGATTTGGCATCAGACCTGGCACGTGGTCAGCAGTCAGGTCTTCCTTAGTGTTGTTACTGTTTTTGAGCTGGGCCTTGAAGTCTAGGAAAGACTTAGGGGCACAGACATGTGGAAGGCCTTGCAGGGAGGGCTGCAGCCTGGGGCCATCTTCAGGCACAACCGAGGGGACAGTGGGTGAGTTTGATTAAGCTGAAACAGTAAGTGTGGGAAGGGCAGCAGGGGGCAGTTCAGGTTGGTGCTGGAGGGTTTTGAATACCTAAAGCTCAGTCAGGTTACTTCAGAACAAAAGCCAGAGAGGAGACCCTGGCTTATCTTTGTGTGGGAGGCTTGCGCAGTAAAACACCCAGCACATACTGAAAAGTGCTAAAGTTCTGATTGCAGCAAAACTGTCTGTTTTCTTACGATAAATCTTTCCCTAATCTAGCTTGGCTTTATTCCTTAGATTGCAGTGGAGGTCACGGAATCATTTGTGGAATACATCAAAACCAAGCCTATAGTATTTGAAGTGTTCGGGCATTATCAGCAGCACCCAGTTCACCTGCAAGGACAGGACCTTAACAGGTTAGGGCTAAATGAGCAAAGATTTTTGTTTTTGTTATCGTTGTTATTGTCATTTTCTGGAAAGAAATCTTTTGAGGGATTCAGATAACTAAATAACAGTGTATATGTTGCCCATTGTTTCCTCTTCAGAAACTTCACCACCTTTCCTTCTGTGAGCCACATAGTCACTAATTGTAGGTAGAGCAGACTGAATTATTCTCGGGTGATCCTGAGTACTGTTTTTGTAGGAAGACACTTTGAATAGGACCGAAAGGTGAGGTGACAGAGATAAAACATGAAACTGTGTGTAATTGTTCCTAACCACCCAGAACTTTTTGACACCTAAGCTCTAAGTGGAGACATCAAAATCGGTGAGGAGCGCAACGGTGGGGACTTTGGGATAATGGCAGAGTGTCGGTATTAATGGAAAAATTCCCTATTTCATTTATTATCTGTGACTTAGAAGGAGGCTTTCAGTAAAATATGTCTGAGCCTCAGTTTTACTCTGTGGAATCATGTCTAGAATCTGATACTGTGCTGCAGTCGAAAGTACAAGCCATTTGTGTCTAAAGAAGGCTTAAACATGCCATTATTGTTACTGTGACATCCTTTTCAGTCTCTGAGATCTCCGTCTTCCTTCCTCCGCAGTCCGCCTCAGCCATCGCGACGGTTCTTCCCTCCGCCCATGCCACTCTCCAAGCCAGGTGAGCTCTAGCTGCATTCTTTGCATGCTGTTCTCTGAGTGAATACCTCTCTTATTCTGATGACTTTTCAGATAAAAATCATATTTAAATTCCTGCTCCACTTCTGTGCATCCTTACATATCCTTGTGTCTACCAGGAACTAGAATTTTTGGCTCCCAATTTAAAATAAGAAGTAAGAAACAGTGGGGCTCTGTTGCTGCCAGTTCTCTGGTCTTCTTATTGTCAGTTTTCATAAGCTCCGTGTTCCTAAGTCTCTCTGCTTTGTGTGCAACTCCCCATAACTGCCTGGTGACTGGGCTTTTCTTTACACATTAAATATATCCTGCATGTTCATTTATCTTGTTTTGATTTTTGTTTGTTTTCACCCTTTCCCTTCATTGCCCACATTCCCGCCCCACCCTGTGCTCATTCTCCACCCTCTGTACTGCTCATCTCCATCCCACCTCAGACCCTGAAAGAAAGGTCAGACTGGCCCGATTTCTCGTGTCTGGCTGTGTGAATGCGCATGTGTGGGACGTATTTTCTGAGCATCCTCCGCTGCTGCCGCCTTCCAGGATGGGGCCGACCCTGTGCCACCTCCTCTTTCTCCCAGTTCCCAGCTGCCAGAGCAAGAGGGAACCTAAACCGGAGCTCAGTTAGCTCTGCCTAGATGTAGAACCATCCTCAGGGGCTGGTCCTGAAGCCTGGCTCTCTGCATGAAACAGCGGCCTTCCCGTTTGCTACCTGAGCTGAATGTGAAGTTCACAGTGACAAGATCCTGTCACATTTGCCTCAGAGAGATTTTAGGAAGCACCCTGTCTAGGGTGAGGGCTGCTTATTTTTGTTCGTTTGGTGTCTTTCAGTTAGTATTTTTAACTGTAAGGATTTTTGCTATTACATGGTTTTTGTTTTGTTTTTTAATGCTTCTGGTTTTGCTTTCTGACCCTTAGGTGACTGCCAGAATCAATAACACTATTTTCCTCCTAACTAGCATCACCAGCCCGTATGGAATTCAGCTGGGGTGGGTAATGCCAACAGGCTACATGTGTGAACAGTGCTGAGTTACTCATAAGGCCCCTTTAGCTCTCCTGTGTCAGGGGACTCTCATACTACGTTTTTGAGATGGCAGGTGAAATATTATGATCTGCAGTTTATAAATAAGGAGACAAATGCCCAGAGGGTAAGCGACTCAACCAAAGTCACACAGCTCTTCAGCGGTTGAACAATAATTAGATCTCAAGTCACTTGACTCACATTCCAGAGTTCTCAGGTTTTGAGCCGAGAACCCTCTTTGCATTGCCAGATTTCAGAGTTTCTATGTTGTGTTTCAAGATGCCCATTATGTAGAATCCGAAATTCTTGAAATACTGGGTTCTGGCTAATGTATTTCATCGTAATGCACAGTTAACATGGAATTTAAATCTAAAGAAAATGTGTAATGAGAGATTTACAAAATCCTGTATTTAGAGGTCATAGCTATGGTTCCCAAACTTGTCTGCGCATTGGAATCACCTGAGAAGTTTTAAACCTCTAGGGACTGAATCCCAGCCCTAGAGATTGTGATTTAATGGCCCAGGTGCAGCCAGGTGCAACCATCTTCAACATCCCTGGGTGATTCCCGTGGGCAGGGAGATGCAGGAGCCACTGGGTTGGAGGATAGGTCTGTCCTCTCTGATCCCAGCTCTGAGGTGCAGGGCCCTGTGAAAGGTTTCTAATGGTTTTGTGAGCACATTCACTCTGCACAGAACCTGTTTTCTTACCGTTGGAAACAGTTGTTGAGAGGGAGAAGGACCCCGACCCTCCCCTCTCCTTGTTCTCTGAATGTAGAGGTTGTGGCCTAGTTGGTGTTGCAGTTTCTCTGGGTCTTCTTCATTGAAACCTATCCCCTGACCCTTGCTGCCTTTCCCAAGTGTGTCCTTGAAGACTGACATTCGAGAAGTGTGTGCTTTTACTGAGTAGACTTGGATCAGATGTTTACTTTTTCTAAAATTTTTAAAAGTTCCAGCCACCAAGTTAAACACCATGAGCAAAACTAGCCTTGGCCAGAGCATGAGCAAGTATGATCTTCTGGTTTGGTTTGAGATCAGTGAACTGGAGCCTACAGGAGAGTAAGTACAAGTTTCTAAACTTTTAAATACGACAAAGTATTTGTCTGTTTCTTTTTAAGAAAAAGGCAAAGTTTTTCAAAATTAGAAATTCTAATTTTGAGACTGTCTTCTTATATTCAGGTTCATGAATCATTGTCACTGTCAGATTTAGTTTTGAATTGACTTTTGGTGGTCTTGATATTATTCTCTGAGTCAGGTGTTTGTCAGAGAACTGACTATTGGGTTGGTCAAAAAGGTTGTTTAGCCTGGCTGGTGTAGCTCAGTGGATTGAGCGCAGGCCTGCGAACCAGAGGATTGTGGTTCTATTCCTAGTCAGGACACATGCCTGGGTTGTAGGCCAGTTCCCAGCAGGGGATGTGCTAGAGGCAACCATACATTGATGTTTCTCTCCCTCTCTCCTTCCCCTCTAAAGATAAATAAATAAAATCATTTTTTAAAAAAGTTGTTTAGTATTTTCTGTACAGTGGCTTTAGTAGTGCTTGTCTTTAACTTCTTTTGGAACAATTTTGTTAGATTGTATTATGACAGCTGTCCTATCTGTGTACATTAAAAAAGAATTTATCAAAACTGGTGAATTTTTGTGCAGCCATTTTAATATTGAAGGTGGAAGAAAATACAAACATTTTCAGTGTATTATGCTTTATTACTTTAAGAAAAGCAAAAAATGCAACTAAAACACAAAAAGGGTTTGTGCGGTGTACAGAGAAGGTGCTGTGGCTGATCAAACGTGTCCGAGTATCTGCTGTGGGGCCATTTCATGCACTGGAAGATGATCAGCAGGGCGCCCCCTAGAAGCCAAATAGTGGGAGATAGCTGACATACTTAGTATCCAAATCGAGTTATCGGTGAAAATGAAAAATGTCTTTTATTTTACAGAAAAACCTAAGTAGGCTTTTTGGCCAACCCAATACTTAGTGTAATAATTTACCTTCTTGTTAGCAACAGCAAGCTCGTTGTGACTGGCACTTTGTCAGGAGGGAAGACAGCCTACATAGTGTGTTCCATCAGCAGTAAAGCAAAGGGAGTCAGAACATTTTGCGCATAATATATTGTTAAGACTTACATTAATAACCTCAATGAGTATTTACCTAGACCAAGATTTCTCACCTTCGGCGCCGTTTGGGGCCGGGTCATTCTGTTGTCCAGGGTTATCCCGTGTGTTGGAATCCCCACAACCATGGCCTCTACCCACTTTGTGCCAGTAGCACCTCCCCTTCGGCTGTTACAAGCAGAAATGTCTTCAAACATTGCCAAATATTGGACCACTGCCTAGGGAACGAAATCCCTCCCAGTTGAGGACCATTGTCCTAGCTCAAAATAATCTGTATCAGCTGACTTTCACTGTATGAGTGAAAGTTGTGAATGTTGTTATTATTTATAGTTATCTCTAAAATACTTTTTGAAATAACACGAAAAAGGATCCCCTCCTGACACAGAGGCAAGGGGCTGTACTAGTTAATGCAGAGGGTAAGGGTGCACGTTACCCTGACGATCCTCTTTGTGTTGTATGGACGCTGTCCCACCGCCATTTCGCTCATCTCCACGGAGCAGTGACTGAGTCCCTGCTCTGTGTGAGGTGTGACTCTGTCGCCTACATGCAGTTGTCAGAGGTCGCTTTCGGGAATATGACTCCGCATAGACAGGTCTATAATGTGACTGTAACTTGCCTCATAAGAGAGAGGTAGTTACAGTAATGATTTCTACAGAGTTCATTTCTTTCTAACTCTTGTAAAGTTATCTAGAATCTGAAATGACCTCTTATCTCTTCACACTTGCCATTATGACTACCCATTACCTATGGAATACCTGTTACACAAGGGGCAGGGCTGGAGTGAGAAGATGTTGCTGTCCTGTGAGTACTTCGGTGTAGTAAGGATGAGGAGACAGGTGTGCGAAAAGGTTACTAGGTGCAGATGACCATGTGACTGAATGCCTGGATGGTGAGAAAGACATGGGGTGGAGTTTAGGAAAACAAAGACCACTGGAGGAAGACATCGTAGGTAAAGTAGCCCTGGTCCGCCGGAACGTCCTGACGTCTTTCTCTTGCATTTCCGTTTTCATAGGTACATCCCAGCTGTGGTTGACCATACAGCAGGCTTGCCCTGCCAGGGGACGTTTTTGCTTCACCAGGTACTAATAAGGGAGCAAAAGAGGGTCCAGGAGGAAACACAGAAATAAGAGTTTCGAATAAGAAACATAACTCTGAATATCTGCTTTTTCTTTTCATTTCTAAGGGATTTGGATGTGGTGGGGACATTGTCCTGTTCTTTGTTACTTTCTTTTTTTGTATGTTTGTTTTTGTTTTTTTTTTAATATTTATTTATTTATTTATCTTTAGAGGAGAAGGAGAGAGGGAGAGAAACATCAATGTATGGTTGCCTCTAATGCGTCCCCTGCTGGGAGCTGGCCTGCAGGGAACTTGCTTGCAACCCAGGCATGTGCCCTGACTGGGAATTGAACTGCGATCCTCTGGTTCGCAGGCCAGTGCTCAATCCACTGAGCTACACCAGCCAGGGTGTATGTTTGTTTTTAATGTTTCTTCCTCAGACCTTAGCTTACACATACCTTTGCTTTTATATGTAAATGTAACGGAGAACTATTTTGATAAAAGATTTTGCTTCATTCAGTTACTATAATTTGTTCATTTTCCATGTCATTTCATACAATTTCCATTTTGTGATGTTTGGAAACTGCTTTCACAGCAGAAGTTCTTAATGAAGATAGAGGATGCAGGTTTCGGTGGACGAAAAGTCCGGCTGTGAAACGTGGGAAGGTAGCTGTGGACAGAACGGCTGGGAGTCTCGTGCTCCGTGACATACGAGCTGGGCATCTGTTCTTAAAGCCGTAGCAGAACCCGGCTCTTCCTCAGTCCCTGACCTATACCCATTGTTCAGAATGACAGTGTGGACAGCACATTTCCCCTTGGTCTCTTACCCCTCTTTCCTGCCTTTCCTGACACCAAACAATCCAGAAAACAACAAACGAGAAGGACTAATAGTTTGTCCTAGCTAAACTACAACCCTGCTCCATTATCCAGGGTATCCAGCGAAGGATCACAGTGACCATTATCCACGAGAAGGGAAGTGAGCTCCACTGGAAAGATGTTCGTGAACTGGTGGTAGGTGAGTGCATTCTGTTGGCTAAGGACAGAGTCAGGCTTTTTAGAGATTAAATTCTTCCTGTTGGGTGCCCAGGGAATGCGTGAGACTGTACGGGAGAACACAGAGGCCGTGAGGTTGAAACTGCTCCTTTTTCTCAGCTCCATCATTAGGGATGCGTTATTCAGCCATTGTTTTACTCAGTTACTGTGGGCGTGGTTCTGTGCCAGAAGGCTCTGCTCACTGTGAGCTTGCCCTTCACTTGAAGAGACAACACGCACGTGTGCAGAGCGGTTCCATCCAGAAGTACCGAGTGAGAACAGGGGAAGAGGTCTGAATGGGTTCTGGGGAAATTAGAGGGGATTCATTTTGTGTTCCACAAAACATTTAAAGTAAGAAAGTCAGGGATATGTCTAACATGCAGATAGCTAGCAACCCATAAGCAGAGTAGGAAAATTAAGGCATAGCGAGAGGAGAAACTTGGCTGAACAGTCTAACCTTTAGAATAGTAGGGCAGGGGTTCTGAGCCTTCTCTTGCCTTCAGCCCTTTGACAGTGGTGAAGCCTCAGAATTATGGGTTGGGTTTTTTTTTTTTTTTAAGATTTTGTTTATTTATTTTTAGAGAGAGGGGAAGGGAAGGTGAAGAGGAGAGAAACATCAGTGTTTGGTCACCTCTCACACACCCCCTACTGGGGACCTGGCCTGCAACCCAGGCATGTGCCCTGACTGGGAATAGAACCAGCAACCCTTTGGTTTGCAGGCCTGCCCTCAATCCACTGAACCACACCAGCCAGGGCAGAATTGTGTTTTTAAATGTAGAAGTATTTAGGATTACAGGGGGAACTAATACTATTGAAACAGAATTATTAAAATTCTAAACAAATTTGTAACCTAAGCTCTTCTAGGTTGCTGCATTAAGCAGTAGATTGAATTTCTGTAGTTTCAAACCAGAGATGAATGTGAAGATACTGTGCATTAGTGTGTTACGAAAGCATCCGTGATCTCTGCTGGGGATGGACTCAGGGGCACTGCTGATTCTCCTGTGGTTTGTCCCCGCTTCCCATGGTTGAAGGAACTGCTGAATTTCCTAGTCAGAGGAAGTTCAGTCAGAGGGTCATGAAAATAAAGTTGGTGGTTTTTTTCCTAGTCACATTCATGGGCATTTTGAATTCTCTCCATAGACCCCTTCAGATTAAAAACTCCTGGAAGGAAAAGTACACTCTCTCCTGTTTGGGGCAGTAGTTTTCAAGCTTTTTCAAAATCAATCCTTATATGGAAAATTATTATACAAAACTGAAGAGATGCTTTCTTTTTAAAAAGTACCCATGTGCTGGTTTCTTTCTTTCAGGCCGGATTAGGAATAAGGCTGAGGTGGATGAAGCCGCGGTGGATGCCATCCTCTCCCTAAACATCATCTCTGCCAAGTATCTGAAGTCCTCCCACAACTCCAGCAGGTGGGGCACCCTAAGGAGCCTGATAGCCTGCCCTATAGGCTGACCGATACACTGTTAGAGTCCTCATTCATTAGTGACTCCCATTTAGGTGGAGAAATTAATTCCCTTCTCACTTCAAAATTCCTATTTCTTCTCTCACCCCCACCTAACTCCCCCAGGTAAGTACATAAATAACGGGAGATGCATGTGTGTGATTAGTGACCCCCAGAGGATGGAAATGTTCTGTCCTGTGTGCAGCAGCTGTAACTCAGTGAAAGAGAAGCAGAAAAAGAATGCTATCAGCATGCTGTCCAGTGGTGTAGAAAGTACAGATTCATTACTGCTATGACTAGAAGCTCTGTGAAGGGGTGGCTGTGGAGAAGGTTCTCTCAGTCCTGGGTGTGCTGGAAGCGTGACCTCCTGGGGTGGCGAACCCTCTCGTGCGTCGTCCTTGCGGCTGCCAGTATAGGCTGCCTTTTAATTTTCAATTAGTTTTCCTTAAAATTGCACTTTAATCAATTGATGACAGACACTGCATCAAGTACGTGACCATTCCACTTTTCCGTTTCCAACTGGAAATTACCTGCTGGGCCCTCCCACCTCCGCAGGAAAGGAGCTCTGCCATTGTGCATGGAGATTCGTTTTGTTACATAGTTAAGGGCTGGGAAGGAAGCACGTGTGTTCTGACATGGGCCTAGAATGCTGCGTTTGCATTACAGGGCTTCTCCGTGCTTGTCTGCTCTTGAAGAACTCGCTCACAGCTGTATTGGGAAGAGGGAGAGGAAAAACAAGAGAATAGGAAAAAACAGAATTAAAAGTTTGGGCCAGGATTAATTTTTTTCCATTATTTCCTTGTGTCATAGTTTTGCATAGGAAGGAGAAAAAAGAAGCATCTGCTTTTTGCCTGTAAGAGTCGCTGGCAGCGGCTATGGAAAGAGAGGGCAGAGATTCGAGAGGGCGTGTATGTTCAGGGATGAGTGGCAGAAACAAGGAAGGAAGCGCCGACCCCCCCCCACCACCACCACCACCGGCCTAAAATCTTGAGCAGTACCGTTCTCTCAAGTCAGCACTAACGCCTAGTAATGTTTTGAATCCTGCTGGACGTTCACAGCAGACAATCGGTGGCATTCACCACATTTTCTTTGGAGCTGTGAGAAGCACATCTTAAATTTCCCTAGGGTACCTAGCAAAATACATGGTGTTAGGTTGAAATGCTGGTTGTGCTAAACTTGCCTACATTGGAATAACCTTCGAAAATCCTTTCTTCGTGTCCAGCTCAAGTCAGATGCTATAGGCGGAGAAGTCAGCTTTGACAGAAGCAGCTTGTCTTTCATGATGGAAGCTTGGTATTAATCAAAAAAGTTGACTAAGTCAAGAACACTTTAAATATTTTTGTTTTAATTTAAACTATGTAAATGTACATTAACTTGTCAAGCTCTTACTGTCAGGCCAAGGCCTTTTTTCAACTGTAGGGGCATTTATTGGATGTCTGGTTGTCTTGCAAAACCACATCTGTAATTCATGGTCTGTGGTTTTCAATTTGGCGGAGCGAGAACTAGAAATCTGTGAAGAAAATCTGAGTGCTGACTTCTGATCAAGATGCCAGCATAGGTAAACGTGTATCACCGCCTCCCACAACCACATCAAAATTACTGAAATATAGAACAACCATCTTCCAGAACTGTCAGAAGTCAAGTTGATTCTAAGTCCAACAACTACAGAATTAAAGAAACCACATCCATCCAGATCGGTAGGAGGGGCAGAGACGTGGAATGAGCTGGTCTCACATCCACATGTGGTAGATAATTTGGGAGGGATATCTTGGGAGCAAGGAGTCCCAGCCCCATACCAAGCCCCCCAGCCCAGAGTTCCAGTGCCAGGAAGATAAGTCCCCACAACTGGCTGCAAAAACCATCAGGGATTGAGTCAGTGGAAGAAACTTTTGGAGTCCCAAGCAGTTCCTCTTAAAGAACCCACGCAGACTTACTCAGATCTACTCCTTGTGAGCTCCAGCACTGGGGCAGCGGCTTGAAAGGCACCAGTGGCATACGGGGGGAACCGAAATGTCAGGAATCCAGGTCGGAGCTGGAGGACCGTTTTTTTCAGACGGGTGGGAAGAGGCCATTGTGTCTTTTCAAAGTCCTCCCCTGACGGCCTCAGAGCCAGCAAGTGGGTGCCATATCTGAGACCCCATCAGCCCGGCTAACACTGTTTGCCCCACTCTGGAGATCACGAGACTTGGAGACTTTGTCCCACCCAACTTAAGGGCCCACCCAAACTGTTAATCCTGACTTTTCCAGGTGAATGGCTGGTTCGGGGTTATGCTTCATGTCTTCCTAAATTTTAATCAAACAATCAAGAGCTGCCTCAGTGAGCCTCCACCCCTGTGCATCTTGCTAAGTGGCCCAGGCCTGGCACTAGTGGCAGCCAGCCTAGATTTGCAGCTCGGCTTTGTCTGGGAATCTCCAAGCCCAGCACAAGTAGCAGCCATCTCAGATTGATTTAGAGCTCATGCATTGTGGCCCTGGGAAGAGCACAGGTGGGGTCTGACCTTGGCCTGTATCACCCGGGAAACCCCAGGACCTGCACACCACACCCCACTGTCAGCTACAGTTCATGCTAGAGTATCATTACCCTACCCCTACACAGCTGATCCTCCATGGAAGGCAGAGGTTGCTGCTCAGCCGTTGCAGCTGATTGTCCTGAGAAAATCCCTCGCACTGACTTGCCAACAGCAACCAAAGTTCAACTACAAGAGGAGGTGTACTCAGGCCACACAAAAGGCACCCCTCAAGTACCCAGCTTCGGTGACAGGGGAGCTGTGCCACTGGACCCTACAGGACCCTACAGGACACCTACTATATTAGGCTACGCTGCCAAGATGGAGTCATAGCAGTTCTAATACATAGAAACAAATATAGGGAGGCTGCTAAAATGAGACAAAGACACATGGCCCAAATGAAAGAACAGATCAAAACTCCAGAAAAATATCTAAATGGAGATAAGCAGTCTGTCAAATGGAGAGTTCAAAACACTGGTCATAAGGATGCTCAAGGAACTCAGAACCTCAGCAGCATAAAAAAGATCCAGTCAGAAACTAAGGAAGATAACGGTACTTGAACAACAATTTAAAAAAAGAAGGATACATTAATGGAAATAACAATTTATAGGGAAACAACAGTAGAGTGAATGAAGCCTAGAATTAAATCAATGATTTGGAACATAAGGAAGCAAAAACCAGCCAATCAGAACAACAAGAAGAAAAAAGAATTCAAAAAATGAGGATGGTGTAAGCAGCCTCTGGGACAACTTCAAGTGTTCCAACATTCTCATCATAGGGGTGCCAGAAGGAGAAGGGAAAGAGCAAGAAATTGGAAATTATCTGAAGAAATAGTGAGAGAAAACTTCCCTGATTTGGTGAAGGAAATAGGCAAGTCCAGGAAACACAGAGAGTCCCAAACAAGATGGGTGCAGAGAGGCCCACCCCAAGGCACATCATAATTAAAATGCCAAAGGTTAAAGATAAAGAGAATCTTAAAAGCAGCAAGAGAAAAGCACTTAGTTACCTACAGGGGAGTTCCCATAAGACTGTCAGCTGATTTCTCAAAAGAAAGTTTGCAGGCTAGAAGGGATTGGCAAGAAATATTCAAAGACATGAAAAGCAGGGATTTACAGCCAAGGTTACTCTCTCCAGCAAAGCTATCATTAGAATCAAAGGCCAGATAAAGAGCTTCCCTGACAAGAAAAAGACAAAGGAATTCATTATCCCTAAACCATTATTATATGAAATGTTAAAGGGACTTACTTAAGAAAAGGAAGGTCAAAAGTATGAACAATAAAATGGCAGTAAATACGTATCTATCAACAGTTGAATCTAAAAAACAAACTAAGCAAACAAGTAGAGCAGAGACAGAATCACTGATACAGAGAGCATTTTGATGGTTGCCAGATGGGAGGGGAGTGTGGGAGAACGGGTGAAGAGGTGAGGGGGTTAAGGAGTACAAATAGGTAGTCACAGAGTACCCACGGGCATGTAAAGTACGGTATGGGAAATGGAGTAGCCAAAGAACTTACCTGGATGACCCATGGACACGAACAGTGGTGGAGGGATTTCCTGTGGGGATAAGGGTACTAGGTGGAGGGGGGAGCAAAGGGAGGAAAATCAGGATAATTGTAATCAAAATATAATTTAAAAAAATTTTAAGTGCCAAATCTTTTATTAATTTCCCTTTCTTTTACATTGACCTCATCCACACTTAACTGTTTTTTACACAACTCACCATTATCAAATCTTTTTAAAATGGTCAACCGATTTTTACACTTAGTTGTGATTCACACTGAACGAAAAATTTTTTTGCCCTCATGTCTCATTGATTTGCGTAATATTTAATTAAATTAGATTATTACATTAACAAATAGAACTGCATGAACAGGTTTGGGATCAAATATTACTGATATTTGATAAGCTTACAGCTCACCTCTTTGGAGCAAGTAGTCTAAATATAGGAGACATATCTCTAGTTTCAAATATTCAGTGAGAACTACACATCAGTCTTTATATTTTAGGGACATGGGAAATGTAAGTCAGAGTGGTAAGTTACTACATGGAGTTTGGTTAAGAGAACTTTTGTTCTGTTTGCCTAGGGTTTAATGTTTACACTTGGGCTGACAGAACTGCAGTTTGGGTGTGTTATGTATGTAAGTTGGAGGACGTTTCTGTCGTATGGATACTGGGGTGACTCAGAAGCTTCGCTTCTCCTTTTCCTCCAACTCCTACACTTACATTACGCACCTTACTGACTTGTTCCTCTTAATCCACAGCAGCTTCGACCATTTCCAAGGCTTAGTCCCGCGCCCCCCAAGGGGATGTTAGTAGAGGCTGTCTCCATATCCCCTCCTGTGCCCAGCGTTTTCTGTCATTGCATGTCTCAGGAGAGGGACCCATGCCACTGCTGAATTCCTCTGTAAATTGTGTGCCGTGGAGTTCTCTGCTAATTGTCCACTTGAATTTTGCTTGACAGCAAATTTGTCTTTTTTATATGTATTTTCCTCTCTTCTACTTTCCTCTCTGTTTTTTTTTTTAATTTTGCTTCACTAACAAAAGCTTTTTCTATGTTTTTGCAGGCTCTTTCTTGATAAGGATATTCCTAGGTATTTTCTGTTTGCTTTTTTGCACCTAGAGATTCTAGTTTATTGATGCTTTATGTCTAGTGTTGCTTTGATTGTTGTCTAAATTCAGTGTTTCCCCCACGCAAATCTCAGCAAACCTGGAACAGAGAGAAGCTGTTCTGTACCTGTTGTGCCCTGGGCTTTCTGGTGTGTGCAGAATTTCACACACACCTTCTTAAAGGATTCGTGTGATTCTTTATATTTTCTAATCCCATTTACTAAACTTGTCCATTTTATTCTTGTGCCTCTCAGGGTTTTCCCTTGTATGTTACAAAATAGAACGTTATTCCCCTCGTTTCATAGAGACTCTCGGGCTTTGTTTTCTCTTCTCTTAGTCTGCTCTCTGTCAAAAGCTCGAAAAGTTTGTTGCTCTGTATGTGGCTTTGCATAATTATTACCTTTTTTCTTTGCTTTTGTCTTAAATGGTAGTGGAGACCAATTTAGCTATTTGGGTAGCTGAGTCTGTGAGAAATATTTTTATGGTTAAACTTTTCTCCTGTCAGGGCTATTTGTCTCATCATTTACTTTTTTCTTTTGAATATAAAAAAACAGTGAAGGAAAATTTTCCCATCTCTCTCTTTATTCAATTTAGGGAAGAAAAAAAGGGATACATGGCAATATGGCCTAAAATGCATTAATGTTTTTTCTAAAACACACACACACACACACACACACACCCATCCCCCACCCCCCCTCCATTGTTCAGACATTTGAGAAATCCATTCGAGATCATTTTCTAACCATGGTAAGAGCCACACAGGAAACCATGTCTCCAGATTTAGCTCTTGCTAGGTGATTCAGTTGACATTTCTCACCTGTCTTGAGTGTATTTCTTCAGCCACCTGTCAAAAATTGCCACCTTCGAGCCCTGGCTGGTGTAGCTCAGTGGGTTGAGCGCAGGCCTGCGAACCACATGATCGCAGTTCGATTCCCAGTCAGGGCACATGGGTTGCAGGCCAGGTGCCCAGTTGGGGGTGGGTGAGAGGCAACAGAAGATCAGTGTTTCTTTCTGTCCCTCCCTTCCCCTCTCTAAAAATAAATAAAATCTTTAAAAAGTAAGAATGCAGTGAAACATGTATATTTTAAATTCCTTTATGAGCCCTGGCTGGGTAGCTCAGTTGGTTAGCGCATTGTCCCTACTCATGAAGGTTGTGAGTTTCATCTCCAATCAGGACACATACAGGATGCGTCACCAAACGGAGTAATACATTGATGTTTCTCTCTCCCTCTGGCTCCCCCTTCCTCTCTCTCTCTCAAATCAATTTTTAAAAATTCCTTTATGTTAGGCAAGTTTCTGCCAGTGAAATTTTCTCCTTAGGTTAAGGGAAAACCTGAAAACAAAAATGTGAAGAGGTTTTCTTACACAAATGTAAAGCATTTGCCTCATTTGAAAAAGAGTCACAAGGCCTAAAACCATGGCAGGGGGAGGCGCTGCGATGTGGTTTCAGATTGCAGGCAGCAGTGAGAGGAGTATCTGTCAGGGGCCCCACGTTAACAAATGCCCTCCCTCTAGGAAGGGGGCTCCTTGCACTTCAGCAGGGGTGTGTCCAGACCTGGTGGTGTGTCGGTAAGTTCCTGTTCTACCTGCACAAACAGAGATTGCGGTCTCAAGTGACAGAGCCCTCGGTGGCTTCCACCGAAGTAGTGGAATTGCCACCCAGTATTGAATTCTTCTCAAACCAAATTAAAATGAAGACTTGATCAAAACAAGGCATCGTGGATGCATGAAGAGTTCTCTGCTGAGTCCAGTGAGCTTCGGAGCCATGGGAAGGCTTCTGTTGTCCTTCGTCATGGTCATTATTTGGGTCTCTTGGTTATTATCTCCATTTTTGTCATGTTGGATGTGTCTGCATTCCTTTAGTGGCCTTGTGGAGAATTTTCTCAGTCCACACACGCTGCCTGAAAAACTAGATGTTTTAAGCAAGCATCAGGTACTTCAAGAAGACTTGGATCTAGAAGCAGCTACAAACTGAAATGCTCAGGCTTTACACAGCGGCACTTGGAGGGTGGGGTGCAGTTAAGGAGTTCTTTTGGAAGTGGATTGTTCTCTGTGTCGTTTCTAGAGAAAGAATCGTGGGAACAGTTCAGAGATAAGGTATGCCAGTTATTTGTCGTAGGAAAGCCGGAACAGACAGCACCAGTGGGAAGGAGGCAGGAGGACGGTATGGGGTAGGGAACAGGCATCTAAGACTTTTGTTGAATCGGGTGAGGTGTAGTACACGTTCGGAGAACTGGTGGCGGTGGGAAATCCACTCTGCTGGGATGACAAGGTGTGTCCCCCAGCATCGGTTTCGGGGGTCTTAGAAGGAGCCCGAATAGTGTTGGGAGACGATGTGTCACACTACTGTTACTCAGTCCCTTGCTTCAGATGAGATGTGCTAGACTGGAGGTTAATGTCAGTTAGGGTCTGTTATTTACCTGTGGCAAAAAAAGAAAACTATTAGAATAACTTTTAAAATGTTACAGTGTCTGTTAAATCAAGCTCCTAGTTATTTAAACGTAAGATTGACTTTCAAGTGAATTATTTTGGAAAACTGACATAATAGTTGGCTAGCTTTGTGATTAAAAATCATTTACTAAAACATCAGCTAAGAATAACCTCTGCTCTTTTATTTAAAACAAGGTTGTCTATACTTTTTTCTTCATGAGTTCTCCCGGATCGGTTTGTCACATTTCTGGGCTCAGCAATACTGGGTTGTGATATGAAGACCGCAGCTTATAAATTACTGAGTATTTGCTTCCTGCTCTCAGATGAGCGTACTTAGTTTTTCTTTCTTCTCTCAGTTTTTGTCTACACTCACCCTTTCCGCTTAATCCCTTTGGTTGAGCTCACTGCTTTGATGGTGTAGGCCGAGGAGAAGCAGACTCGTTCCACTGCCACCAAAAAATAGCATAGCCAAGTGTCCCTTGATGGTGGGTGGGGGCAGGGGGGCTCCCTTTTTCTCCCGGGAGGTAAAGGTTCCACTCTGCTGTTAGATTTCAGTAAACCGAAAACGTTGATTGGCATACGATCCTGTAATGTATGCCAATGACAGTGACAGTTTCTGGACTGAGGTGACTTCACCTCCTTTTGGATGACTCCTTGCCTTTCTGACCTTAGGACCTTCTACCGTTTTGAGGCCGTGTGGGACAGCTCCCTCCATAACTCCCTTCTTCTCAACCGAGTAACACCCTATGGGGAAAAGATCTACATGACCTTGTCGGCCTACTTAGAGGTGAGGAGACCCAGAACTTGACTTGCTACAAACAGGCAGCCCTGAACAGCGGGCAGGTTGCCGCAGGAAATAGTAGGAAGACTCCACTGATCTCCCTTCTCCCTCCGCATCCTTCAGTTATTTATCTTATTATACTTTACTGAATGTTCTGATTATGTTAGGTCCTAGTCTCTATTTAATCAAAAAGTCACGTGCCTTTTCTTAGCTTTAGTAGCCCAGTCTTCCAAGAATGTGTGACTTTAAGAAAACTTCAGCCCCTGCTTTTGTAGTTTGAACAGAGCCTAGTTAAGGCTAACAGCACAGGCCCTGGAGCCAGCCTGTGTGGGTCCCGCCTCCATGCTGCCACTTACTCTCTGCATGTCCTTGGTCAAATGACTTCATCTCTGTGAGCCATTATTACAAAAAAAAAACAAACTTTGAAAAAACTTGTGAAAACTAAATGTATCTGCAATATTACCCATGGCGTGGCTGTTGAAACAATCGGTAGAGCTGGAATCCTCCAGGCCCCACGTCAGGGACCAGCATTCCAAACGTGGCGGTGCACGGACTGTTGTCCCAGATGCTTTCTCTGCCCCTCACGGAGCCCACTCCTGTCTGCTTTCAGCTGGATCATTGCATCCAGCCGGCTGTCATCACCAAGGACGTGTGTATGGTCTTCTATTCCCGGGATGCCAGGATCTCACCGCCACGCTCTCTGCGCAGCCTCTTTGGCAGCGGCTACTCCAAGTCTCCAGATGCGTAAGTTTTTGAGACAGGTTTAGCTTCCAGTTGGTGTGCCCAGTAATGAATCACCAGGGCCCTAGGTATCCCTGGCTTGCGGTTTTAGGGGTAGTTTACAACCTATAAGCCATTCTGGCATTAACACCTGGAATGCAATGACTTGAATGTTGGCGTTTAGTAAAATAATGAATGAATGGGCTAAGGAAAGAAGGGAGGAAGGAAGATTGCATTGTGAACACGTCCAAAATGGTCTGCAAGGACTGAATGTTTTTATAACAAAATATCACCATTATTCTAACAGATTACCAGTGGGATTTTTCTTCTTTTAAAGATTTATTCATATTTAAGATACACAAAAATATATCAAGAATAACAGTGAATACCTATGCATAACAGCCAACATAAAATATAAGTATTATTAATAAAATAGAAGGTTCAGTACCCCTTCCTAATTGTTCTCCCCAGAGTTTGATGTTTATCACTTTGTTCTACTTGGACTTCCCCCCTCCTTCTTTATATTGTAAGCTGTTTAGTTTAATCATTTGACTTTATTCATCCTATTAAAATTTAAATGTTCAAAAGATTGACTTGAGGACAGATGTAGGATATAGGAAAAATATATACTTCTCAAGTTCAGAATAGGAAAAAAATAATATACTTATATTTGAGGGTGAGTTGCAGTCCCTACCAAGGAGACAGCGTTTTGCAGGGGTGTCCAACCTTTTGGTGTCTGTGGGCCACACTGAAAGAAGAGTTGTCTTGGGCCACACAGTAAATACATTGCAACATGTAATCACAAAAAATACCATGGTGTTTTAAGTAAGTTCACAATTTTGTGTTGGGCCACGTTCATAACCATCCTGAGCCGCATGTGGCCCGCAGGCCACAGGTTGGACCCCCCTGATAATAGAGGGAATTGAGATTTTCCTGTTTCTGTGCTGTGAGATTTTAAGCAATTGTTTGTTTTAATTCAAATAGCAATCGAGTCACTGGAATTTATGAACTCAGTTTATGCAAAATGGCAGACACAGGTAGTCCAGGTAAGATCTTACCGACGGGGACGTGATAGTTGTCTCTGCGTGTGTTTGGAGTGTATTGTGTCCAAAATGTACCCTGCCCACGTGGGTGGGTAGAAGCTGTTCAAGATGCCAGGCATGTTTTACGAGGCAGATTTTTCGTGCTGGAGCTTACCTTTTTCTGAGTTACAACACTGCAGTTCATGACATACAAGACTTTTATAACTGTGTCAAACAAAATGTTTACCAAGCTCTGGAATATTATTTACAAATTCAGGTATATTAGATTGAATTTGGCTTGGAAAACTTCATAAACATTTTGCTGTCCACCTCAGCCCCAAAGGTAGTTCGGCAGTTTCACTTTACAGGTGATGGCAAAGCAGAATGTGAACAGCCAGTGCTCTAGAACATGAATGGAGTTGAACTTTTCTTCTCTTTGATGTCTCTTTGGACTTCTTTTCCTTCACCTTGGTGGCCTTACACAGGGGTTTTCTTTCTGTTTGTTTCTTTAACATTTTATGTATTTTAGAGAGAGGGGAAGGAAGGGAGATCAGTCAGCTGCCTCGCACACGTCTGCTACTGGGGAACCGGCCCGCAGCTCAGGCATATGCCCCAACCAGGCATTGAACCGGCAGCCTTTTGGTTTGCAGGCCAGCACTCAATCCACTGAGCCACACCAGCCAGGGCAAAAGTCAGGATTTAAAAAAAAACAAAAGACATTTGGTTAATATGAATTGGAATCCTTTTAGAGAGAATATATGGAAAGAGGTCAGGGCTCACAGTTAAGATTTCGATTTTTAAAAATGAAGACTTTGAGTATGCATCTCAGTAGCAGCTAATTATCATGTCCAGGGAGTTTCTGGAGGGATTTTTAAAGTTAACATAAATTTATGTCTTATATATGTAAAAGCAGTTTAACATTTTCAAAAAGTAATGAGCCCTGGCTGGTGTAACTCAGTGGATTGAGCGTGGGCCTGAGAATCAAAGGATTGCTGGTTCAATTCCCAGTCAGGGCACATGCCTGGGTTGTGAGCTGGGTCCCCAGCACTGGGTGCACGAGAGGCAATCACACATTAATGTTTCTCTCCTTCTTTTTCTCCCTCCCTTCCCCTCTCTAAAAAATACATAAAATCCTTTAAAAAAATAGTAATGGGAGACAATGGGGGTTAAAGCCACCTGTCATCTGCCGTTCTAACCAAACTACTTAGACGCGGGGGATATGCACGTGCATGTGTGCATTTCCTTCCCACCTTTTTCATACAGGTGTATTTTTATGTATTTGGCACCATAGTGTACAGACTATTTAATCTTCTCTGTATTTTCCTTTACATAATAACTTTTTCTCAAGTTGCATTGCAGTTTTCATAATTACCAAAGAATATAAAACTCATTTTTAAAAGAAATTAGGAGAGTGGCTCTGGGGGAAGTGATGAATTGTTATTAACTAACAAAATTCCATGTATTTCCAGACCAAATCTATCTTAGTTCTCCATGTATATGAATTATTCGTTTGTTTTGAGGTGAAATTGGAGTTGAATTTTTCTGAAAAAAAGTTGCTTCCTCTTGTCTTAGGCATGCAGAGGAGGAGGAGAAAAGTCCTGGACACCTCAGTGGCGTACGTGCGGGGAGAAGAGAACTTAGCAGGCTGGCGGCCCCGCGGAGACAGCCTCATCCTTGAGCACCAGTGGGAACTGGAGAAGCTGGAGCTCCTACACGAGGTAGCCCAGCACGGGGGACGCTCGGCTGGACTCCTGAGCAGGAGTGCCCAGGATCAGTCATCCAGTCCCTGCCTCTGCGGGATCCTGGCTTTTCCGTTTTGATCACGATGAGGAGTAACGCTGTGCTTACAAATCCTGATGAGCCTTATGTTTGCTGATTTGTCTTTGTTGTTCTTCGTAGGTGGAGAAAACCCGCCACTTCCTGCTGCTGCGTGAGAGACTCGATGACAGCATCCCCAAGTCCTTGAGCGACTCGCTGTCCCCCAGCCTGAGCAGTGGAACCCTCAGCACCTCCACCAGCATCTCCTCTCAGATCTCAACCACCACCTTCGAGAGCGCTGTCACACCCAGTGAGAGCAGTGGGTACGACTCGGCAGACATCGAGAGCCTGGTGGATCGGGAGAAAGAACTGGCCACCAAGGTTCGAAGCCCTCCCTTGGCTGAGCGTTTCACCAGTGAGACTCTGAGCTGATCTGTCAGTCCCATGTTCATCTTTCCTGGGGGCCTCTGTTCCATGGCCTGTGCTAACACTATGGATGTGGAAATAAGTAAAAGTCAGTTTCTACCCTTAACAAGCCTACGGGCAAGTGGTGACAGGCATGTGATAGAGGTGTATGTCTAGGCATTGTGGGAGTCAGAGGAGAGGCCTCAACGGAGGGGCCCTTGTGAACCAACCTTGGAAGGATGCAAGGAGGGAGCCAGCCGTCCTGCACAGTCGGTGTGGGAGTCCCATGGGGGACCAGAGATGGAGTTAGCAAGGTGGGCCAGGGCATCGTGAAGGGTCTGTGCACCGTTCTAAAGCGTTTCCAGTGCCTTGGGAGTAATGTGGAGGTACTTTAAGCAGGTATTTATGTTTTAGAAAGACTTGTCTGACAGCATTGAAGAGGGTGGATTTGTGGTGAAGAGAGAGACTAGAGGCAGAGAAATGTCTTTACTGCAATAATGCAGATGAGAAACGGTAAAGGCTTTTATCTAGGACAGGCGTGTGGAATGAAGAGGAAGGAGAGTCGTGCTAGAGACACTCGGGAGTTAGAAGTGGCACTTTGTGTCCTGGGTGTGGTGGGAGAGGGCAGAGGGGTCGTTGAGGGAGACTCCCGGGCAGATTAGAGGGACTTAGTGTCTACATTTTGTTTTAATAATCAAACGGTGGTCGGATTGATTTAGGTAAATAGGTCCATCCAGAAGTCTCCATGCCTCTCCTCTAGTGCCAGGGCAAAATAGGAATGAAAGGGATGCTATTGCATTCTTAAACACTTTTAGAGATTTAAGAATGGCTTTTATACCCACTCATTTTAGCTTTTTAATGAGGCATGTACAGACTCCCTTGCTGAATGTTTAGTTAATTTCTAGAGCTGTAGAGCAGCATCTGACCTCCCCTGTGGGTCTTAGGCATGTGATTTTCCCTTCCTGCTTTGCACTCGGGGCTTCGTCTAATCACTGAAACTTACACCACCCCTTTCTCTTCCCTAGTGCCTGCAGCTTCTCACCCACACTTTCAACCGAGAATTCAGCCAGGTGCACAGCAGCATCAGTGACTGCAAGGTGAGCGGCCCTCTGGTGACTGTCATTTGTTCTTAATTTCGTGTCTTTGGTTATATTTTGCTTACTTATTTGTTTTGTTGATTAGATTCCAGTTAAAGGTGAGATCATATGGTATTTGTCTTTCACTGCCTGGCTTTTTTCACTCAGCATAATGCTCTCTGGTTCCATCCACGCTGTTGCAAAGGGTAGGAGCGCCTTCTTTCTTTCTGCTGCGTAGAATTCCATTGTGTAAATGTACCACAGTTTTTCGATTCACTCATTTACTGGTGGGCACTTGGGTTGCTTCTAGCACTTGGCTATTGTAAATTGTGCTGCTATGAACATTGGGGTGCATAGGTTCTTTTGAATTGGTGTTTCAGGGTTCTTAGGATGTAATCCTAGCAGAGGAATTGCTGGGTCAAAAGGCAGTTTAATTTGTAGTTTCTGAGGAAATTCCATACTGTTTCCCATAGTGGCTGCACCAGTCTGCATCCCCACCAACAGTGCACTAGGGTCCCCTTTTGTCCCCACCTCTCCAACACTTGTTTATTGCTTTGTTTATGATGGCCATTCTGACCGGTGTAAAGTGGTATCTCACTGTGGTTTTAATTTGCATCTCTCTGATGTCTAGTGATACTGAGCATCTTTTCATATGTCTCTGGACCCACCGTATGTCCTCCTTGAAGCCGTAAAATACTTATTGTAAGGTTTTTTTTTAATGACCTGAAGCAGAAGAAGATTAATGAAAGTGAGGCCACTGGTTGTCAAAGCTTCTTATTACAGAGGGAGTTTTTCTCCATCGCTGTCTCACGGGCTGTTCCGTTTGCTTCCAGTTGTCTGACGTCTCTCCAATTGGACGCGATCCCTCGGTGTCCAGCTTCAGCAGCGCGACCCTCACGCCCTCCTCCACCTGCCCCTCTCTGGTAGACTCTAGGAGCAACTCTCTGGATCAGAAGTAGGTACCGATTTCACTGAGAGAAGCTGATCTGGGGACCCAGGGAAATACTAGCCTTCCTCTAGCCCGGTGGTTCTCAGCCGAGGGCAGCACCACCCTGCTAGGCAGCCTTTGGAAACGTGCGGGAGCCTTTTCTGGGTATCACAGTGACTGGGGCGGTGCTGCCCACATCTTTTAACACCATGTCTTCTAACTTTCTGCACTAAATCATTGCCTCCTGTTCTTATTCCAGTTCTGTTCAATTGTCCTTCCATTCCTGCCCTGCTCAGCTACCCAGTTATACCAGATATAGGAAACCCCATCTTGGGGAAAATTATTTCAAAACTCATTTGGAAAAAAACATTTTGATGGCACATGGCATATGTAGGTAAGAATAATGGAGACAAATTTAGTCCATATTCCGTGAGTTTACCACTACAGTCACTCCTTTGCACGATTAGACTCCTTTACTCTGTCTCCATTCCTTACACTCACCTGTCAGAATCCGCCTAGGTATCATCCAGTTGTCTGTCTTCATGCACCAACACTCACGCAACTGAATGTGGCTAGAGAAAATACCACAACCAGGCAGTGTGATTAATTCTAGGATGCTACTGACTATAAGACATTCTGTGTGCCACTAAGAAAGAAAAAGCACTCCCACTAAAAGGTGAGACACTATTGATTGTAAGATGCACCCCAACTTGAGGACTGGTAAGGCATTGAACACAGCAGAGCACAGGAATTATTTCTCCCCTGACAGTGCTGGACTGGGGCGGGCGACGTGCGGCTCTGTGCCTCCTGGTCATCGGGAACTTCCTGTCGGCCTGCTTTCCCCTTAAGGCAGTGGTTCTCATACCCCAGTGTGCGTCACCGGGCAGGCTCGTTAGAGTCCCGACGGCTTAACCCCACCCAGAGTTTCTGCTTCTGTAAATCTGGGTTAGAGCCTGAGAATTTGACTTTCTGATGGGTTTCCAGGTGCAGCTGATGCTGCTGGTCAGAGGACCACACTGCGAGATTAGTTTCTTTTCGTAACCTCTGAAGTTGAATTTGGAATTACAGTCATACTTCAGTACTCACTAGCTTCAGAACTTGTTGATGTCTGTACTCATTGCATTTTGACGAGAAAAGAAAATGTTTTAGGGCTTGGCGATGGCCTGGGATCTATCGCACTGCTAGAACTTACCTGGGTCACGACACTGCCCCACGAGAGAAAATGCTTCGTTGTTCAGTACTCGTCGGTCAGTGCACGTCGTGAGTTCTAGAACAAATTGAGGACGAGTACTGAGGCACCACTGCACCTTACTGACACCAGCTTGTCTTCTCAGCCGAGCTCTCTGGAACTGGTGTCTGCAGGGCCCCTGGTGACCAGGGAGAGGCGTCGCTCCTCCTGATGAGATGATTGTACGCATTCTGCATCGGCCTCACTGAGGCTTTTGTTACCCCAACCTCTGTCTTTAAAGGACCCCAGAAGCGGATTCCCGGGCCTCTAGTCCCTGCCAAGAATTTGAACAGTTCCAGATTGTTCCAGCCGTGGAAACACCCTATTTGGCCCGAGCGGGGAAAAATGAATTTCTCAATCTTGTTCCAGATATTGAAGAAATTAGACCAGGGTGAGTACCATACAGAGATGCCAGGTATAAAAACAATCCAGCAAGAAGGTACTCTCAGCTCTTCCGTGAGATCTGTGTTACAGCGTGATGCGCATGCCCCCGCACAGCTGTGCTGCCCCATGTCCCGTGTCCTGCACCCCCAGCCTGGCACGTCCTTTCTTTTCTGTCGCCGTATGACTTTGGCAGATAAGGTTGTAGGCCAAGTAGATTGTTTGCCTGTTTTGTTCACGTGAGGGACTTGGCCTAGGTGAGACATATTTTGATGTTCCTCGGCTCCTGGTTACTTTCTTTTTGTGAGAAACTAACCTTTCTTTTATTGTCCTTTTTATCCTTTTTAGCTCAGTGGTTTCTAAGAAAGGATACCTGCATTTCAAGGAGCCATTTTCTAGCAACTGGGCTAAACATTTTGTTGTGGTCCGTCGCCCTTATGTCTTCATCTATAACAGTGACAAAGACCCAGTGGAACGTGGCATCATTAACTTGTCCACGGCGCAGGTTGAGTACAGCGAGGACCAGCAGGCCATGGTGAAGGTCAGTCCTGCCCACTCTCGGCTCTCCGTTGCCACCCACACCCTTGCCTTTTAAGTTCTGGACTCCGTTGTGTGATACAGCATCTCTCCTGCACAACTGAAGCTTCAGGATCAAGTGCTGTATGCCCTGTGTCAGGTGGGCTCCATCGCTCGCAGCCTTTGTAACTTTCTTGTCCACCTGTGTCTCTTTCAGACACCGAACACCTTTGCTGTACTCACAAAGCACCGTGGGGTCCTTTTGCAGGCCCTCAATGACAAAGACATGAACGACTGGTTATATGCCTTTAATCCACTCCTTGCTGGCACAATACGGTAAGAAGCTATCCCTGTGTATCCTTCCCTTCCTTGGCTTTTGGTCCCAGGACTTCAACATAAATAGAGAAGCAAGTCTCCTTGCAGACAGATTTAAAGTAGAGGGAGGACAGGAATGTAAGTGTGGTTGTAGGGTGGTGATGAGGCCTCAGCTTCTCATAAGGTACCAGCTGGTGTCCTGAGCAGGGACGGAGACTGGTCACATTTGCACTCAGCTGATCTCCTGCTTTGACTTTTTGTTCTCAAGGGTTCTGCAGCCCGGGTCTCTGGGACTGAGTAAAGGGAAGGTGGTGAGGACCTTAACGGTCTGCCAGTCAGTATTCAGCCCTATGATCCAGCCTCAGATCCTGTGAGGGGTTTGTGTTCCGGGGTCCACTAATGGGGAAGATTACAGCCCAGCCTGTTTGTTCAGGGAGCCTCGAGACCTGGCCCTTGGTGCAGTTTAGGAATGAATCCAAGGAATGAACCCTGGAGGAAGAGACCTGTGAGGGCAGCACGTACGGACCCGGTTTCCTAACCTGCCTCTCCCTATGCTGCCCACAGGTCGAAACTCGCCCGCAGATGCCCAAGCAGCCCAAGTACTAAGTGACTCCGCCGAGCGCCCTCACTCGCCTTTCGAGATATAAAGAAAGTGTTACCTCTCATTTCTCTTTGTGATTCTTGACGGTTACTCTTGTATGTAATCCCGTGGCTTAACTACTTTTCCCTCCTTGTCCAGCACTTTTTCTAGCTCCCGTTCCCCATATCCATTGCTCTGTACTCCTTTTCTTTTTTCCTGTGCTGAGAATCTTGTTAGTAGCATGTGGCCTAACAAAAGGGGGGGAAAACAAAGCAAAACAAAAAACCCAGGGGGGAATCCAGTGAATCTCCAAATTATTTTTGGTATATTTGGCTTCCTTTTGTATAATAGGTCCCCATGTGACCACCTCTGATGTCTGTACTGCTGTCTTTGGATGTCTTTGTCTTTGTTTTTAAGACAACATGATACTTTCCTTCTTTTCTGTATTTGTGACATCAGTTTAATTTTTCCTGGGTGGCTTAGAGACAAAAGGAGGAAACATCTGGCCTTTTTAGAGCCTGAGAGGAAAAAACTTACCTTCCCCTTCCGTTTCCTTTCCCTACCGCCAGTTCCTGCATTTTTCATTCAGGGAGAAGGTTGTGGTGAGCTCAGCAATGGGACAGGTGTATTCTCTGAAGTTGGGGCTTATTTAGAGATGGCCATGCAGTTTTCAGTTAGTGGGACAGAGGAGGGGAGAGGCCTCGTTAGCAGGCTCACTGAGACAGTGGCTGCTGTTGACCTTGTCAGAAGGGAAGAGCGAAGGTTCCAGAGGGGCGTGGGGGTGGGCGCGGATGCAGCCAGTCCACGGGGTGCTTGTCGTGGCGCACAGCAGGATTCCTGTGAACTGCGCTCATCCTCATCCGTGGGAGCGAGCCTCTTCTCTGTTTCTCCATTCCGTCCTTGGCACCAGCGGGGTGCAGCACTGTGGAATCAGTTCTGTGTCGTACCCAGATGTCCCACCAGGGGGAGTGTTTCAGTTTCTGATGAGGAACTCGGCCATTGTTGTCCTTTTAATTGTGGTAATGCTGAGTAATGACCTTGTGATTGTTGTAGCTCCCTTCGATCAAAAAAATATAGCTTTCAAGTATAAAATCGGAAGTCTCCTCTGAATCCAGCGGTTATCTGCAATAATCCTTGTCGAACTGAAAATACTTCCAGTGATGCCTGGCCCCCTTATACTCACAAAGAAGCAAACGTGGCAGGCTTTGCTTTCTGGATCCCAGGATTAAAACCATCAGCCTCCCACCACTGGAGTCAAAACGAAAGCACGTCTGGGGGTAGAGAACAGGGCCCACCTGAGCCCTGGCCCCAGCGTTTTGTCACTTGCGTCCCTGGGGCCTCTTGGTGGTTCTCCCTGTCAGGTGTGGAAACGTTGCCAGGGGAGATGGGAGGAAGCTGATCGTTTCCCCTGATGGGACAGGGACAGGGACAGCTGCTTCCACACGCCATCATGGAAGATGCTTCTTTCCTTTCAGCTGCTGCAAGTTTTACAGGAGTGACATGGAGAGGAAAAGGCCTCCCAGTTACTTGAGTTGCTTTGCCAGTTAGTTGGCGTGGGTCGTTCTTCCCACCCTTCACCTCCCCTGCTTAGACCCGTTTGACCCTCCCTCGGGCATTCAGGACAGTGTCTGCCTGTTCCCACTCTGCAGACCCGGGGTCCTAAGCCTGAGGTTGCTGGCTCTCGGGTGCTGGCGAACTGGGTGGCTTTGCTTCAGGCAGCGCAGGGCAGGGGCCACGCACTCTGCGGGGCAGTTGCTGGGCCCGTCGCAGAACAGGGCTCCCGGCCGTGGGCGTGATGATCGTCTTGGGTGGAGGGGGAAATGGAGGCAGGGGGAGCTTAATAAAAGAAAGGATAGGAATCAGGGGCAGTGGCCTGAAAAGTGGTCAATAAAAACTCTAGTAGGTTTTTTAACTTTCTTCTTTAAACATAGGTCACTAACAGTCATGTTACTTGTTTTTAAATGACACTTTAATGTACTTAGAGGTTTCTGCATTGTCTAATAGACACAATATACCCTCCGGTGTGTACTCACATCTACTCACATCTAGGGTCTGTCCGTGCTTAGAGACAGCTTCTTGGACTGGAGTTAGATCTGATTTCAGGGGAATGAAATTTGAAGGTTCCTTTCAGAATTAAATCACGGATGCTGCTGCTGTGTCGAAGTGGGGCGGGAGGACCCGCGTCTGTGTGATAGTAGGTGGGGAAGGCCGAGGGGAGGAGAACCGTGTTACACTGAAATGGCTTTTGTTTCTCCTTCTGACTCAACACCCTCTGGAAGGCCTTTGCTTTGGAGGTGTCAGCTCTTAGAACAGGCTGTGCTGGCCTGCTTGTAACCTTCCCCGGGTCACACCGCTTCGTGAGAAAGCAGGGCGCTGGGGCGGGTGTGCCTTCTCCCGGCTGAGGGGCCTCCACGGCGGTGGCGGACAGGTGCAGGCAGCCTCTTCGGTGTCCCTCTTTCTCAAAGGGCCTGTCTCCACATTGGAGTTAGAGCGGTTTCAGAGTTGATTTGCCCTTTGCAGACAGGTTCATCCCCACTTTGAAGCTCCGAGAGACGGTTTATGACCGGAACGATTTATGAGGTTTAGCTGAAGCCACAGTGGCAGGGAAGTTTAGGAATGAACTTAATGTTTTAAGAAAACCATCTTTTTGAAGGTTTTTAAATTTTCTTCCTAAAATACTTCTTTGAACAAGCAAAAAATGAATGCTAGTTAAAAGTAATCCTCTGTTCTCCTCCTTCCCCATCCTCCTGTCTCCTGCCAAAGCAAAATACGGCCTCACAGCCCGCACCAGATCAGTGCACACACCCTCCGCCTGCCTGCGCCTGCCTGGGGGTCAGCCAGCTCTCAGGCCGGGCTCTGCAGGGCCAGCCAGCCCCGCACACGGCCGGAGTTCAGGAGGCTGCCGCTGCAGCTGGGCGGGCACCTAAATTGCAGTACATTAGTAAAGGAAGACGAGGGCAGGGGAAAATGATTTTTCCCAACCAGGAAACCACTCTGATTTTATCAATATATATATATTTTTTTTTCTCCTTCAGCTCTGTAGAACTTAGAGAGCTACTCATGTTTTTGATGGATTTTTTTCAGCTCTTTAAGATGCAGGAGATAAATCATTGAAATCAGTGAAAGGTCTTTTGGGATCTAAAAAGAAAAAACTGTTTCACCTGGCACATATTTCAAAGCAAAGACTTTGTTGCCTGCTGCTTGTTCTCTAATTTACAGGGATATTTAATTTTGTAAGGTATTTGTATATTTATACAGCTGTAATTAATTGCACATTGGACTGGAAAAGAAAGGACGACCTGGCGTGCAGCACTGGTTGGTACTCAACGCCCCTCGTGCTGTGTTCCACTCGGGTTCTGCGGGACGGTATCAGGCCTTGTTTGTCGACTCGAGTCCTTCATTTTTTCCTTTGGGTTCCCGTTTTAAAATGTGACTGTCAATCTGCTTCTCAAAAAGAATTTGAATTCTGCTGCTGCTCTCCGAAGGAATGCTGAGTGTGTTTTCAGTAGGACTCGAATTCTGCAGTGTCCACCGTTGCCAGCGATGACTCAGCCGAGCGTGTGGCCAAACCATTACTGTACGAGGTGGGAATGTATTGATACTGTGTTTCCCTAGAATTGAAATATCAGCCGGGAGATTGTCTGCTTTTGCTGTTCAAAAGGCCATTTATGGAATTTGTATTTGAGCCCCATAAAATCTTAGGAAAGCCTCTAATCTGACGGAAGAAATTAGAGTTGATACAGATTTCGTGTTAAAAACTCACAGCCAGATGGCTGTGCTCAGATGGGAAGTCTGAGCAGAGGTCGGTCTCTTGCCAAACCCTGGCTGTCCTGTGTTGTTTTCGTGTCTTCGAGGTACTTTTTTCCAAGCTGCACATTCTGGCACCAGTTCACCTGAGGACTGTCAGCCTCTCACACTGAAGGCGGCGTCCTAGACTCTGTGGCTCTCACGGGCTTGTTGTTGACATCTCAGGTCTCGTGTGGCCACCCTGTGCACTGCAGCAAAACCCACGGACATAAGTGGCCTTTTTGAACCAAGACTTCGCAAACTGATCTCTCCCCAGTGAAGGAGTTGAGCACATTAGCAACAATGTACATTGTTAATTTCAGGTTTTCATTTCCATGTTTTATTATGTAAATATAATCTGATGTTTGGAGCTTGGGTATACAGAATGTAAATATAGTTCTCGTATTTGTACTAATTCTGGTTCTTTTGCTGTATAGCTTTAGACGTGCAATGCAGACATTATCTAACTGTGTATGGTAACCTTGCATCACGGAACTATTAGTGAACGAGGTCAAATAATAAAGGTACAACCAGTGCATCAGAAGGCTCTCGGTGTGTGTTCATTCTTTGCCTTTTGAATGGTAATCACACAGAGATTTTTCTTGACTCTTGATGATGGTGTTACGACCTGCATGTCCCTTTCTGATCATTCAGGACACCAGTTACTGTGTGACCAGGAAAGCTGATGAGGTGCTGGTTCTTTGAAAGTACCGTCCTCCCAAGGGTGGCAGTGGGTATTTTAAGTAACAGGTTTGTTTCCATACCCGCCCCAACACCTCTCTTTAAACACCTACCAATGAGTCTGTAGTGGTGGGTGGCGTTGGGGGGGGGGGTGTTGAAAATTTCACTGTATCAGCTGAAGTTAACAAGTTCCCGTTGTAAGCAGAGCACGCACAGTGACCAGTGTCTTGGGAGTTTGGAGAAGAATGGGAAGGGAGGGAGAAGCAGCACTCGGGCAGAAAGCAGTGGTGTGCTCAACACACACCGGAGTACCCTCCTGTCCCCATGCTGTGTGGGTGCTGTCCCTGCACCGTGGCCCTCCCATCCCAGTGGGGCGGACATTCGGCACACAAGTGTATGTCAAGTGGTACATATAGCGAAGGAAAGCTTAATATGCAGGGTTAAAGGGGTGGGAAGGGGGCATCCTTCGAGTGGTCTGGGAAGACCCCTCCTGGGAGATGGCATTTGCACAGAGCGTGGAATGAAGGAATGGGTAAGCCAAGCCATGCAAAGTCCCTGGCAAAGAGGTCTCCAAGCAGAGGATTTAAGCCCTTCAGGCAACAGTGTTCGCTGAAGGTTTCAAAAATAGCAAGGGGGCTGACTTGGATTGAGCACTGGAGTTGTGACATCAGAAAAGGGCCAGGGCTCAGGTAACTCATTTCACTAGAGAGGAGTGGGAAGCCAGTGAAGGGTTTTGAGAAGATGAGTCACGTCATCTGACAGTCACGTATTGCCTAACCGTGGGGACAGGTCCATGAAATGCTTCTTTAGCAGGATCATCGCTGTGCGAACATCACGGGGTGTCCTTCCACCAACCCGGAAGGTGTCGTCTACGGCACACCTAGGCTGCGGGGCCCACTGCTGCTGTATATGCAATTTGTCATTGACCTTAACATTGTTAGGTGGCGTATGGCCGCGTGTATCTGCTTCTGTTTTTTATTGATTTTAGACTGAGCCAGGAGGGGAGAGAGAGAAAAAAATAGGTTTGTCCACTTATTCATGCTCGATTCTTCTATGTGCCCTGGACAGAGATCCAAACTGCAACCTTGGTGTGTCAGGACAACCCTGTGACCCACTGAGCTGCCTGACCAGGGAACCTGCATGTGTGTTTTAAAAAACCATTCTGACTCTAGAGTGGACACTAGCTGGGGGGGGGGGGCAAGTGGGAAGAAAGGAGACAATTGGGACGTTGTTACCCTGATATCCCAGGGAAGAAGATGGCAGCCTGGACTGAGTGGGAGCAGCAGAGGTGGGGAGAGGTGGTCAGATTCGGAGGGGGGTTAAATTAGAGCTAACAGTGGGCTGAAGAACCGCGTGGGCGTCGGAGAGGAAGGAGGAAGATGACTCACAGGATGTGTTCCTGAGCAGAAGGGACGGTGCGGCAGCACCCTGGGGTGAAGAGGGAAGGGGACCCTTCCAGACTAGTGCTGGGTGAAGAGCCTGCATTTGGTCGAGTTCACTTCGAGATACCAACATTCCCACTGGATGTGGGTCAGCCAGGCAGCTGGCTATACTAATTGAATTCGGAGGGAGAGGTTGGGGCTGGAGACAAACATCTGGGAGTTGTCGGCGTGGGGGTAGCAGGTGAGTGGACCCGGCAGGTGAGTGGCTGGAGAGAACCAGGGCCTGTGTCTGGGCGCACTGCAGCCGGTAGAGGTCGGGGAGAGGGGACAGTTGGCGAGGACCAGTGGCCTGTGAAGAGGTGGTGAGACCGGGCAGCCCAGCCGAGGGCCTGTCTGAAGATGTCGGGAGCGGCAGCCGTCCAGTGCAGCTGGTAGGTCACAGTGAGTGCTGAGCCGTGGCCACAGGCCGTGAGAACAGGGAGGTGCAGAAGTGTGAGGGAGCCAGTGGCCACCCTCACCTCCCAAACGCAGAGCCGACCAAGGAAAGAATTGGCCAAGATGGCAGATCAAAACACCACCCGTACCTGTTGCTGAAGGTGCAGTCGGCAAAGGGGACTTGCGTTGGTGACAAATGGACTTCCTGGCACTGGACCTCACAACCAGAGGGTTAGGAGCAGGGCTCCCTGAACTTCCGTGTGCAGCGGACTCAGGGGGTTGCAGTGGAACATGGGTTCTGGCCCGGGAGGCCTGGGGTAGGGCCGAGAGTCTGCATCTCTCACTCCCTGGACTGATGCTGCTGCTGCTGTGGCCGCGGGGCCCACGCCGAGTAGCAGAAGTACAGAGGAGCAGCAGAGTGCCATGTGGCCCCGAGGCAGCCGAGGTCCTTGGAGAGGAGGGACGTGGGGGAGGTGGCAGCTGTCCCTGCCCAGGGCCTCCTTCCGCACTCACAGGACCATCCCTTCTCTCCTGGGATCGTGAGGGGCTGGCCAGTCAGGAGTGTTCCAGTAAGGGAGCTCACTTTCCGTGGGAGATGTCAGCCGTGCCGCTGCCCCAGCAGGGTCTTTGGTAGGCAGGCCCTTTTCGTTGAGCGGTGCTGAAGGAAGCCTAACCAGAGCAGGTTCCAGGGAAAACAGGAGAGGAAGTGGAAGGAATGAGTCCAGATCATTCTTCCAGAGGTTTTTACTGTCAAGGGGAGAAGTGGAGGGAGGGGACATGGGGTCCAGGAGAGGTTTTGGTTAAAGAAGGAGCTGGCCCACGTGTGTGGATGCCGGTGGAGTGAATGAACTGGAGGGGAAGCTGGAAGCGGGGAAGGGAGTGATCCCCTTGAGCAGGCCAGTGGGGTGGAGACACACCAGGGGTCCTCAGCCCTCCCAGAGCAGCTGCGGTTCCCCCAGAACCCCAGGAAGCAGCGCTGTGTGTGGGCAGACAGCCCCCATACCCACCCCCGTGACGGGAGTGTGGGCAAGGCGTCTTCTGGGCACCGTCTTCTCCAGGACTCTGACCCCCTGGTCTTGGAAGTTCGTCAGCTCTAGGGGTTCTGTCAGGCCGTGTCCTCCTGAACTCCTCTGGGCTTTTTGTTTGAACTGCATTACTTTTGATAAAGCTGGTTGTCCCCTGTAACTAGACCCCATCCAGGGTCATAAAGTTTCGGTCCCTCGCTTCGGGTCACTCTCTGTGAGTCTCCACGTCTCTCGCAAAGTTGACACCATGGAACGTCAGCAGGTCCCAGGGAACGGTGCATGTTCCCTGCATTACTTTTCTGTCTGATTTTCTCCGTCATTCCACATCTGCTTGGGTGAAGAGATTTTCCCACTTTCCCTTAGGCACTCCTTGTCTCTGCACAGTCATAAATGTTTGCACCTGGCACACTTACTGGCTTTAGAATATTTGGTCTCTGGGTTTTCACAAAATCACTCTTTCTACCTAGCATGTGAACAGTCACTGGAGTTCAGCTGCAGGAATTATACACCAAAGTGAGTGGCTGAGTTGGGATTTTCAAGTCTGCCCCAACTAGCATGTTATACACCCTCTTATGTAAGTCAAACAAAGGACTTGGCCCTGGGATGTTTGCACAGAAGGGCTGTTTTTGCAGAATTCCTGCCCATGCTCTGGGCTGGGACTGGGGAGTTAAGGTAAAGGCCAAAGGTTGTTAAGATAAATAGGAATGTGAGTTACTTTCTTAAGTATTAGAGGCCAAGCATTTGAGGATTTTCTAAAAACTAAAGGTCAGCATGAAGCTCTAACTCAAGTAAGCCATGGCTTTGCTGTGTCCATCTCTGAGTGGCAGGTGGCATGGGGGGTTACTGACCTTTGTCCTAGACCTGGTCTCCCGAACCCAGTTGGCTGTCGTTTTCCAACAATCCTGGGACCTGGGAGGCAGTATTTTTTGCTGGTTGTTAGCACCTTAACAAAGAAATTAAAAGGCTGGTAGCCTGTAACATTAGTAATAGAAGAAAAAAAAAACAGCTGTTGATTAGATATTTAAATGTTTTCCTTAAAAGGAGCCTACTTCACCATAACTTGAGTGCGTCCAGATGTTTAGTCACCTTGACTCAGCATAACTTCTCCCTTGACAAATCTCAGACTAGAGCAATCAATTTGTTTCTGCAACAAATCTGATAGCCGCTTCCTTGTAAACCCAACCCACAGAAAGAGGAAGTAGTTGCAACAAGCTGAAAAGTGTGGGAGGTCCTAGGCTCTCGGGAAGGGAGCTACTGTGTAAAGTTGTATTTGTAAAAATGGCTACAAGTGCCTTCCAAAACTAGTCTTTGAAAGTTAATTTCAGTTTAGCTTTCCACTTAAAGTCAGCTGAACAGTCTCATGCACTGCTACCCCCAACTTCACTGGGAAGGCACCTCTGTGCATCTGTGTGATGATGGCGGGCTCCTCGGGGCAGGAGGGCGTGCAGGGCTGGCCCTTATGGACCCGGCCCTTGTGGACCCGGGGCAAAGTTCAGTTCTGCCATTCATTGGCTGAGGAAGTCAACCTCCATGTGCTGAGATTTTTTTGTCTTATTAGGTAACATTCATAGTGGCAGCTTAGAGCTGTCACTATTTGAAGTGACCATTTGAAGTTTATATGCATTAGCTTGTGTTGACACGGGGAAGGAGGCGGCAGGACCAGCAGCAGGTGGAATCCTTGCACTCAAGGCGCCTGCAGACTCAGCACCTAGAGAATGGCAGGGGCTTGGGGCTGCTCCCTCTGCGTGTCCCTTCTGAAGCTTCTCCCTGCATTTTCTGCTTCTGGATTTCTCACCTGCTGTGAGGCCGTGCGGATCGGCCTGTGGAAGAGGAATGCCAGGGAGGCGGCCGGAGGCTTGGGCTCTGTTTCAGGGGCCCCACGCTCAGTGCCTTCAGCAGGAGTCCCCAGCCCCTGACCACTCCCTGGGGACTCGAGGAAGGCCTTTGTCGCAGACAGAAGGACTGGGCCATGGAGGGTGTACTGGCTATGGTGATATGAATCAATAAGAAAGCATAAAATTGGTAAAGATGACTAAAAACATTTTAAGGCTCTTGAAATCAACCCAAAACAAATTAAAAGCCATTTATTCTTGGGAAAAAGTGACTAGAGCTTCAGGTAAGAGCAGTGGAAGCCCGTGGCCTTCTTGCCGGGACTGCCCCCTCTCCTCCCATCCCACTATCTCTCTGCTGGTAAGGAAAGGTGTTTGACCAGCCTGGGACTTGGCTCCAAAGGGTGAAAACTGATCATGTTTGTTTGGGGGAGCTGGGAGGGGAGGAGACCTGTACCTCTTCTGTCAGCTGAGACAAGCAATGGTAAGAAACGAATGGGGGAAAGTTGGGGCTCACTAGCCTGAGGTCTCCATTAGGGAAGCAGCAGACTAGCCAGAAATCTCCCAGGGAGGCTCTGGAAGTGAGAGTGCCCCTCACACAAGGACCAGAGGGGCTCTCAACACATCCCTGGCTGCCTGGGAAACTACCTGTGCAGCAGAGGCTCCAGAAAGCCCAGCCGGAAGTGAAAGTCCGGGAAACCCAGGGAAGTGGGTGCGCTGTGAGTGCAGTTCCCAACACGCACACAGACACGTGGCTGGGGGTCTGCACCCAGTGTCCACCCAAGTCATCGGCTGGCAGCTAAGTTAAGGAGACACAGGGCAATTCTCAGGAAGTCAAGCCAAAGACAAACATTAAACAAATCTGAACAGAGTACCAAGAGGCGAAATGGGGGTTCTAGAAGACAGGAGAGAAGAGGGGCCAGAAAAAATGATTTGAAGACTTAATGGCTAGAAACTTATAAATGTGCTGAAGGACATTCATGTATAGTTCTAACTCTGCGAACCCCAGGAGGGTAACCACCAAGAGATCCACACCTAGACACATCAGGAACTGCTGGAACTGAAGGGAAAGTTTTCAAAAGAGCAAGAGAGAAAGGATACACCGTGTACCAGAGGGCGGTGTGACTAGCAGCTGACAGCTCTTCAGAAACGGTGAAAGCTGTGGCCACTGAAATGAGCTACTCAAGGTGCCGAAAGCAAAAAACTGTTAACCAAGATTTTTTTTATCCTGCAAAACCATACTTCAAAAATAAGTGCAAAATAGCCTTGTCTGGTGTAGCTCAATGGATTGAGCGCGGGCCTGCGAACCAAACAACCCCGGTTTGATTCCCATTCAGGGCACATGCCTGGGTTGCAGGCCAGATTCCAGCAGGGGTCGGATGTAAGGCAACCACACATTGATGTTTCTCTCCCTCTCTCCTTCCCTTCCCCTCCCTCTCAAGATAAATAAAATCTTTAAAAAGATAAGTGCAAAATAAAGACATTCTCATATTTAAAACAAAAATACAACCATTGAGAGAAAGCACTAGCAGACCTGCCCTGCAAGAAATACAACAAGTCACCCTAGTTGACCCCCAGGAACCCAAGCTCACATTGAGGTGCATGGCCCCAGGCATTGTATTAGCCTGTGCTCTGGGGGGAGGATTTGTAATAGGATGTGCTGGTGCCCGCTACCAAGGGTGCCCTGAAGGGTACAGAACAGACGTGATGGCCATGGGGAAGAGGTTAAGACACCTGGGATGATACGTGTTTGGATTGGGAAGATATTGCAGAATTCATGGCTATGTCACTGTCGGGTGGAAGTGTTGTCTCTAGCAAACAACCCAGTTAATGAACAGACCGTTTTCTCACCAGCCTTCGTGGGAACCCGGGGAAGCACTCCAGCTCTGCAGGAAGCTGCGGAAGGGCGCATCCCCGCTCTCCTGCGGCTCACGAGGAAGCCTAGGAGAGTTGTCTGCTTCCGTCCTATTTCCCTCCAGTCGGCGGCTCTTCTTTCTGAGTCCTCCCCACTAAAGGGACAGACACTAGTATGTGGGTGCTGCGCACCTGACACAAGTATTCATTGGTTTCACTGAACGCCAGAGCTACCCTGTGAGGTGCTGTCATTCCTCTGTGACACCCGAGGGGACTCCGAGATTCAGTACTTGTCCCACATTGCACAGTTAGCAAGGAATGAAACGGAGCCACCAGCTAAGGTCAGTGCGGCACCGAAACCCATTCCTTGCCGTCTCCACCAGGCAGCTTCCATGAGGGACATTCCAGACCATTTATGAAGCTATTTGATCTGACTGCGAACAGCTGCCATCCCGTCACTGAGGCGGTGTCCGAGTCCGTGTTTTACTGAGGGGACTTTGGAGCGTGTGCCGTCGGTCCCCAGAGGGGCGGTTCTGGTGTCTCATGTGACTCAGCAAAGTCTCAGCCCTACGCTAGGACGGTGGCACACAAACCAGTCGGCTTCAGACCTTCACGCGCTTCCAAGTCACTGAGGACCCAAAGAGCTTTGTTTGTGTGATTCTCTCTGTCTACATTTACCACTTAAAAATCAAAACAGAAACTCAAATGACAGTTGCCCAAAACAAAAGGAAAATTCAGTGACATAAGTGGCATTTTTGACAATTTTGCAAATCTAATGTCTGGCGTAAGGCAGCATCAGTAGGTTGGGCTCTCATACCTGCTCCTACATGTAATCTCTCTGACATCATGTCACGGAGCCTGTGGAAAACACTAAATTATGAGGAAATGAGAGTGAAAAACACAAAGACAAATAAAAACTGGGGAAATAGTTTTGTCCCCACTTCTCCCTGAAAGGGTCTCAGGGACCTCCAGGGGCCCCAGACCACCCTTGGAGAATTGTTTTGAAAGGTGGTCCATAGCCCACCCACAATCAGAATCACCTGGAGTCCTCATGCAATGTACATTTCCCTGCCAATCCCACACCCGTGGTCTCGGAACTCACGTTTAAGTAGCTTCCTTACACACCGGGGTCTGTGGGCACTTGGTCAGGAGACCTCTAAGGTTCCCGTCAGTCATCAGAGCTGCATGACTTTCTTATCCTGACACCTGTCGCCTGTTGTGGCAGAGCTGGGATTAAGACCTATATCCCAGTGCAGGGCTTTTGCCTGGCAGTGACACGGAAGCTGCTTCCCTCTCTCCGGTTTGCCGGGCTCACCTGTTCACCATCTTCGTACTCACGCCTTTCACCATCCAGGGAAGCACCAAGGGCAGCCAGACAACCTTGCCTATAGCTTTAAAAAGACATTCTGGGCTTGCTTACCTCTCTCTATTTCTGCAACCAGCAAAAGCAAGAAGAAATGAAGAGAGGACCGAAAAGACAGGGACCTCTCTTTCCCGAAGGAGGAAGCTCTGTTCTAACCTTGGCGCCACCTGGGTGTGTGTGCCGTGAGTCAACCTCAGTCCAGGACCCCTTTCTGGAATATGGGAGGGTATAAAAAGGAAAGAAGTGTAGGCCTGGCTGGTACAAAACAGGTAATTATGGAAGCAATGCAAGGAGAGAAAAGTACATATAAAGAATCTATAGTGAAGAAAGTCTGATAGGAAGATATTTACATACAAGAAAAAAGTAGATTGTGATATCATTTAAAATGTCAGAGTAAGATCCCATTATTGCATTGAAAAATACTGTTGTAATGATTAAACACACAACTTCCAATAGGACAAAACCACTATAGTGGGACGTTTGCTACCATCGAAGTATCTGTTAAAACCTGTATTATGAGGTAACCTGTGCAACGGGTGTGATGGGAATAGCACCAACTGCACAGGTTACCTGAATCAGTCACCACGGGACCCCTAATTTGGCACGAACTAGTTGTGTGACTGTTGTCATTAAATATCTGATGAACACTTTATGTGCAAGCAACTGTTAGGTGACATGAGGCAACAACAACAAGTCCTAAAAAGTCCTGGTAGAGCTAAGCCTCCTCCCCAAGCATCTGTTGTAAAACGCGGCAGGGTTCAGTGCTGATGTCAAGATGCCCGGGCACCGGGGAGAATTTTGAGAAGGCGTGCGGGACGTGGCATTTGCAATGCCCTGGACCGACGGTTCGCCCTCACTTGGCTTCTAGTTCCAGAGCTGAAGGGGAACGTGCTCAATGACACGACCTCCGAGCCTGGCCCATCACGCTCCTACGAGTACCGGTCCCCTCGGCTGTCTCTGCGCCAGTGTCTTCACCCCTTCGGCCCCTTCAATAAGGGGCTATGTTTCCCACACAGGAGCGTGTGAGGACCAGCATTTCCTGGCACCCACTACACTTGCCCAAGTACCGGAAGAGTAAACCTCGGTCCCTGCCCGGAGTTGACAGATACGACGCATAAGCCCCACGTGCACGGCAGCGATGGGAGGAAGAAGTGATGGACACTCGGACAACAGGCGTCCAAGCGCCTGGAACACGGGAAAATGTGGCCCACTCTGACCCACCGTCCCGCAGGGCACCGCAGAGCAGAGCCCGGCCCTGCGTGTGCTCTGCCTTGGGTGGCTCGACTCAGCCCCCTCCATCTGTCCGGGACGCCCTACCCCGACCCACGACCCGCCCCTCCGTGGGTCCGGACGCCCCTAACCCTCTATGCCAGTCCGGGCGCACCCTGGGAGATGTCATCGATGTGCTCGGCGCTCTCCTGAGTCGGCTCCGGGGAAGTGGGCGGGTCCGTTGCCTCAGGTGGTGTAACAGGCGCCAGGGAGAGCCAATGGCTTGTCGGCATAGTTCCACCCCTTCTCTCCGATTGGCCAGTTCTGGAAAGCCGCGGCTGTAGCCTCGGCAGGCGAGCTACAGTGGAACTCAGCCTTGGTCGTCGGCGCTGTGCGTTCGGTGCTCGCCGCTTCTCCGCTTCTCCACTCCTGCCGGGTCCGCCGCTGCCCCCGCCACCGCCATGGCCCAGTGAGTGACCGCCCGCGGGAACTTTCCGGGAGTCGGCTCGAAGGGTCGAACCGTCCCGGACGTCGCCTCGGCATCGTGGTGCCCAGAGCTCCGGATCTCCGGGGTTTCAGCCCCCTCTGGCTCTGGTCCCAGAACTCCCCGGATGCCGAGCCAGCCCCGAAGCCTCGCTTTTTCCTCGGAAACAGCCCTCTGCCTCCCGCGGCTGCGCGGGAGGATCCTCGTTGCTAGAAAGGGCGGGGGTGGGGGGCAGGCTTGGCTGAGGGAACCAGGGCACGATTGCGGGGGAGGGCGGGCTGGACGGTCGGTGGCTCTGCCGGCTGGGGCTTGTTCCCTCTGTGGGAGACCGGGACACATGGGACAGTCCTTGCCAGATAAGACTAGAGCCTCCGTGCTGTGAACACTCTCCTACGTGCGAGTTCAGTGCTTCCCAAGGGAATCGGAGGTCCCCGAAGTGGCAGAGTGGAGGGCGGTCTGCCTGCAGTTTCCCGGAAGGCTGTAGAGTGTAAAAGGGAGTAGGGGCCCCGAGAAGTTAAGACAAGTTATTACTCAGGCAAAGCCGGAAAACTCTGGTTCCCCGAGGTGGAATGGATTAAGTGGAACTTACACATTTCTCTTTGTTCCTTTTCCTGGTCTTTCAGAGCTGATATTGCACTGATTGGACTGGCTGTCATGGGCCAGAACTTAATTTTGAACATGAATGACCACGGCTTTGTGGTAAGTCACAAGGGACACGCTCTTCTCTTGCTGGTTCTTGGTGTGCATTAGCCTGAGTGCTGGTGACCGGCAGTTGTCAAAGATCCTGAAGAGCCTGGAGCGTGTTTCTCTTTATGTATTCCCTGCCTGTTGCTGCTTGTGACGATTTTGCAAAAGAAGGAGAAGGACCACTTTACACGTGGGTGTGGGAGGGCCAGTCCTGCAGTTCTCTGAGGAAGGAGAGTCCCACTAAATGTACCTTTCAGTTCTGTAAGGTTTGCAGCCAGATAAGCCTGTCAGTTCCAGAGGAGGAATCTTACTGGGTGCGCAGAGCTCTAAGTTTGTCACCTTGGGAGATCTGGGGAGAGGGAAAAGTTTAGTTGTGAATATGAGACTGGCTGGGCTAGATACACAGATTATCAGTGACAAAATTTGTCAGTCTGGAACCAGCTGGTTCCAGATTTGTCTGCTACCCAGAGAGTGACAGACACTGGGCTGATATGCCACAGGGTAGTTGACCTTCGCCTACACAGACAAGGCGGGGCAGAAGTCGGTTGCTGCTGTAGTGAAGGAGTGAAACAGGGTATGCTTGTGTCATTCTTGTATTATTTTCCATGTGAACAACTGTGAACCTACTCTTGCCCCACCCTGTCTTCCCTTCTCTGCCGTTTTGTCCCCTGAAAGTAACTTTACAGTATCCATCAGGGCAAGGCCAAGGCAGAGTCCACCCTCCTGAAAACCTTGGGCTGAGTAGAAATTTCACTGTCCCTTGGTCCACGGTCTGAGGGTCTTGTATGCCCTCGACCTCCTGATCGGCTTTTTGCCCTTTTAGGTCTGTGCTTTCAATAGGACAGTCTCCAAAGTTGATGATTTCTTGGCCAATGAGGCCAAAGGAACCAAAGTGGTCGGTGCTCACTCGCTGGAGGAGATGGTCTCCAAGCTGAAGAAGCCTCGGCGGATCATACTACTGGTGAAGGCCGGTCAAGCTGTCGATGACTTCATTGAAAAATTGGTGAGGCCAGCTCTGCTCCCAGCTGCTACCTGTGTGGCAGCTTGTCCCATTCTTTCCTTTAGCCATTTCACTTCTTTTTACTTAAGACATTTTCTCCCCTTCAGTTTCTGGATATGAACTGCTCCACTCCGACAAAATAATTGCTTAAATGGCTCAGTGTTGGTTCACTTGATTGGCCCTAATTAAGTAACAGCACATCCTCAGGTGGTAATAATTACATATATATAAAATTCTGAGGACATCAAGAAACATTCCCTTTTTTAAAAATTTTTAGAGAGAGAAAGAAAAACATCGATTTGCTTGTTTATACATACATTTGGTTGATTCTTGTGTGGGCCCTGACCAGGGAGTGAACCCACAACCTTGGTGTGTTGGGACGATGCTCTAACCAACTGAGCTGTTTGGCCCAGGACTCAAGAGACATTTCACTAAGAATTCATTAACAGGAGTAGACACGACACAGCCCCGGGCCACTGAGTGACCGGGCTGCGTCCTGAGAAACGCACTGTGAGGCAGCTTCTTCGCTGCGGGAATGTCACAGAGCACGCTTACGCGGACCTGGGTGGTTCGGTCTGACCTGTCACTCCGAGGCCGCCAGTCTCTACAGCACGTTCCTCTGCAAAACAGTGTGTGACCGAATCAAGCGCAAGAGAAAATGATACAATCGTGGGACGTGTGAAGTGTGAGGCTGCTGCCGCGGCACAGCGTGCTTTTCCATGGCAAGCATTTTTTTAATAAGTAGACTGACCACACTCTAAAATAACAATAAAAGTATAGTCTAGTGAATGCACAGACCGGTAACCTAGTCATTTGCCATCCAGGAGTTATATACTGTGCACGATTGTACACGCTATACTTTTATAGGACTGGCAGTGCAAATTTGTTTACACCAGCATCGGCACAAATGTGGGAGTATGATTTCTGCTAAAATGACTGGGACATTAAAAGGTGACAGGAATTTTTCAGCTCCATTATTTCCTTAAAAAATTTTTTACTTGTAATTTTAGAGAGGAAAGGAGAAGGAGAGGGACATTGACGTTTCGTTCCCCCCATTTATACTCTCATTGGCTGATCCCTGCAGCCTTGGTGCATCGGGGCGATGCTCTGACCAACCGAACTAGGTGGCCAGGCCTCCGTGGTGAACTTGTGGGCCTATCGTAGTACATGTGGTCCGTCGTTATGCGGTGCCTTAGTGGGCCATGTCGTGGACATTCAGAAGAACTTTGTTCTGTTGTTGTGTGTTGTGAATATTTAGTGCTGTTCACTAGTAAACCTTTGTGTCCAAATTCCGAAACTGATTTTATTTTTCTCCGTGTTCCTATAAAGCAACAGTTCTCAAATCATTGGAAAATTTAGTGTAATAGACAAGAGATCCCCTTCGGCAGTCCTAGCAACTGCACCCTGGGTACTTATCTTTGCATCTCACAATTTGTTGGCTTTAGGAAGTGTATCTTTTTTGGAGGAAGACAAATACGAATCTGGGCTGTGGTGGCCTTGCCAGGGCAGGTGGGTGGGTGCCTGGTGCCGAGTCCCCCAGAGGTCTGAGAGGCAGGCCTCACCCGTAGTCTGGTCCCCGGTCCTCAGCCGTGGCGAAGTGGGCATCACGGAGGTGCTGCGCCTGGTTCTGTAGGACCACGTGGTGGTCTGGTGCCCCACTGAGGCTTTCCTCCCCCACAGCCCCACTTTCAGGGCTGGGGGATGGCGGGCCCATTCCCGTGGGTGGTCATCACCACCTCTCGCTTGTGGGTTGTCCGTTCTTGTCCCAACTTGTTCCCACCGAAGCCCTGCTGGCCACTCTTTCCCTGGGGTGGTTGTGGCAGAGGCGCCGCTGCTGGGGACAGGAGCAGGTCCTGGTGGAAGCACTGCTACTGTAAGCTGTTTCTGGGGTGCCTGTAAGGCCCTTCCCTCAGCATACCCCTGGGAAAAGAGCACCCCGCATTAACTGGGAGGATTTTCCTCTCCCATGGTGAACGGAGACCTCATTGCCAGTGCCCTGCAGCCTCGGGGTGCTTTTCCCTGGGGACGGGGGGAGTACATGGATGGAGGGGAACTAGTGGAAATTATTTTCTTAGATAGTGAAAAACCATTCTGCAGTAAGAGCCCTGGGAGAACCAAGGCACTGGCCACCCGGAAGGAGTGTCTTGCGGGAAGCGTGGCGATAATAAACGGGCAGGGGCCAACCTTCCTTCTCTGGAGGAGCGGCGTGAACACTGCGCCCTTGCTGCAGGGGGAGGAGTTTGTGGCCACTGTGTTACCATGTTTAAGAAAAGCTGATCTAGGAAGGACAGCCTTGTGATAAGGGCACAGTGAGCTCTTGTGTAGCAAGCTGCCGAGCTGCTCTTGATTAGCTATAGACAGAATGGACTGGAACATGCTAGACTGTTCTTCAGCAGAGCAAGATGTTCCATGACGTTAGCTGAGCCGTGAAGGGGGAGACCAGTGGCGAATCAGAACGCCAGCCTGGCAGGCGTGCTCTAGGAGGCGGTCCTGTCCAGGCCTGGTGGGCGCAGAGCGCAGGCGGGTGGTGACGTTGGGTTACAGAACTGTCCGAGTGGGTTCTGTTTGCTGTAGAATCTTAGGGTGCTTCAGAGAAATGTCTCAGCTGGGGCGAGTTCTGACTGGGTTTGCTGGTCTGGTCTGGTATGTTTTGCCATTTTTCTCTTGCATGTCCTTGGGCCACCTTAATGCTGGCGTCTGGTTATAGGTGCCATTGCTGGACGCCGGTGACATCATCATCGATGGAGGAAATTCTGAATACAGGGATACCACGGTGAGTACCCTCCAGTCCAGTTCTCCCCGGCTCTGAGAACATTCTAGCAAAGGGTCAGCATTGCGCCTGTGGCAGAAGAGTGGCCTGGCCTTCAGTGGGGCTGGCTGTGGGGCCCCGTGCGGCCGTGCCCAGCCTTTGTTTCCCACGTGACGGAGGAGCTTCTCGCCCACCACGCACAGAACTCACGTGACTGCGACGTAGCCGCAGCAGGCGGAGCATTGACGTGAGCCTCCTTCTCTCGCCCTCTCCCACCGAGGCGGGGCCGGGCAGCGTCGAGGGACAGCTCATGCATGCAGGGAGGGGCCGGCAGGACCCCCAGGGCAGAGCGCGGCATGTTGCCCTCGCCCTAAACCGACTCCTCGCCGAGTCTTGGCGAACAGGGTCTCTTCCAGGAAGATGAGAATGTGTGTTTGGCCTCATTACTGCCTTTGGGGACGGGGTAGCTTTCTTAAACTTGGTGGATTTTTCTTTTTCTTTTTTTAAAGATTTTATTTATTTGTAGAGAGAGGGAAAGGGAGGGAGAAAGAGTGAGAGAAACATCAGTGTCGTGTGAGAGGAACATTGATCAGTTGCCTCTCGCATGCGTCTTGACCAGGGACCAGGCATGTGACTGGGAATCGAACTGGCGACCTGTCACTTTGTGGCCTGACCCCCAGCCATCTGAGCCACACCGGTCAGGGCGGATATTTCCTTTACGTCCGGAACTGAGGGGATCCCACTTCTCTAATGGGCGGGCTGTTCTTGGGTCCTCGGGTCACCCCGGTCAGATAGTGGACCCCCCAGCTGTCGCACCTCCTGTCATTCCCTGGGGGAAACTTACTTTACGGAAGCGTAACGGGTTATTTTCCCCCATTTAGAGACGATGCCGAGACCTGAAGGCCAAGGGAATCTTGTTTGTGGGGAGCGGCGTCAGTGGTGGCGAGGAAGGGGCTCGCTACGGCCCGTCGCTTATGCCCGGAGGGAACAAAGCGGCCTGGTGAGTGCGGGGCTTCAGCACAGGAGGCCGGACCTTTGACGGGGGGTGAGCCCTGGGCCCTTCTGCCGCTGACAGCCAGAGGCTGACAGCCAGAGGCGGCGCTGTGGTGGCTGCGTGGTGGAGGTCGGAGGTGCCGGAGACGCCTCTTCCGTCCGTGTGTCTTGTTGCTGTGGCCCAGTACACGCGCACGTCCCTCCTGTGCCTTTTCTCCCCGTTACTCCTGCCGAGACTGGTCCTGGAAGTTCTTACCGGGCCGGAGGGGCAGAGGCTCAGAGGAGGCAGTTCCGAGGACGTCCCGTGACCTGCCTGGCCCAGGAGCGCGGTCCGCCTCTCTAACTGATGTGTGGTCCCGAACTAACTTGACTCAGTCGTGGTGAGGGGTAGACAAACCTGACGGGGCCTCTGGGGCCTCTTCTGTCCCTAGGAATGAGGCGGAGACGTTTTTTTGTATTTTTAAAATATTTTATTTATGTATTTATTTTTAGAGAGAGGGGGAGGGAAGGAGAAAGACTGGGAGAGAAACATCAATGTGTGGTTGCCTCTCATGCATCCCCTGCTGGGACCTGGCCTGCAACCCAGGCATGTGCCCTGACTGGGAATGGAACTGCGATCCTCTGGTTCGCAGGCCCATGCTCAATCCACTGAGCAATACCAGCCAGGGCTGAGGTAGAGATTTTTTATTTGACTTGGAAAAAACAGGGTTCCCGCTGTTCCCTGTGTGGTACATGAGAGGAGGGGTCTGCCGTGGGAGGGGAGGTGGTCTGGGGAAGGAAGAGAAGGGCACGTGGGCGTGGGGTGGGGCGGACAGCAGCAGCAGCAGCAGCAGCAGCAGCGGATGGAGTCCAGGTGGAAAGGTGGGAGGAGCCGACCCTGCAGGACTTGGCCTGGGGGTGCCCGCCGCTGGGCCTGCAGGAAAAGGGAAGGCCAGATGGGGGCACGGGGCAGGAGCAGCGAGGAGAAAAGGAGGGCTCCTTTTGAGGGAGACGTGGAAAGGTCGTATTCTTTTCTAGATGAGTGTGATTTCCAAGCACTCTAGAATTACATCAGGCCTTGAAGGAAGGAGCGATCTAACGATCCCCAAAGGTGGAGGCCTTTTTGGGGTTCACTGTTCCCTACTTGCCCTCTCCAATGAGCTCTTCTGGGGGTTCGCTTCCAGGTGATAAATCTAGAAACAGAGGCCTTCCGGCTCCTCAAAAGCTTGAAGGTACTCATCTGGGGGTCCTTGCCCAGTGGGCTGTCAGAAGTGCAGGCAGTGCACGTGAAAATATTTGACCGGCAGGGGGGCTCCGGTTGCTAGTTACACACTTTCTCGCGTGGTCTGGTGGACGTGGAAGTGGCACTTTTACCTGAAACGCTGGGCAACGGATGAGTGGAGTTCTAAGGTGTGGGGCTGTCTTAGCTCCCTCACCCTGAGCGCCAACTTTGCAGCCCTGGCAGATTTTTGTGTCTTCACCAAAAACTTTGTGTGGAAGGCTTGGTCACCAGTGGGAGGACAGGAAGGCAAGGCGGGGTTGTTACGTCCTCCTGGGGGCGCTGTGCAAGGCGCGGTAGCAACTGCCTGGCTGATGAAAGGGGGTCTTGCAGAGGCAGCCCCCACTTTTTGTCTTCTCCAATCAGACAGTGTGCAGCCTCCTACTGGTTTACCTTGAGGTTTGGGTGCTTTGTTACTTTTTCCTGAGCACGGCCATCACCTATGAGAAAGAGAGAAGATTGGGGGGGTGGCGGCGTCCCGGAGCACGTCTTCCGGTCTCGGCCCACTAACCTGTGTGCTTTCTTTCCGCAGGCCCCACATCAAGACGATCTTCCAGGGTGTTGCCGCCAAAGTGGGGACCGGAGAGCCCTGCTGTGACTGGGCAAGTGCCGGGCTCCCCTTCCAGCCAGGCGCGACATGGCATGGTCATGACCAAGTGCACAGGGCCATCTGGGCCCCGCCTGGGTCCCAGAGGGTGGCCTTGTGGCATAAAGCTGCTGAATCTTTAAGTCGCTAGCACAGCTGGGTCCTGAAACACGTGCCTGTTACAGCCATGTCCGTGTATCTGAATGTGGTATTCGCAGCCTCGGGCTGGTTCTCAAAGCGGCCCTCTGCAAATCCCTTGCAAGATGGCTTCCTTAAAGAGGAACGAGGTGGGGGAAGTCAGCTCTTTTAGCCATATTTCTTCATGACGGAGGAAAGAATGTCAAAATCAAAAGCAGGGTTTGCTCACCTTAGCAGCTCTGTGCTTGAACAGAGGAGGCTGCGGCCTCTGGCCCTGGGCTTGCCACATGCACTTGTCCTTCCTGTGCTTTGTGTTGCTACTAAAATAAGTCGTGTCCCTGTTGCAGCCTCACTGGGCTCGGGAGACCCAGGTTGTGGTCCTGGCGCTCTGTGAACTAACCAGGTGGAGGGAGGCGAGGCACCTGCCCCGCGTGGACTTCAGTTTTCTCACCTGTAAACACGGGTGGGAGAGGACGGGCTCCCAGATCTAGCTCCCAGGCGCCTGTCATTGTAGATCGGCACCGGGTGTGCCACCTTGTCCTGTTGTATTCCTCTTACAAGCGAATCGTGTCTGCTTGTGGGTGGAGGGAGGCCAGGGCTGGGACTCGGAGCGTCGGCTCATTTTCCCTGTGACGTGGAGGGTTGGGAAGGGAGCGCTCATCCCCGACAGTAGAGAACTTACAATAAAAGCCCAGTACCTGCTTGTTAGATACACGTAGGATGAAATCAGGAAGAAAAAACACTTGTTGCCCTTACGTGTACCGTGCTCAATTCAGGCTTCCACAGTCTTACGGCTTAATGTCAGGGCATTGAAAACACTGGTGTCCACCCAGAGAGCACGGACTCCAGTTCCTTTTTTTTATTTTTATCTTTTAGTTCATTTTTGAAGTTAGAGGAAGGATGAAGTGAAGTAAGATGTTTTTAGCCAAGTTGCTTCATGGCCACAAAGTGTCAAAACCAGAGGGGGATAGACCAGCAGTGGGGACAGACAGAGGAAGTCTCTGACGTAAATGTCCCTGGTGGCGATGCGGACAGTGACTGCAGGACACGGGCCCACATGGCCAGTCCGCCGGGCAGGTGTCCCCGTCGTGGAAGGAGGGCGCATTAAAAGTTTGACCCCTGTCACTCCCCTTGTTCTGGTTCCTCGCCCGCTCAACAGTTTTCAGATAATGGGGCTTCCCACGTAGCTAGTCTGCAGGGAGGGAATGTGCTGACCGGACTGACCCCGAGACCCACAGTTAAAATTCTCATCAGATGTTCGTAAACTGCACTGCGGTTTTATACATCTTCCCAGCTCTGTTAGAAAGTCATTATCTTGATGACGCTGAGACCCTGGCAAGAACACGGTTCTGCGTTTTTACAAGGTTGTGAGCCAGACCTGCGGTCGAGGGGCCTTTGTATATCTCAGTAGCCTAAAAGTACAAGCAATTTAATTAGCCAACTTGTCACCTCCAGTGGCTAGAAGAGTGGGAACCCCCCAGCAGGGAATGGGGGCTGGAGGTGGGGAGTCACTTTTAATAACAATGAGAAAAAACAGAAATGTCGGCTAAAGAACTATAGGCACTTGCAGTGAATTTGGGGGTGTTGAAATCTTAGAGGAAAGAATTTGGAGTCAGTTTAAAATAACACCGGATCGAAGCTTGCGTTGCATTTTTATATATTGAGTCTCACTTTTAAAATACTGCAAAATACTGTTTGCCTCACACGTGTCCCGTTTGGGGCCAGAGTCTCGCTGAGGACTTGGGCGTGGGCTTTCCTGGCCTCTGCTCTCTGACGGTGCTTGTGTCTCCGACAGGTGGGCGAGGAGGGAGCGGGACACTTCGTGAAGATGGTGCACAACGGCATCGAGTATGGGGACATGCAGCTGATCTGCGAGGCCTACCACCTGATGAAGGACGTCCTGGGCATGGGGCACAGCGAGATGGCGCAGGTGGGTGCGCCCCGGCGCCGCCCGCAGTGACGGCGAAGCCTGCCTTGTTCTTTCTCCTTTGGTGGCTCTGGCGGCCCAGAAGGACTCAGCCTGATGTAAGGGAAGCAGGCCTTGTGTTACAAGACGGTCAAGTACGAGCTAGTCCCTGAGCCAGCAGCTCCCACCACTGTGTGACCCTGCCTGTGTGTGGAGCGCCATCCTTCCCAGGCTTGTCTCATGGGACCCCGCCATGGCCCGTGGGGGGGGCTGCAGCAAAGCTTGCTTTTCTGATCAGACTGGGGCTGGCTTTTGACAGCCTTTCCCTCAACATGTTGTGACAAAAATGCTCGCACACGGCGGAGGTGAGAGTCTGCACCCCCGCAGCAGACTACGGGGGTTCTGCCACTGATGTTGGACTGACTGCACTTGCTGCGTCACGCTCTGCCCCCTCCTCTCTCGGTTTAATCTTTGTTCAGCATGTTTCAGAGTAAGCCGCGGGCATCAGGAGTCTTTTCTCTAAAGGCTTCAGCATTGATTAGGTAAACCCATATCTTAATTGACACCGCAGGGAGGTAACCACCTTCGTTCGCCAGCAAACTCCGTTCCTGAGTCCCGCCGCTCAGTGTCCCCATGTCTTTTTTCCAGAGACGCAGTTTCCTCTTTTCTACGCTGGTGCCATCCCCACTCACTCCGTTTCACTGGCGTGCCCTTACTGTTCTTTCCGGAACAGTCTGACTTAGTTTTCTTATTTATTTATTATTTAAAAATGTATTTTAAAGAGAGAAACAGTGATTTGTTATTCCACTTATTTATGCATTCCTATGCCCTGACCGGGGATCAAACCTGCAACCTTGGCGAGCTCCCGGGCCAGGGCTAATGTAGTTTTTATAGAAACAGTGCCTTTGTGGTGCAGGTTCATGTTTAATTGATTAACATACTACTTAGTGTATTCATTTAGTGTATGTAGAGGAGGGCTTTAATACGTGCTGGGCACCGTTCTGAATGCTGGAGGGATAATAGTTAAAAAACAAAAATGGAGTCCCTGTCCTCACGGAGGCGGGGAGACAGCTGGTTCGGTGCAGAACATGAAACTAGCGCTATCGTAAAGGATAGGACCCCGGCGGAAGAGGTCCACCTGGATCAGGCAGTCAAGGAAGGCGCCTGAGGAGGTGACAGGCACAGGCACCCACGAGAGGGGAGGGGAGAGCAGTGGGGTCAGAAAGCGCCGTTGACCCTTGGCCAGCGGCAGCCCCAGCAGGTGGGCGCAGGCGCATCGGCCGCACTGGTCAGAGAGGCGGCCTGTTGGCCCGGAAATGCCGAGCAGACTGAGCGTGGGCCGGCGCTGGCGGAGGGAAAGCCCTGCCTGATCCTTGTCTCTCACGTCCTGCACTTAGGCATTTGAGGACTGGAATAAGACGGAGCTAGACTCGTTCCTGATCGAGATCACGGCCAATATCCTCAAGTTCCAAGACAGCGACGGCACTCCCCTGCTGCCCAAGATCAGGGACAGCGCCGGGCAGAAGGGCACGGGAAAATGGACCGCCATCTCGGCCTTGGAGTATGGCGTGCCCGTCACCCTCATCGGTAATGTGCGGCGACTTTTCTCTGGGTCTGTGCCGCCCCGTTCGAACGACTTGCCGTCCTGGGAGGAGTGGTGCAGACAGGCCCCGAGACCCGGGCCTGTCCTGAGAGAGCAAGCGTTCTGCCCCAGGCGGCCTCCAGGGGGCCTCCCGCTCTTGGCCTGTGAATCCACCGTGGCCAGGAGCCTCGAGTGGCTTTGAGTCTCTTCTCTGTGACCCTCTTCTCAGTCGTGGGAGCTGTGTGGCAACTTTAGACCTTCCTGTCTTACCCAGACCCAGTTGGGTCTTTGGGATAGTTTTAGTGGTTTAGGGATAGGTTAGTGATTTAATCCTAGTCAGTGACCTAAATCTTTTTAATGGGCAAAGGAACTAGTTTTTCATACAAAAGTTCACAAGGTAACATCATTTTATATACTTGGCATTTATTGTTTTGGGCTGAGGTTTTCCTCCCCAAAATAAAAAAATGTTACCTGTACATCTCAAGCCCCTTAATATTCTTTTCCTAAGTTGCTTCCCTTCTTTTGGGAGAAAACTCGAAGTGACTGTGCATCCTGGTCCCTGTTTTTTATCTTATATTCACAGCAAAGCTCAAACTCAGAACAACGTACTGGGAAGGAAATAATGAAACAAGTAAATGACAGATAATAAGAGGGCTAACAAAGCTACCAGTAGATGCTTTAAAACAGAACAGCTACACTTCTGGCAGATTGAAAGGGAGAGTGAAGAAAGGTGCCTAGTGTGTTTGGTGAACCTCTGCTCCCGGCTGAATGGCTTCCCTGTAACAAAGCAGAAGATCTTGTTCTCCCAGAGACGGTTGCCTTCCCGGGCTGGGCTCCTGCCTCCTTTCGATTTCCTAGTGGACCCAGTGACCCGGGTGGTGGGAAGGCCCCCAGTTCAGGAGGGAAGGAGGTTGCTTGGTCCCACTCTGTGGAAGGGAAGTGGCTGCTTTTTAGCTGATTTGAGTGACACCATAGGTGGGGACCAAGGAGATAATAGCTCGGAGCAGTTTATTCATTGCTGACTCAAGTATGAGAATATTAGTCTCGAAGAGAATTCTGCCCTCGCCAGAGACTGTGCCCTTTCCACCAGTTGAAGGCAGACTCGGGCTGCTGCCTGGGTGGTTGCCCATTGTCTGCAGGACTAAGGGGAAGCCAGCCCTCCGGGCAACCCGGTTGCGCCACAACCACCTCCTTGCGCCACTTCTTACAAAGCTCCTGTCCACGAATGCTCGGTCATGGCGCGTGCGCAGCAGGAGCCACAGCAGGGGCACCGGCACCGCCTCCATCCGATCGCAGTGTGAGTCGTCCCGTGGCAGGCAGCCTTTTCCGAGGGGCTGGAGCTGGAGGACGCCGAGTGTCTGACACTGAAGTGCTGGTGTGAAATGTTTCTCATTCCAGTGAAGTCACACTGCGAAACTGGGGGGGTGACCGTGGACGCACGGAACACTAAACTGGGGGCAGGCCTCATCTCACGGCGCCCCCGTTTTACACACGGGGGGCGAGCCTTCCACCCGCAGAGAGGGGACGGCTCGCTTTACTGAGACGCTCGCCTTGTCTCGGGGGTCTGGGACCGCACGCACCCCCGCAGCTGCGGCCTGCCTGGGCAGGGGTTGGGGCACGGGGGGCTGCTTCCCCGAAGTCACTGCCCATTGACAGGTGCTGCAGAGGAAAATAAACTGCGTCTTTGGTGAGCGTTTAAAAATTAAAGTCCTTGTAACTGAAATAGAAATTTTACTCATGGGCCAACACTGAGTAACTCTGGATAACAGTGGTTTTACCAACTTTCTTTGTTTTATCCCCGAAAAGTCTTCTCTGGATTTCATGTTGACATTCATGGTTGGATCCCTGTGTTTCAGTTGGAGAAATGACTTGAAGGTTTGGTTACCAAGTCAACCGTGTAGAGCTTTTTATAAAACTTTTTTCTGATCCGGGTGAAATTCTGTGGCCTGAGGTTGAGACTTTCAGGCCTCGGAACAACCGGAAGTCTTCTTGCTGTGTGTCCTCTGTGTCACGCACTTCTGTGCCAACTTTGGTCACATGTTGTCTCCCCGCCCGCCCGGTGCAGGAGAAGCGGTCTTCGCCCGATGCTTGTCGTCTCTGAAGGACGAGAGGATTCAAGCCAGCAAAAAGCTCGGGGGGCCTCGGAAGACCCAGTTTAAAGGCGATAAGAAGTCGTTCCTGGAGGACATCCGCAAGGTGGGGCGCCGTCCCTGGCAGTCGCCGTGGTTTGGGGTGGGGGTGGGGTGGGGCTGTTTCAGGAGAACAGATAGGCCACAGGGTGGAGGTCGAGTCAAGGGCAGCTTCCCTGGTCTCGTTCACAGCCTCTCCCACCCCTTGTCCTTGTGGGGTCTGCGCTGCTAGGGTGCGGGGTGGTGCTAGTAGGCACAGGGTCGCTTTGCTGATCGCAGCGCTGACCGGTCCGCGCACTGTCCTTCAGGCCCTCTACGCGTCCAAGATCATCTCTTACGCCCAAGGCTTCATGCTCCTGCGACAGGCAGCCACTGAATTTGGCTGGACCCTCAACTACGGTGGCATTGCCTTGATGTGGAGAGGGGGCTGCATCATCAGAAGGTCCGTGGCAGGGGCGGGGCCTGCCGGGCTGGAGGGTGGGGGTCCGAGGGCATTGCCGACGTGTCCCTGTAAGTGGTGCCCCTCGTCCTCTCACGGGTACACGACACGGCCACAGGACCCATGTCGATGGTCATGTCCCACTGGCCAGAAAGTCCATTTAGCTTTTTCTGTAAAATAAGACATTTTCATTTTCACCAATAACTTGATCGATGTGGATATTTTGAGTATGTTGGCTGTTGCCCACTGTTCGGTTTTACGGGGTGGAGGTCAAGGCTGCTGCTAAACGTCTTGCCGTGCATCGGACAGCCCTGCAGCAGACCACGTGGGACACGTGTGCTCAGCCACAGCACCTTTGCCATCACCGCACAAATCTTTTCTTGTGTTTCAGTTACGTTTTTACCTTTGTTGAAATAATAGAGCTTAATGCGCCAAAAGTGATACATATATTCTTCTATCCGGATTATTAAAATGGCTGCACAAAAATTCGCCAGTTTTGGTAGGTTTTTTAAAGTGCACAGCTGATACAACAGCTGTCACAGTACAGTCTAACAAAATTGTTTCCAAGGAAGTTAAAGTCCACTAAGTGCTATTGGCCAACGCAGCAGATTGTCCACACTGCGCTTTCCAAAGCGCTTCTGTGAGTGGGCTCCTGCCCTTGGCCCGCCTCCTGGACTTGGGCTCCACACAGCCCGCTCTCAGGGCTGACGAGTGTAACTCTGTTCCCCTCCGGGTGTGTATCAGCTTCCGGCTTCCTTCCCCTGCTTTCCGCCCAGCAGCCAGCCTGCCGTAGTTAGGGTTCATTGACTTCTTCCCTCGGATTATTTCAGCGTATTCCTAGGAAAGATCAAAGATGCCTTTGACCGCAACCCAGGACTTCAGAACCTGCTGCTGGACGACTTCTTCAAGTCAGCTGTCGAAGACTGCCAGGTGGGTGGCCCAGAGCTGGGTGCGGGACTCTCTCTGGGCTCCGATAGGGGCATCTGATGGGAGGGTCTGCGGCCCTCGGGGGAGACACTCACCTGGGCTGTGGGCCTCTTGCTTCCCGCGCAGGACTCCTGGCGGCGGGCGGTCAGCACGGGCGTCCAGGCGGGCATCCCCATGCCCTGCTTCACCACGGCTCTCGCCTTCTATGACGGCTACAGGCACGAGATGCTGCCAGCCAACCTGATCCAGGTGAGCTTCGGGAGGCGGCGGCGACCCGAGGGCGGCCGTGCGCCTGCCTGCGTATCATCCTGACCAACCCACTTCTTGTTTTCTAGGCTCAGCGGGATTACTTCGGGGCGCACACCTACGAACTCTTAGCCAAACCAGGGAAGTTCATCCACACTAACTGGACCGGCCACGGGGGCAGCGTGTCCTCGTCCTCCTACAACGCCTAGGCCGGGCCGCCCGCCTACCCACCCACGCAGTTCCACCGTCGGGGCCTTCTGTCCGCCACACAGCTCCGCTCACACGGCCCTCTGCCCCACTTTCTGCGCAGATCTTTAATAGTGTTGTAAGAGACTCCTGAAAAGTCACCCCGAGCTCACCTGGGGGGCAGCGGTTCTGTGAGAGCCGTCCCGCCCCCTGCCCTTGCTGCCCGGGACCAACGGGGCATCGCCGTGTGCCCCCTGAAGCAGCCCCCCGTCCGTGCGTCCCTGTGGATCAGGGAGACCCCGAGCTTGCCTCGATGGAGACCACAGAGGAGGGATTGGGTCCTTTTTATCATGCAGCTGAGTCCCCTTTTCCTCCACGTAATAAAAGCCACCTTGTATTTCTCCAGACTCTCGAGTCCTCTCTCCTTCCCCACTCCGAGCTGACGCCCCTGGCACGAGACATTTCAGTCAAGTTTGCTTCTTTCCAGCCTTGTCTTTTCCTCTGTGTTAAAAAAAAAAAGATCCCAGAGTAAGGCAAGAACCTTGGAAGTTGGGGTAATGATTAACTTTGCAGGAAAGGGCGGGAGGTGGCAGGGACAGGGACCGGAAGGTGTTGGTAATTTTTTTCCCTTGGACAGTAGGTATATGAGTGCTCATGGTGTCATTCTTTTTTTTTTTTAAGATTTTATTTATCTTTAGAGAGAAGGGAAGGGAGGGAGAAAGAGAAACAGAGTGTCATTGCCTCTTGCTTTCTCCCAACCGGAACCTGGCCCGCAACCCAGGCATGTGCCCTGACTGGGAATCGAACTGGTAACCTTTCAGTTCGCAGTCCAGTGCTCGGCCCACAGTCACACCAACCAGGGCTATGGTGTCATTCTTTGTGCCATTTTTTTTACATCAGCTGTTTTATAAGAAACATTTGAGAAAATTACACATAAATTCTCTCGCCCATGCCTGGCTTTCTCCGTGTGCCTCTCAACCAGGCCCATGGGCCTGGTGCGGGACTTTTAGCGGCCTAGGCACGCCCCTGGAATCGGGCTTTCTTGCATCGTGCTTAGAAGGCAGGCTGCTTACCGACCTGTTGTGCGGTCTGGGTGCCCACGGGGTGGCTTTCTCCTCCGGCAGCTTAACTCTGGGAGGCCTCCCTGAAGGTGTCAGGAGATCCTACAGGGGCCTGAGAATACAGCCCACAGCGTCCATGTTTCAACGGCCAGGTCTCTGATCTGACCTCTGACCTCTCAGAAGAAGGCAGGGGCTGGGGCATCCAACCCCGGAGACCCCAACCCCGGAGACCGTCATTCTCAGTACTCGCGATCAGCTTTTTAAGCTCCACTTGGGTGAAAATACTTTAACCTGCCCCAGCCGCTGCCTCCCACCCCAACGTCCACCTGCAGGCGGAAGAGGCACTGAGTCGCGGCTTTGAGAAAGAGCTCCAAAGCACGTTCTCAAAGTTTTTCTCAAAGGTTTGTCTGCCGCTTTATTCTGACCCAGTAGGTCTGGGGCTGGCCACACCCCCTGCATTTCCAACAGGCTCGCGGTGGCTCCAGGCTGCTGGCTGTGCCACCGCGGGGAGGTGAGGAGCCCGGGATGGTTGTTCCAGCCTGGAGACGGCCGAGTTCGGTTCCTCGCCCTCCTGTCTCCTGGTGCTGTCCCCTGGGGCCAGCGAGTTAAGAGTTTCTGTTTCTTCGTCAGCAACACCCGGTTAGTAACGGCTTCCATAGCGACGACATAGGAAGCTTTATGAAGTGCTTTGCACAGTGTCTGGTGCACGACAGAGCATAAGCGGAAGCTAACCCCTGGCCGGGCAGCTCAGTTGCGTAGAGCGTCATTCTGACACGCCAAGATTGTGGGTTCTGTCCCTGGTCAGGGCACATACGAGAATCCACCAATGCATCAATTAGGTGGAACGACAAATTGATGTTCCTCTTCCTGTCTCAAGTGGAAGCTACTTTTATTGTTAATGTGAGTTTAACTAGGTCCTTGGCAGGGCCCCCTTTTTTCCTACATGTGCTTGCTTGCATTTGAACTTTGCCTGCAGGACTTACTTGGAAAACACATCAATAGGAAGCTCCTTGTTAGCTCTGTAACGTCAGCCAGGCCTCCCGGTTAGAAGCCTGGGATCTGTGGCCGTTCCACCTGGGCTTGCGGCCGAGCCCCCCACACGTTCACTGTCCCTTCACGTGTAACTTCCCCTCATGGCCACGTCCAGCTCACAGAGCTGTTTGGAGGGTTAAACTAGTGCCCAGCACACAGTGAGTCCCGTTTAGGGTGTGTGGTTTCTCACTACCTTCTGCTGACGGTGAGGCAGTCGGACGATTCTGGAAGTGGATGGAGGTGGACGGAGAGTCGTCCTGCCCCTGCCCAGTCGGCCTTGCCCAGCCCGACCGCACAGGGACCACCCGAGGCTCTTCCAGCAAAGGCCTCCCTCAGCAGGAATCATAGGCCTCGTGACTTCGGCCGCTTCTTTCTACTTTTGCGGGACACAAAAGGGTTAGTTAGAAAGACGCGGGTCGGACAAGAGACCAGGCAGGATTCTCTGCAGAGACTTTGGGCAGGGGACTTGCAGGAGCCGGTGCACGTTCTCCGAGGCAGGTGGGGAGTCCATCGTGTTGAGAGAAGTAGGGAGACTTGTGAATCCGCTCACACCACACAAGGCCGACGTCTAGGTCGGTGGCAGCCGGATGTGCAGCGGGCGGTGCCGTCCAGCTTTGTGGACGGGCCTGTGATGTTCGCACAACGAAATCACCCGACGACGCGTTCCTCAGAATGTATCCCCGTCACTAAGTGGCACGTAGTTGTGTTCTGTGTTCAGTGTATATGTACATACATGTTAGTACACACATGTTTACCACCTGGTAATCTTATTTGCTGTTCCATTTCCTACCGTGCAGCATATAACCAAACTCAGTGGTGTGATCTAACCACCAAACGTTTTATTCTCCCGATTCTGTGGGTTAGGAATTTGGAATGCGGGGGCTGGGCGTGGGGTCAGCGTGTCTCTGTTTCCCAGTGTTTGGGGCCTGGGTGAGGAAGACTTGAAAACTGGGGGGTGACCCCGTGGCTCGGATCACTTGGGGGTGTCCATCTTCTTAATTCACCCAGTGGGTCATGCTGGCTGTCGACTGGGACCTCAGCTGGGACTATCGGCGGGACAAGGTACAACTGGCCGCACCATGTGGCACTGGGCTACCTCGGCACACAGTGGCCTTGGGCTCAGCAAACTTCTTACCTGGTGGTTCAGGGCTCGGAAGGGGGTGTCCAGCCAACAAAGTGGACACAGCGTTGCCTGTGACAGCCCAGCCGCGGGCGTCACACAGCACTGCTTCCGCTGCATCGTATCAGCAGAGGGTGGTAGCCCCCAAATTTAAGGGGAGGAGGATCAGACTCTGCCTCTGGTGGTGGGATGGGAAGGCTCTGGGGAGAAGGGTCAGGAGATACTGGTTTTTGTCTGTTTGGTTTTTGTTTTTGTTTTAAAGATGACCTGCCACATGTGCTTCCCTGGAAAAGGACAATTTGTCGCATGGGGAAGTTGGGGACCCTGGACCAATTGAGGGGTTTTCCCGAGCATCTTCTACAGTATAAACAGCATGTATACGAATACAGTAGCCCTCAGAGTGTAGGCCAGGCACGATTTTCTTTTTAGATTTATGTGTTTATTTTTAGAGAGAGGAAGGGAGGGAGAAAGAGAGGGAGAGAAACATCGAACGGTTGCCTCTCAATCAGGAACCAAACCAGCAATCCAGGCATGTGCCCCGACCGGGAATCAAACCCACGACCCTTCGCTCTGCAGGGTGATGTCCAACCACTGGAGCCACACTGGTCAGGGGTGCCAGACGCTGTGCTAGGTTAACTCCTTTAATGCAACACCCTCTGAAGGAGGGACTGTCACTCTCCTGAGTTTACAGATGACGCATACGGCTGTTCAGTAAGTTGTCCAGGGTCACAGAGCTCCTCTTTGAAGAACTGGAATTTGAACCCTGGCAGTCTGGCGCCGGAGTCCACGCACTCCATCGCTAGGACCATCTTACTGTGCAATGTGTACAGTTCATCGACGCGTCGCCATCTTTATTGTGCACCTACCACGTGTCAAGCACTGGGTCAGAAACCATTCGTTCGGCGGTGAGAGAAGTCAGAACGCCCTGCCCCCGGGAGCTTATAAAATGCCAGCTCCAACAGCTGATGGAGACTGATTTCTGAATCAGCATTTTTACAGTGCAGTTTTAGGGGACATAAATGATGACCACTATCGAACTAGCTGTTGCTGGTGCCTCACTGAATACAGTCGAAGAGGATTCAGGAAACCCGCGAATGTCCTTATTTATAGCGAGAGCCGAGACTCAGAGGCGAGGCTGCACAGGATCAGATCTGGGCTCCACCACTTGGAGCAGTTTCACCTCTGTGATCCTGCTTCCTCATCTATAAATGGGGTGATGGTACCTTCTTCTGAGAGCAGTCGAGGTACAGAATGGGGACCCTAGAACAAAGTGAGAGCAAGTAATCACCAGCCAGGACCACCTCCTTTCACGGTGTGGCTCAGTGCTGACCTCTAGTGGTCACCGAGTATACCTCGCCCTTCATCCAGGAAAAATATTTCCAAGCACATACACTCCCTTTTCTGGAACGCAATATCTCAGTCCTGGGCCTTTTTCTTCAGATTCTAAAGTACCTGGATATTTCACAAGTCTCGCTAGAATAATGTTCTGTTGCCCTGGGAAGAAACTACTTAAAAATGAGATAATATGCAAGGCACAGAGCATAGAAACAGCCTGGGAAATAATTGCTACTATTTTCTTGAGCACTTATGTGAGCAATTTAAACCTCACATTTATTAACCCCCACTGGAAAATATGTTTATTGATTTGAGAGAGAGAAAGAGAAACATTGATCAGTTGCCTCACATATGCTCCCTGACTGGGGATCAAACCCACGACTTTTTTTGGTGTCCTTTTTTGGACAACACTCCAACTCAGACACCTGGCCAGGGCTAAACCTTGCATTTAAACCTCACAGGTACGCTGTGAGGCTGGTACTGTGGTCCCCGCTGTATGAATGAGGGGACTGAGGCTTGGAGAGGTTCTGTGACTTGCTCAGGGTCACGAGGCTAGTGAGAGAGGCTGGGCTCTGAAGCCGAGGTCTGGCCCTAGGGCTGGAACTCCTCACCCCATTCCACCGCTCCCAGCCCACCTTCTCCACCCACTGCCCGCCCCACGTTAACCATCAGACAGCTGCCGGGGTCAGGGGGCAGGGCAACCACAGGAGGGCAATGCTAGAGTGGCCCTGCTAAGGCGGGAGCAGCAGAGGAGGGCAATTCCACCAGAGGTCTGTCCTGCGTGGCACTGAGGACCATCCCGGGAGACCGGGGGCTGGGATTCACCCACTGGGAGCAGTGGGGACCAGAGGCGCCATCTCTCAGATGCAGTGGAAATTGGCTGGAAGACTGATTCCTCCAAAAAGAGGTCCTCTGCCCCAGACCACTGCACGCTTTGGGAGCTTGGGGGGACTTAAGAGGACGAGGAGGATGAGGAGTAGCTTATGTGCTTATCTTTAATTCTAAAAGAAATACGTGCTTGTGTAAAAATGCAGACTACAGAAATTTATAAAGTGAAAAATTTGAGAGCCCTTATCTGCTTTCGCTGTGACCCGGTCTCAGAAATCAACGGTTATGTATTCTTCCGGCGGCTTTTCTGGTCCTTTCATATATCCCACACCGCCACAGGAGATATGTATGGTTTTTTTCTTTTTAGAAATATTTTATTTATTTACTTTTAGAGGGAAAGGGGAGGAGGAGAGGGAGAAAAACATCAATAGATGAGAGATACATCCACCGACCTGCCTCTCACACACCCCCAACTGGGGACTTGGTGCCCAACCCAGGCATGTGCCGATTGGGAATCGAACCAGCGACCTTTCGGTTCTCAGGCTGGTGCTCAGTCCACTGAGCCACACCAGCCAGGGCCAAATGCTTTTTTTCCTTAAACAAAGGATTGTTCGGTTCGTCCTGGTCTGCAGGTTGTTTTCTCTTATTCAATATCAAGGAGAACAACATTCTATGAACTGGCAATTTAAATACTTTAGGGGTTTGTGTTTCCAAGAACCCTCATTTTGAAGAATAAAATCCTTATGTGAATAATCAACCCCAATACCTTTGTGTATTCAATCTCTGCCTCCTCAGCTGCTCCGCTTGGGATTCAGTTGAGAGGTGGGTGGCTGTCGGCTGACGCATCAAAAAAACCCTGTAGGATTCCTCACTCTTTTTCGTCTTGCCCTGACTTTCTCCATGGACTGAGTAAGAGGGAGGTTGGCTGTATATTCTTCCAATTAAACACAAATAAACATAAACACTGACCCCCTGGCCTGGTAGCTCAGTTGGTTGGACTGTCATCCTACACATCAAAAGGCTGTGAGTTTGATCTCCAGTTGGGGTGAACCTGGAACCGTCTATAAGGGAGGCAACCAATAGATGTTTCTCTCTCACATTTCTCCCCCCTAAAAACCAATAAACATATTTTCAGGTGAGAATTTAAACAAAAAAGCAAACAGACGTGGTGAAAAGTCAAAACTCATCACTTACGCTACCACGTTGCACGTTTTTCTTCTATGTGCTTGACCTTATTCACATCTGTGGTATCTACATGGTGGGGGGCAGCACCTCTTCCCTGTTCTGAGTTCCCAGACTCCACTGCGGTCATTTGAAAGGGCAGTGATGGGAATATTTACACCACGGAAATGGGCAAGCGCTCCAAACCAGGGTTTGATTTGTTGTTGACTGTCTACTTAAGTGATGGGGGAAAGGTTAACTATGCAGATTAGACCTGAACGTGTGCCTCTTCAGGAGCCTTTTTATCCAAGGTGCAAACACAGGCCCGAGGTCAGGCCCTCTGCCCGATTTTATCTGCCCAGGAACCTTGTTTCTACCTGGCGGCAGCGCCAAGCTCTCGCTTGCCTGTGAAGGAGTAGTTCACATTTTTACACAGTTCTAAAATTACATTCGGCCCTTTGAAGGCAACCACGAGGCTGATGGGCGCCCCCTCTGGTGAAAATGAGTTTGACACCCCTACTTTACATTGTGAATAGCACAAAACACTGAGGAAAGATGTTTCCCGTACTTGAACACTGTTATTTGGTTCAGCAAAGAAGTCCCTTGTGGATGCCATTGGGATAGGAGTGAAACTCTAAAAAGTGATGCCGGGAAAGTGGGAAATAACTGAAGAAAGTTTGGAAGCAGTGAAAACCCAAGGTTTGCTTTCAGGAAAAGGAAAATCAGTCAACGTTTGTGTCAAAACTATGCTCCTTTGTCAATGGCAACGAGGTGAGCTGAGAGACATATTCGCCGAATGGGACAGTAACCAAACGTTTATCCATGGTCTGATTTGTTGAAACTATTGTTGATGGCAGCTGGATAAAAACTCATTTTGCAAGGCACATGTAAGTTAAAAGCTGTAGAGCTATATGGAAGGTACAATAAGAAATGGTGCAGGACACTGCTGTCCCTACACACACACACACACACACACACGCGCACACGCATTCTTTCCCAGCGCTGGTGAACCACTGTGCCAGACACTGAGCTGGGTGCTGGGTCAACAGGGAGCTTGGCCTGAGAGGTCCAGCTACCCGGCCCAGTGAGGCACAGGAGGGGCCGGAGCTGACGAATGGCGAAGGCCCTTTCCAGAGTGACCGCCAGGGGGCACGCTCGAGGCAGCGTGGAGCTTCGCCCTTTGTCCCTCCGCGCGGCCCGTCGCCGGGCGCCGCGGCGGGAAAATCTGACTGCAGCCAACAGTCGGCTTCTTTACGCGGTCGCGTGCCCACCTAGGTCTTCGCTGTGATGGAGGAGGAGGCCGAGGAGCAGCAGCGATTCTCTTATCAACAGGTACAGGAGACCCGCATCCCGGTCGAGTTTTCGGAGAGGAAAAGACCCAAGGGCGTCGCGAGTTCTTGTTTCGAGGGCCGCCTCCCTCGGCTAGGGGTGCGCCCCGGCCTGCTCCAGCGCCTGCGCATGCGCCTGTTTAGTTGCCGCGCGAGGGGCGGGGCGCGTAAGGTGCGGTTTCCAAGGTAACGCGCTTGGGCGGTGGCTTTCCAGCAAAGTGCTGCGCGCCCGGCGTCTGCCAGCTGTGCTGGCCGTGTAGCTTTGCCACGGGCTCAGCCTCCGTTCTCTGATAGAGTCCTCGTGAGGATGGGACGTGAACAGTACAGGAAAATCAGGCAAAGCACTTAGCGCGGTGCCCGGTGCGCGGCAGGAGCCCTAAGGTGGTGTTGGCTTGGCCACCGCAAGGGTGCCGTCTCCGTCCTGCAGATGGCTCTTGGAGCTGCGTGCACACCGCTCCGTCTTGTTCCGGCCCGGAGTCCCCTCTGCGGTTGTACGTTCGCCTGTCAGCCCCGCAACGTGAGGGTGGCATTGACTTTTCCAAACTCAGTTTTCTTACAAGAAAAGTAGTGGTAACAACCACCGGTCAGGGTAGTTGTGCGTCTTCAGCCCTTACTTTAATCAGCCCGAGCATGAGTGCGGCGTGGCCAGTGCGCAGTCAAGAGGTGGAAAGCAAGAACCTGGTGGCACCCTCAAAGAGGATTAACTGCAGGGACACGTGAATGAGCTCGGTACCTGGGAGTTTCCTGCCCATGAAGTGTCACATTTTGGAAGCTGTTTACCCATCCCTTTTATTTTGAGAAGCCTTCAGAAAAAGTTGTGGGACTACTGCACTCAATACCCATACATACACCCCTCACCTCCATTCACCAGTTGTTAACTTCTTGCAGTTTTTGCTCCTCCTCCCGAATTACTTAATATTTCATTGCAAATATCTTAGCACTTCACCTTTACATTTTAATACTTTGGTATGCGTCTCCCTTTCTCTGACATAATCTCAATTATTACACTCAGGGAGTTCAATATTGATGAAATTCTATTATTAGATGTCGCTCAGTCCCAATTCACATTTCTCCAATTGTCCCAAAGATGTTCCTGTTAGTGGTCTTCCCTCATCCAGGGCCCATCGAGGACCACGTGTTGCGGTAGGAGTCCTGTCTCTTTGGTCCTCCCTGGAATTATCCTGCAGCTGTGTCTTTTATGACGCTGGCGGTCGAAAAGGTCCGCTCATGGCAGAGGTGCAGCGGGAGACAGACTGTTGGGGATCAGGGCCTGGCCTTCTCACTTCTTTGTTCTTCGCCCTGGCACTGAGCCTGGCCATCCGCAAACAGTGAATTCTTACTGATTGAATGAGTAAGCCTGCAAAGATGGGCTGAGAGCATTTTTTAAACTTGCCAATTAAATTTATGTAGGGTTCACCCTGGCTGATGTAGCTCAGTGGATTGAGTGCAGACCTGTGAACAAAAGGATCACGGTTCGATTCCCAGTCAGGGCACATGCCTGGGTTGCAGGCCAGTTTCCAGCAGGGGACGCACGAGAGGCAACCATACAGTGATATTTCTCTCCCTCTCTCCTTCCCTTCCCCTCTAAAGATAAATAAATAAAAAAATTTAAAAATAAATAAATTTCTGTAGGCTTCAAGTGTACACTTCTATGACACATCATCTCTATATTGCTTTGTGTGCCCAGCACCCAGAGTCAGGTCTGTCGCCATGTATTTGACCCCCTTTACCAGCTTCTGGGCGGAGAAATGTGAACCTCTTCCTCAGGGGTGAGCAGGTCGAGGGTCATTCACTGAGGCGGCCGTCCTTGGCACTTGGTGGACAGCCGCGAGCAAAGCTGGTGAGGTCCTGCCCTTGAGCTCCCGTGTCCGTGACACTGAAGAAGGCTTCCAGCGCAGTCCAGGACGCTCAGAAGGAGGGGGGCAGAGAAAACTGGCGGGAGTGCTCTCCCTTTCTCTCACTCCTGACCACACCCCCACACATACCTAAAAAAGATGACCTTGGAGGTCTTTATCCCCCCAGGGTGGTGGTCCTCTTGTTTCCCCTGACAAAGCCTCAGCGGACCTAGTCTAAGGGAGGCGGCTGCCTCCTCGGCCTGTCCCTTACTCCAGGGTCCGGGCCTGTGTTCCTGCAGTTCCTCCTCATCTCGCCCCCACTGTGAACAGTGCGGGCTTAGGTTCAGCCGTCACCATGCCCCGCTCGGCTGTCTCCAGCACAGAGTCGGAACACACAAGTGTGTTGACACCTTGGCTTAGCCGCTTTGGCTTCTCCACTCCTCTGTGCGGTGAAGAGAGAGGTTTTCCAGGATCTTGTCGGCTTGCTGAGGAGCTGGGAGGGTCCTGCTGAGGCCAGCTTGCTAACCAGCACTCAAAGGAAGGCCAGACCCGCCCTTGGAGCCTTCCCAGCTTCGTCCTGGTCACCCAACCTCTGTCACGTGCAGGGGCTGCAGGGACTTGCAGCAGAGGGACGAGGTCCTTTTGCATTTACTTGATGAGCCCCCACCCAGGCAGACATGCCCGCCTGGCATCTCACTGTGCTCCCCACGCACCCAGCGTGCACCTTTCCTCGGGAACCTGGCGCACGTTTGGGGACTGAGTCCGGTCACGCAGATACTTCGCAGGTGCCATCGGATTCTCTTCCCGTTGACCTCTCCCCATAGTTCCTTGCTCTCACTCCACCTAAATCCTAGCCACTAGCCAGGAAGTGGAGTTTCTACAGGTCCCACTCCAGAGGGCCTCATTAATTTGTCAGTACACTGGGAAGGTCACCGAGCTGTCATGGGAAGGGCTGCAGGAGTTAGGCCAAGCAGAGCCTCCCCTTGGTCTTCTTTTGTTAAGGTGTGAAAAGCTCTTATTTGCACCCCCCTCCGAGGCATTTTGGTTTTTGCTGCAGAGGCTGAAGGCTGCCGTGCACTACACTGTGGGCCGTCTCTGCGCAGAGGCCACCCAGGACTCGGGGGTGCAGCTCAGCAAGCAGACCGTCGCGGCCATCGCGGAGGTGACCTTCCGGCAGTGCGGTAGGAGGCCGGAGGAGCGGTGGGCGGGTGCCGAAGGGGGTCCCCTCCCGTGGGAGCACCGGCACCTCACACTGTTCACACCAAACAGTCTTTTTCTTGGCTGTCGGGTTTGGAGAGTTTATGGAAGAACAGTTTCTATTACACTAACACTGGGGCATTAGCACCTTGATTTTATTGTTTTAAACTGCCTGGAACATTAGGCATTAAACTTTTTATTTCCTTGCTTTATAACGTTTTTGTATCGCCCATAGTTTATTTGACAGAGGAACTTGTGGCAGAGGTATTTGCTTGACTTCACAGGAAATTAATGTCCTCGCAAGCCCTAGCTCGCCATAGAACGTAGAGTTCAGGGGCAGTTCAGAGTGAAAGGTGTTGCCCCAATTACCAGGGAGCCTGGAGTAAAGGGTCGGGGGCCAGAGGAGAGGCAGTCCTGCCGAGTTAAAGGGCCGCAGGCGCCTGACCCAGATGGGGCTGCGTGGAGGGGCTGCATGGAGGGGCTGTGCTGGCTGTGGGGTGGGGACCTCGAGCGTAAGGCTGTGACGAGGGAGCTGAAGTTTGTCTCTTTCTCTCTTTCAGAAAATTTTGCCAGAGACCTTGAGATGTTTGCAAGGTGGGTGAAGAGCTAGATTGCGTGCTGCTGTGTGTTTACATCCTGCTGACACTCTCCATCTGGTGGGATATTTCAGGGGAGCCTTAGCTATTCGGGGTTTTTTTCTGCGTTTTGTGGAGGCTCATCTCTCATCAGGATTCCACAAGAACGAAACATCTGCTGTAATCACGTCCATTCAGACTTGATTTGGCATTTTGTGAAGTTTCTCCAGTATTTTTTGTTGAGAGAACTGAAATCACTCAGCTCCAGGTTAAAAAGGCCCGAATGACGTCTCTAGGACTGAATGTGCAGGGCTTGCAGTGCTTTGCAGACAAACTCTGTGGGGTGGAGCCGAGCGGGGGTCTGGTCCCCACGGGGGAGCGGGGTGCTGCGGGCGGCGATTGCCGGCAGGTGGCTGGGTAGTGGCAGCACAGCCCCCGTCTGCATTTGCCACGCTTGTTCCCGGTGACACACTCGCTCCACGCAAAGTGGGCGACTTGCTTTCAGCTGGTAAAGCTTTAGCTTTTACAGGTGATTTACGCTCATCTCTTCAATTAGCGCCTCAGGTAATTGAAAACAATTGCTACGAATTGCTTTTATGAAGCAATTTGAATGAGCAGAGCCGGAAAGGGCTGGTGCTTTCTAGTTTGCTGCCACTTCTGGTTTGGTGCCAGCCTCTCCCGCACCGCACTCTTCACCTTGCCCCCAGGAGCTCTTTGGTTCTCGGGCGAATGGCTGAGTGAGTTACGGCAGCGGGGGTCCCTGAGGCCGGGCTCTAAATCTGCCCTCCTCCTGTGTGCACGAGCCCCTAAAACCGCGCAGCGGCTTCAACTTGGCCAGAGGGGATTAGGTGCTGTCCTGGGTTACCGTTGGCTCACGTGGCTTATTCTCTGCCGGTTCAGCAGCTGCCCCTCACCCCATGTCTCCTGTGAGATGCCTTGGTCGCTTTACTTGCCATTTCTTTTCTTTTTTGAAAATACAACTCTTTCATGACAGAGGGAGGCACGCAAGTGTGACTGAGTGGACAAGTGATGGCTTGACTTGAATGTGAAGCCCTGTCAGGGCAGAGCAGGGTCCCCCACCTGAGCAGGGCTGCCGCTGGAGGGCAGGCTGTTGCGGGGCCGCATGTGTGCGGCGCAGGCGGTCGTTAGTGTCTGTGGCCCCTGCCCGCTGGAGTATGCCCCGGTTGGGACGTGTGTTTTTGCCATTTCTGTGTTAGCTATGGGAAAAGACAGTGAACATTTCTAAAGGCTTCTGCAAAATACTAGAAATAATGAAATTAGAAATATTTAGCATTGTGGTCATCAAGCTTCCAGTTCCCCTGCGTTTTTGTAACGTTTCCTGGGCACCGGCGTCAGGGTGGTGTGTGTGTCCCCGAGGCCGGAAGTCCACGAGGCAGGGCGGCGTCTTCTAAAGGGGGGTCTGGGTGAAGGCTGGCAGCTGCCGTGGGGGGGGTGCGGGGGGGGGCGACTGCAGCCTCCTCCGAGAGCCCCGAGGCAACGCAGGAGCAGGTTTTCTTTGAACACCCATCCTTTGTCTTAGTTTTACATTGGTTTTCATGATATTCCAGTTTGTTCTCATGTTTTAAAAATCCTGCTTTGAAGTTTATCGCTGAATAAAACCAATATTCCCAGAAAGTCACCTCCATTTATCCTGTGGCTCTGGGCTTCCCCTGCCATCCAGTCTCTGCTTCTAGAACCATGGTCGCCGGGGTGGGGGTGGGGTGGGGGGGTCCAGATGCACACAGGCTGGGCTTCTCACGGGAATCAGGGTTCCAGAAGCATTAAGTAGTCTCTGTGGGCTGCCTGTGATGTCGTTCCTGTGAGGAAACGCATTTCTTTTTTAATAAGATTTTATTTACTTTTAGAGAGAGGGGGAGGGAGGAAGGGAGAGAGACACCAATGTGTGGTTGCCTCTCATGTGCCCCCACCAGGGACCTGGCCCACAACCCAGGCATGTGCCCTGATTGGGAATCGAACCAGCAACCCTTTGGTTCACAGCCTACACTCAATCCATTTAGCTACACCAGCCAGGCCAAGAAAATACATTTAATTCTGAATTCTGAAAATACATTCAATTCACCTATAAACTTGGGAGAAATCATCTCAGTTTAAGTTACGGGTTTCCTTTATTTAGTTTTGAAATCTCTAGTCACCTAGTATTGCTAATGTGGTAAAGATGGAGTGTTTTGAAGAAAATAGATATTCTACGCTAAGTAAATTCTAGGAACATTTTGGGAATAACCTTTAAAACCAGTGTTGCTAAAAGCATTATGTAAAAAAGTTGTTTTGGCCCTGGCTGGTGTGGCTCAGTGACTTGAGTGCCGGCCTGCAAACCAACGGGTCACTGGTTCGATTCCCGGTCAGGGCACGTTCCTGGGTTGCAGGCCAGGTTCCCAGTGAGCAGGCACGAGAGGCAGCCACACACTGACGTTTCTCTTCCTCCCTTGCCCCACCCGTCCCCTCTCTCTAAAAATAAACTAAAAAAAAGGCCGCTTTGTCAAGTTCCCTGGAGTGACGTTCTGGAGGCAGAGGTTTGCCTCAGGAGAGTCTGATGTGTGGCGGCCCCGCCCAGAGACCAGGGACAAGCTGGGGGCCAGGGAGGGTGGGCTCAGTCCCATCCTCCCTGTCCACGCTTTGTGACAGACAAGCCGCCTCACTCCGCACCTGGTTCAGCCGCCGGCGCCCATTCTCTCCTGCCGTCCGCTGTGCTCCACGGGAATAGAGGACTGACGCGGCAGCCGGAGCCGGTGGCCGAGGCGGGGCCACACTGGTCCTCGGTGGCACCGCTGCCCTCTTCCCAGGGCATCTGTGGCTGGCCTCACACTTTGTGGCTGCTGTTGTACCACCTCTGCCTTTTCTCCCTCTTCACCTTGGTCCTTGCAGGCAGCCGATGGGAAGTCATCTCCTGAAATGGGTATCATCCCACGACAGGCAGATACTGTTGTCACGATAAGGTGACAAGTGGTATTTGGACATTTAGCAGGATGTGAAGGAATAATTTGGCCAAATTATGGGGTATAATTTTTGTGTGACTTTGTCTTTAATTCAGCCAATATTCAGTGTTGACCTACTGTGTGCTGGCCACTGGCCACTTTGCTAGTTACTAAGGATACAAAGATTCCTACCTATTTCTACATACAAAGTTCTTATTTTTGGAGGAAGTTAGAAATGGCAAGAAAAGGTATACTTAGAATAATAAATTATGAATAGAGCTTATTATTTCAAATTACCTTTTAAAGCAAAGATGAGGGGATTGGAATGAAAATTTGAGTCCAACTTGTGATCAAGCAGCAGACTCCAGCGTGAAGGGTGTTCTCTGCTCCCACAAGGCCATGGTCGGGGCGGCGTCGCCTTCATGCCGGGCGGTAGCACCTCGGGGGCATCCGGGCCGGCGCGTCCTGCAGTTGGGCCCTCAGAGAGGAGCTTGGGGTCTTGGTCTAAGGGAAGCCATGCCTCAGCAAATTCTCTCTCTCTCTTTTTTAATCCTTACCCAAGGATATTTGGTCATTGCTCTTTAGAGAGACGGGGAGGGAGAGGGAGAGAAGCATCGATTGGTTGCTCTCTCTCATGCGTCCTGAATGGGGATGGAATCTGCAGCCTGGGTATGTGCCCCAGCCAGGAACTGAACCCATGACCTTTTGGTCCACAGCCAACCAACTAAGCTGTACCAGCCAGGCTTTAATGTCTCTTTTAAAGCTTTATTTATTGCCCTGGCCAGTGTGGCGCAGTGGATTGAGCACTGGCCTGTGAACCACAAGGTTGCTGGTTTGAGTCCCTGTCAGGGCACATGCCTGGGCTGTGGGCAGGGTCCCTAGTTGGGGGTGTGCAACAGGCAACTGATTGCTGTTTCTCTTGCACATCGATGTTTCTGTCCCTCTCTTTTTTCTCTCCTTCCCCTTTCTCTGAAAATAAATAAATAATATCTAAAAAAATTATTTGAGAGAGAGAGAGAGAGGCATCGATTTATTATTCACTCATTTTCGCATGCTGGTTGGTTCTCGCCTGTGCCCGACTGGGGATCGAGCCCGCAGCGTGGCGTGTCGGGACGCTGCCTGGCTGACCGAGCCCCCTGGCCGGCTTCCGTGTTTCTTTCACGCGTTGTGAGACTGGGCCGTGTTCTCTTTTCCCTGAAGCTGTGCAGTGACCTGGCTGTTTCTGTTGTGTTTGCTGTGACCCAGCAAGGCCCTGGGGGAGGCTCAGTGCCTCGACGCTTCTCCCTCCTTGTGCTCGGCGGAGGCGGACAGATGCGCTGGTCACTTTATTCATTTCTGTGTCTCTGTTGCTTAAAGACTGTGATCTGAAAAGATGGGCTGCTTCGAGGTTCTTGCTAGCCTGAAGTCTGACCGTGAACTTTTGTGTTTCATCAAAACTTTAAATACTACCAAACGTTTTGGCGAATTGTTTCTGCCCTTTCCACAGGCATGCGAAACGAAGCACAATTAACACGGAAGATGTGAAGCTCTTAGCCAGGAGGAGTAATTCACTGGTGAGAGATGAATTTCTTTCCTCACTCCCCTTTCCCATCAGAATACATTATTCCCAATTAATCACTTTTAGCATGAAACGATTCCCCAGGGCACCTTGCATTAAAAACGAGAGATGGTTGAACCATTCAGACCTGCCTGTAATTTATAGTCTTTCTTTCATTAAGATGGATCTCGCCAAGCCAATTTGAAATTTTCTAATCAGCACTCTCCGGACTTCGTAGTGCGCCTTTCCGTAACATCTCCAGACTCGGGCCCCATGTTTCACTCGCAGGGTGATGTCGGAGACGGTCACGGGCAGGGGTGTGGGAGCAGTTCCTTGTGGCGCCCAGTTGTCCGGGGCAGGCGTGAGGCGTGTTTGCATAGCTCAGGTGGGCAGACGGTTTTCTGTCTTTTCAGTGAAGTCTGGAGGTCATCCCGACCAGGCCCTCATGTCACAGGTGACGCTGTGACCTTCCCAGCCTGGCGGCTGGGCCGGCGGCAGATCTGGGGCCCCTGTGAGGCCCGGCCGTGGAGGCGCTTTGTGTTCCTCCCCGTAATGTGAGCTGCACGAGGGGGGATTTTATCTCTTTTTCCTCTGCTCCACCTGCTGTGCCTAGAATAGGGCCTGGCACACAGTAGGTGCTGAATGAGGAGTTGTTGAATCAATTCCTATAGCAGCCGACGGTTCACAGGGGCTTTTTTAGGGACTTGATGTGTGTTATCTAAGCCTCACAGCCACCCGGCGAAGGTTTGTAATGACATGACTTATTAGCCTATTTTACGGGCCAGACCCCTGGAGTTGGTAACTTCCCAAAGTCAAACATGAAGCTCTCTGGTTGACCCCTGAACCTTAACCTTTTAACCCTGAATTAGTGCTGTTTCTACTAGGCTCTTTTTGGCCTTTGCTCTTCTAGTATCCTTTCCTAAAGTTTAAGTGGAGGTTAGGGATGAGAGCTAAGTGACAGCTGAGGCGCCTGGCGGTGCCGCGTCCTGGTGGAAAAGAGATTTTTCTTTTTGTTGGTCAGCTGCAGTGAGCAGTTTCTATCTTTGGCAGAGGAATAGCCGATGCCAGTCATCTTAGAGAATGAACTGCAAAGTTGTCTGCTGACGCAGATTTGTTTACCTCACTTTTTATTTTGGACTCTTAATTTTTTTCATCTGACAGAAGCTGGTATTAATGAAGACAAGCTAAATCTGCACATTTGGCTAAATTCTCCCTTAAGGCAGGGACCTTGTCTTGTTTATCTTGTATCCCTAATATGTGGTACATAGTAGTTGCTCAACAATTTCAGTTGGATAAATTTAGGCGGCTATTAACCATATCCGTGCTTTGGAACGTGTATCTGTGGTTGGCACACCTTCTGCATGCCCCAAGTGTTAACTCACTGGTCACTCTGGGAACTCCCTCCTGCTTGGTGGCATCTGTCAGCAGCAGGGAGCTGGTGTTTGCAGTTGATTACTGCTCTGAGCAAGAATTCGAAACTCTGTTTAACTGTGAGGAATGTGACCCAGGCTTGTCCACCCAAATTTTTTGGTTGGGAGAGGGTGTAGTTTTTTTCCCCCTAGACTTATAAAATGGCTTTACAACCAGATAAAAATATAATTAAAACTTCTTTTCTGTGCCCTGGCTGGTATGGGTCAGTGGACTGAGTGCTGGCCTGTGAACCAAAGGGTTGCTGGTTCTATTCCCAGTCAAGGCACATGCCTGGGTTGTAAGCCAGGTCCCCAGTAGGGGGGTGTGTGAGAGGCAACCACACATTGATGTTTCTCTCTTTCCCTTTCTCTCTCTCTTCCCATCTCTAAAAATAAATTTTTTTTGTAGCTAAAATACATCACAGAGAAAAATGAAGAGATCGCTCAGTTTAACACAGAACGAAAGACAAAGAAGAAAAAGACGTTAGAGACTGAAAACAAAAATTCGGTGGAGCCTGCAGGGGCTGAAGGAGTGGAAAGTGACAATTAAACTCTGTCACGATTTGGGAAAAGCAGCCCTCAGCAGGTAGAGCCACCAGAACACGTATTTCCACCAAGGGAATTTTGAAGGAATAAGTGGAGATTTAAAAAAAAAAGGTGAGGTATTCTCCATGTGATCAGCTGCAGAAGCCAGTGCAAACGAGAACTGAGAGCTCTTAAGCAAAACACTCCTGTCCCTTATCTTACTGAGACTCGTAAGGGAGGGTTGTGTTTGAGTACATGTCGGAAATTATATCGGTTGCAGTTAATAAAGCTGTGTTAGCAGTAAAATGTGGTTCAAGCAAAAATCCGGGTTATTTCTTTATTCTTTTACTTAAGTTTCCAGGCTGACAGTCCCTGCAAGATGATAAAGCTGTGTTCATTTAGTTCTTGTGATTACCTTTGTTTTAAACTCATGTCACTTGGGGTCACAGGTGAAAGGGCTGATGCTGGGAAATGGTCCTTTTTACTGTGTAAAGGAGATTTTCTCCCGAAACACAGTGTGCGGGACTTTTCCTCGTGCGGTTTTGGGGGTCCTTCCAGGAGCTCCATCCTGCTGTCATCTTCTTGGGGTTTCTTAGCGGGCAGGGTGGGCCGTTCCCTGCTGGGGGGGGCGGGGGCGGGGGCACAGAGAAGGGCCTGGCGCTCACAGAGCCCGGTCTGCCTGCCCGGCTCTGCCCCAGGCGCCACCTACGGCGCCTCGCTGGGTCTGCACGGCTCGTTCGGGGGTGAGTGGCTGTCCCCACGGTCCTGATGAGCAAGCCGAAGCTCGAAGAGGGTAACCGCCTGCCCGGGGTCTGCCGCCCAGTGGAGACTGCGCACTCGAGGTCCTGACTGGCGAGGGGCAGGAGAGAAGAGGGCGTGCGTATCGGGTAGAATTCTTACCATCGGTGCCCAAACGTGGTTATCACAAGACAGCTCAGAGTCTGACTGTCGGGAGGAGGTGCTGAGCTGTGGTCCTAGTAAAGCCTTTTTCGTGGGGGAGGGCAGTGTATTTAAAATTTTTTTTCATTGTGATTTTTTTAAAAGTTAATTTTTTATTGTATTTTTCCATTACCATTTATCCCCCACATACCCTCTTCCACCTCCACTCCCAACCCATAAAGCTTTGAATTTAAACTTCAGTTTCAGCCTCCGCAATAATGGATCACATGATCTCGGGTTAGTTGTGATGAGGGTCACATCAGTGAAGGAAAAGGGAGTCACGAAGCCTTCCCCCCTTGCAGTGCCTTCCAGCCAGAGATCTGTGTGTTGGTTTCTTTTTTAAATTTTACTATTTTAATTAAACATACGGGGGTGACATCAGTTAATGAGGCCGTATTGGCTTCAAGTGTGCTTTCCTGTGGTTCACGTGTTGCCCCGTGTGCCCACCCCTGCGGTCAGGCCGCCCTCCGTCACCTGTTCGGCCCCTGCCACGCACCCACCCTGTGTGCTGCTTTCATTTGCAGATGAGCTCTCCTTGAACTCTGAGTCGAGGGGAGCTCAGCGACTGGAGACTGGGCTTTGCAGAGGTTGGTGTGACCGCCATCGTTGCCGTATGGCTGCGTGGAACGCCATTTGGACCGTGGCGTTCTTCTTGCAGCGAGGTTATTGGGGACAGGATCCACCACCATAATGCATCTTACTCTTATGGTTTCCGTGGCCCCAAAACTCGGTGCATGCGTGGCTCAAAGTGGGGAACCCGTGTGCGTCATGGGTGTTCCATCTGGTTGGAGGGGTGTAGAGGGCCCCGCCCTGCTGGCATAAGGGCTCTGATGTGAGGTCCCCGAGCCACGGGAGAATGTTGGCTTGGTGTTCACGGAGTCTTTTGGTTTAATCAGCATGTTTACGTGCGGCCTGTCTCTGTTTCAGGTGTGTGGCCTTACAGTTTTTCGGGGGGTGTGACACGAGTGGTCGGACTTTGTCAGAACGGCTGGCTTCACGCCCTGTGCCTTCCCCGCCACACGCCCAGTCAGGGGCGCGTTTACTCTGGACATCCAAGCCCGTGTCAGTCAGCCTTCACCCGTCTGTCTTTGGTGACAGTGGCAGAAAGGAGCGCTAGAGGGCCCTTTTTCATGGGCTCACTTCCTCCGAGCTCTGGAAGCTCATCTGAGCTTTACCTAGACCTGCTGTCCGTATAACCGACGATCAGCCACACAGAAGCAGAGGTTTTGAAATAAATGTGGTAACAGAGCGGGGGGCAGTTTACGTTTTCAGTATTTGTTGTCTTCCGCGCACGCCAGTTCCTCGAAGAGCTTGACATGAAGGCCCCGTGTTCATGTTTGTTAGATCAGGAGCCAGGCAAGCCTAGCCTCCCTCTCTGCCCACAGCCGCCACCTGGGTGCGCCGGGGAGGGTCTGCCTGCGGAGCACAGCGGCCCGGAGAGGGGGTCGGGTGCCGTGCCCTGCACTGAGCGGTGGAGTCTGGGAGGAGCCCGGGAGGAGCCCCCAGAGCCTGCGCGGCCCTTCCACCAGCTGGTCCCCGGCCCTGCCGAGCTCCTCGGGGACGAGCAGCCCCTCTGTTCCTGGACCCGAAAGATCGCAGGTTTCTTCCCTCCTCAGGAAGCGTCTCCACCTTTTAACGTCTGCCGGGGTCTTGTTCTGTCCTTTGGAAAGAACAGTCTGTTTTTCAAAATAATCCCAAACCGGCTTCCTTTTCCTCAAAGTTCCCGTTGCACCTCTTTTCAGACACACATTCTCGCACTGGACATTAGACGGTGGGCTCCCCGCGGGCGCACTTGGGCCGCTGAACCTCGGCCCCTCGGTGCCTGCGCAGCGCCCACCACGGTAGGCGACCTGTGGGGACTGGCACCCTGGACTCCACGGGGGGGCTCGGGGGGGAGCAGGAGCCCTGGCGGAGGTCGCTCGGCTCTAACCGGGGTTTCCGTAGCGGGGGGCCCTTTCCCCTGTGCGGGGTGCGCAGTGAGCACACCTTCCCCACGACGGTTTCGACGTGAGTGCCTCGTGTGCATGCGTGTTCCACTTGCACTAGGGGCTGTGCATTACCCTAACTGGTCCTGGCAATTCTGTGAGGTAGGCAGTAGGCCCGGTCCTCTTGTCCCCATTTTGTAGGTGAGGAAACCGAGGCCATGGAGAGGTTCATTCAGTGGTGAAGCCAGGACCTTAGTCTAGAGCACTCACCCTGAAAAGTGGAGCTGTGCTGCCGCACCCTGAAGACAGACGGTAACGAGAGGCCGGGAAACCGCCCCAGGGGACCCTCCTCAGCCCACACGCCCTGAGAAGCGCTGTCCTTCCTGTGTTCACTGTGTTCACTTCTGGAAAGAGCTGTCGGCTCCTCGGTTGCTTTACTTCCACCTGGAGCCTTGCCATGGATATCGGTCATCTGTAGTGGATTCGTGGTGGACGTTTCGGATTTCAGGGTGGTCTCAGCTGGGGACACGGGCTGCGCATTTGTGTCTGTGCTTCTGAGAGTGGGCCCTGTGAGGAACGGCCAGGAGGGGCACGGAGGGCATCCCCGATGGCGCTTCTCAGCAGGGGCCCCGTCCGAGGAAGGGTCAGCCTGTGAGCGGGTCAGCGCGGGTCCTTCAGTAGGACACACAAAACTAATTTGTTCTTACTCCCGGTGACACACTCTTAGTTTCTCTTTTATTAAAAAAAAGTGCTAGTGTAGCCCTGACGGGGGTGGCGCAGTGGGTCGGAGCCTCGTCCTGTACACCAGCAGGTTGCAGGTTTGATCCCTGGTCAAGGGCGCATGCCCGGGTTGCAGGTTCAAGCCCCAGTCCGGTGCGTCCTGGAGGCAGCTGATCACTGTTTCTCACATTGATGTTTCTCCCTTTCCCTTCCTGTCTCTCTAAAAGCGATGAAAGAAACGTTCTTGCGTGAGGATTAAAAACGAAGTACTGATTTATGATCCACTAGTGCGTGGTCAGTAGCACTTTGAAAAACACTGGATGTGAGCCTGGCTACTCTGGGGTCGGCCTCACCTGGGCGCCTGTTAGAACTGCAGGACCGTGGCTCCTCCTTGCGCCACAGCAGAACTGGCATTTTCGTCTGAATTTCAGTAAGGCGACTTGGGTTCACGGCTCAGTTTGAGATGGCCTGGGCCGGAGGACAGTGTCTGACCTGCTGGGCTGGGGAGCGGTCACTGGGGTCATCCTTGCCTGCGATCTGGTGAAACTGGGGGACGCTTTAAGCAGCTGCCTGAGCCCTCATTGCGACCCCCTTCTCCCCACAGCAGATTCAGTCACGCTCTTCCACGGGCAAAATTTCAGATGGTAAGCTCCTTATACAAGGCTAAATTTAAACCACGTTAAATCACTTGGGTTTGTTCTCACGGCTTCCTGCCTGCTATAGGCATGATTGCGAGGAAGCGGAACTTCAGAAACAAGTGCACATGAATTGCAAAGGCAGAGCGAATCACAGGCAGAGACCTGTGGCTTTAATGGAGGGTTGAGCCCCATCCCAAAGCGCCTTTGTGGGCGCTGATTGCTGTGGCATGTGCGTCATCACTTGAGTGTGGGGGGCAAGGGGGGTGCGGGCCTTACACAGGTACGTATACAAAAAACCAGCTGCAGGTTGAGCTAAAAATACCCCCATCCCCGGTCTTCAAAGAAAGGACCCACATCCACAAAACCCTGATTTCGGGGCTGTCAGGGAAGATGAGCCGTGGCAGAGCCGGAGAGGAGAGCCTGTCAGCCCGCAGAATGCCGCCCCTCTGCCTGCTGCTGCTGCTGCTGCTGCCACCGCTCTCAGGGGCCAGCGCTGCCCTTCCCCTGGGGGACGGCCTCGCAGGCCACGACAGCCACAGTGGGGTGAGTAGTCCCTATCTTGGTCACAGGCTAGCCCCCTTTCTGGCCGTCTTGCTGCCTGGCCTACCTGGCCATGCCTGTGGACTCCCAGCACCCACAGGGCCGAGTGTGCAGCACCAGCCGCAGGGCTGCACTTCTCAGGGCCGCCCCCGGGCCTGGGACGTGCACACAGACTGCCGAGTCTTCCTTACCTCCCATTGGAAAGTTCCGAGACTCCGGGCCTCAGTCTGCTCCTCTTTGCCCATGTTAAGTATTCGTACCAGTCTGTTACACAGCGATGGTGGAGTTCACTGCAGGGTCAGCCACTGGCGGGTGCGCGCGCGCACACACAGGCGCGTGCACACACAGGCACACGCGTGCGCGCGCACACACACACACACACACACATATCTAGAATCTTAATTAATGTACCCAGCGCCTGTTCTCACCGGCTCAGATGAATTGACACCATTGCGTTTTTCATTGTGAGAACTCGTAACTTCACGAGGTGATTGATTCTTCTCTTCTTCCCGTTTTGAAAGAGTTCCAAGAAGAGTACATAAAGTTGACCATTAAACATGGATTTTTCTCTGAAATTACCAGATGAGTTTCAGACAAGTCATTTGTCATCAGATTACTCCTAGAAGCTTTCTACGGAGTTTGGAAGACCAGGGGATTGTGTCCCAGTCTGATCTGTCTGGAGGGGCGATTTGTGGCCAGCCATGGGCGAGGGCAGAGACCAGAAAGCCATGCTCTGCCAGCCAGTCACCCCTCGGGGAGAACTGCAGGCCCCAGACCTCTTCGAATGGAGGGCCTCAGCGCAGATGGGTGCCAGCTAAGCAGTCTTTCTCTTTTCTGATTGAAAAGTCTCAACTTCCCCTTTTCTCTGATTAGCGCAATGCAGTTAAACTGTACTCTTAATTTTCTCATCCTTTGAACAGGTACGTGATTTATTATTCTGGAGCATTTTTTTTTTTGAAGGAAGGAAGGAAGGAATTATTTATCTTTCAATGCGGGCTGAGCCAGACGGTTGATTTGTCTTTGTCCTCTCCTTTTCCAAAGCTTCAGCAGGAAGCGGCAGAAATAAAGAAAAACAGCCTGTGGACGTTCCTTGCTCGGTGGCACGAGTGGACCTCCCAGGCCAGGGCGGCCCCCTCCGTGGGCCGGGAAGCCAGGGAGGCCTCCAAACGGCAGGACGGCCCGCGCCCCCAGCAGTCCCCACGCCCGGACAGAGTGCCCTGCAGGAACTTCTTCTGGAAGACCTTCTCCTCCTGCAAGTGAGCCCCACTGTGTCACTCCTGCAAGGGACTGTGACGATGGACCCAAATAAAACGTGTTGAACAGCCGTGATCTTTCTTCTCTATGCAGTTGTCGCCTTGTTTCTGTGTGACTTGAGAAGTGTTTCTAATTTCAGCTCCAGCAACGCCCCGTGCTGAGTATCCTGAGTGATCTGGAACCCAGAGTGGGTGCTTCTGAAAGACCCTCGTGGGTTTGGCTGCATTGCGCCCGGTGCAGCCGCGGGGCTTCCCTCCGCCTTCGCTGTGGGCCTGGCAGCTGCCTGTCCTGTCTCCCTTCCTTTGACTCAGAAGAGCTAAAGGCCACGTATTTCAAAGTCAGAATCACATCTTATTTCAGTTTATATTGATGTAAACTAAGTGAAAATACTTCCCTCATTTTAAAAGCAAATTTTTAATACTGCTCAAAGAGCGAAGTGGTATATTCTTTTTTTTTAAGATTTTTATTTTTAGAGAGAGGGGAATGGAGGGAAAAGGAGAGGGAGAGAAACATCAGTGTGTGGTTGCTTCTCATGTGGCCCCCACTGGGGACCTGGCCCGCAACCCAGCCATGTGCCCTGACTGGGAATTGAACCGGTGACCCTCTGATTCGCAGCCCACACTCAATCCACTGACGTACGCCAGCCAGGGCAAAATGGTATATTTTTCATTATTTAGCAAAGACTTTCACTTAAAAACAAATGCCATCCTATTAAACAGGCATCATTCTGACATGTTTATAAAAGCTACATGCGAACCAGCCGTTACACACAAGCTGCTTTTAATTAGTGCATCAGCAACTTGTTAGAATTCTTTCCGTGGACGAGTGCCGCACGGTTCTTTCAAACCAAAAGCCGAGCAGTGCGTCTGTCGGCCAACTCGCCTCACGGTCCAGGGCGAGGACCTGCGGAGTCACGGGATCCGGGCCGTGTCCAGAGACAGGTGCACACGGACGGGTGTGGATTACGTGTGTGACTGTTGTGTTCCCACAGTCCTCAGGGACTGTCACAGAAGTGACAGTGAATGACGGTCACGGGAGGGGCTTCCGTTTCTGTGATGTCCTTCAGAGCAGCTGTTGGGCCCTGTGTGGGCCGGGGCCTCCCCCTTCCCAAAGGAGGTTAGGAGCAGCCCAGTTACTCCGTTTCAAAACCCTCATGAAACTTTTAATTCTCCCCCATAGCACCAGAGTCCTTGCTCGGTTATACAGGATTACAACTCGTGAATCACAGATTCTGAAGCAAACTTCCAGGGTCATGTTTTCAGATGCTGAACTTCAAAGCTTAGCTTCTTACCTGGAATCAGGCGCAGGCTGGCTGGGGGACACTGTGACGTCCTCTCTGACGCCAGGGGGACAGACACGGAGCCTGACTGCAGGCCGCTCCGTCCTGTTTCCGTAGAGCCGAGCTCGTCTTCCTGCTCAGTAGCTGAGTAAGCGTGTAATGTGATCTAAGAGCCTGAGAGCATCTGCCTGCCTTTCCAAAGGGCAGCTTTCAGGGACCGGGAGCTGGGTCAGCGCACTGGGGGAGGTGGCCTGAAAGACCAGCTGACCTGCAGGACTTGGTCTTCCAGGGTTTTTCCAGAAGAAAAGCATGGCCGTTGTTTTTCAGTTTCAATGGAGGTCATGCACACACAGTCCTTCAGACTGGGACTTTAACTTTGAACTTGGGAACATCGGAAGGCTAATGAGGCTCAACTAATGATACCGCCAGGCGATCCATCAAGTCTCAGCCTGCCTTAGTTCAGGGGAATTAGCAAAGTGTGAGCTGGCGTCAACTGCATGTTAGACCAGATTAATGCGCTGGTGATTAATGAATTAGCGTAAAATGGGTCACTAGGGTAATTTCCCACCATCAGGTTTTCGGTAGACTGTTCTTAGTCTACCTTTCCGTAGTTCGGTCTAGTCAAATGTGGCAATCATCAGCCAGGACAGCTTCTGATTCATTCATTCTCTTTCACTTATTCCCAGCATTTATCACCAGAACAGATCCTTAACTGCTGAGGAAGAGCCGTGACGTAAGCTTGTGACAAAAATCCCTTCCTACTGCTCATCTCTCAGGGCTGACAGCAAACTGACCCGGGCTTTTGGAAACTCAGGCCAGGAGGCTCATGGGAGATACTTGCTTAAACCACTTGGTTTGGTAACAGCACCTGCTGAAGGGATAACCCACATCTTCTAAGTAGCCGTTGCTTTGGACATGGATTGCATTTGGAACACATGAGAAGAGGAAATGTCATTCCGGTGCTAAAAACAAGAAAATTTTCTGTTTCTAGATTAGAAAGGGGAGAGGCAAAGGGTAGCTGAGCAACCCACTATTTGGTTTCTCGTGATCCTCATGTGAATACTCATTTACCCTTTCCTTTATAATTAAGTAGTTAGTGGTCAAAAATACATGTGTTTGCCTTATTAAAATAATTATAGACTGAATAAAGCTCGAGTTGCTTGGTTATAGTTCTTGTAACACAGTGTTGAACACTGAAGAAATTCCAGTGTCTGCACTAACCCGTTGGTTTGCTTCCTTGGAATTGCGCGAGTGGTACCTGATCTAGTTCGGGCGAATACCCAGCGTTGGGGGTCTGCAGTCGCAAAGTTGAATGCCCCTCCTGGGGGGTGAGTCTAGTCCCCTCACTGGCGGCCTTCAAACGGGATGGGGGGAGCCCCCCCTGGTCGGCAGCGTGTTCAGACTAAACATGTTCAGACTAGATCATTTCAAGGTCCTTAAAAACCTCAAGTAATAAAAGGCACAACCAAAACAATTTATGGCAAAACCCTACAAATAAAATGTTGAAAAACCCTGAAAGCAAAAAAAAAAAAAAAAAGGAGAATTAGGAAATTAAACAGCTAAACACCACTCTGGTTAGCAAAGTCACCTTAATAATTCTTGTATTAATGCAGGGCATTTTTCAGACAATTATTTTATTCCTTTCTCTCTGGAAAATGAAAAATCCATTAGTTTTTTTCCTTTTGCTTTTACCCAGAAATTAAAGGTTGGTAAGTGGTAATTAGCACAGCTCCTGTCAAAGCCAATTGCCTAATGGGGGCTGACATTTGACTTGCGGTGGAAGAATGGGACCTGGCTGACGTCGAGTTCATCAGTCCCGGCTGCTTTCTTTGACACTCCTTCTACCGTAAAATGCTCCTGTTTCTAGACAGATTGCTGCAAGGCCACTTGTCTGTGTCAGGACCGGAGGCTCGGGTGGAGGGGGCGCGGGTCACCAGGGGCAGGGCCACGGGTGTGCACCGGCTCTCACCACACCTTGGGGCTAGAGCTTGCAGACCAGGGTCTTGCCCTAGACACCCACACACAGGCAGGCACCTCCTGAAGATGCATCCCCATCTCCTGTCCCTGGGGAAGTGAAAGGGAACCACTCTGTAGGGTACTAGGCCAGGCACAGTGGGCCTTCTCACACGTCATTTAACCCTTCCCATCTCAGGGCCTCACGCTAACTTTACATTTTTGGAAACTAAGGTCTTGAAAGGCTGGACTCCACCTGGGTTTGTCTTACTGCAAAGCCACAGTACTTTTCCCATGACCCTATCCGGGCAGCTGAGATGCTTGGTGAGTTTGTTCCAAGTACAGAATACCAACCGCCAGGCCAGGCAACCAAAGCTCCACTGCGTATTTGACAAAAATAATTCGAGAAAAGGTTTTTAGTTCAGTGGAGCAAAGCTGGAGATGCTGCTGGAACTGGCGAGTAGAAATTCTGTTCTGTAGCTTCCTTTGCTGTTGTGCTGACTGAACGGTGTTCTCGCAGCTTGCTTGCTTCTCATGCCCCGCCAGCATGCTGACTACAATTAGAGATCTTTGGGGCCCTGGCTGGCGTGGCTCAGTGGACTGAGTGCAGGCCTGTGAACCAAAGGGTGGCTGGTTCGATTCCCAGTCAGGGCACATGCCTGGGTTGTGGGCCGGGTCCCCAGTAGGGGACACATGAGAGGCAACCACACATTGATGTTTTTCTCCCTCTTTCTCCATCCCTTCCTCTCTCTTGAAAAATAAGTAAAATCTTAAAAAAAAAAAAAGAATTCTTTGGGCAGTTATGTTGTAGACATAAGAGGCCTTTTCCAGTGGGAGTCGGCTCCGAATCGATTACATCAGTGTAACAAAGTCAGTGTTCGGGCTGTAGAAATGAAGAGTGTGCGGACCTAAGAGAAAACACAAGTGGAAGGAGTGCAGGGATCAGAACCAGACTTGTCTTTGAGTCCCGGCCCCGGGCCGTGACACGAGGCAAGTCACCGAACCTCGCTGAGTACGTCACTCGGGTACAGAGTGGGAGGCGGGAGGCTGCACACCCCCTGCCCAGCTCGCTCAGCTTCGCGAGGCCCTCACACGACAGGCGCCAGCGAGGGGCAGACTGCAAAACTGTGGGAACCGTCTGCTGGCGTGACTGTCCCGCGGGCCCTTTGGAAATGTGCGAGGAAGCTTTCAGCTGTCTCAGCACCTGAAGGTTGCTGGCGGTGTTTGGCCAGTGGGGAAGGGAGGGGGGATAAGTGTCTTCCAGCGACTTATAGGACAATTCCTCACAGTGAAGAATTGTCCCATGTCCCACCTGACTTTTTAAGATTTTATTTATTATTAGAGAGGGGAAGGGAAGGAGAAAGAAAGGAAGAGAAACATGGATGTGAGAGAGAGAGAGACGTCAATCGGTTGCCTCTCCTTGTGCGCCCCCTTCCAGTGACCAAACCTGCAACCCAGGCATGTGCCCTAACTGGAAATTTTCAGCCACCTTTGGCTTTTCAGGACAATGCCCGACTGAATCATGCTGGTTAGGGTGTGGCTTTTGAACGTCCCAATGGGTATTCATATGGATAAAAACATGTTCCAAGTTAGCCCAGCCTGAAACTGACTTCCGTTTGACATAGAAAGTATTTTTTCCAGTTTTAATGTTCCCCGGGTTTTCCAAGAATGCAGCTACCTTGTAAAAAAAAAAGTTATTTTGTTCAGAACGTCAGTGATAGGGAAACCCCATTACAAAGGGCAGTGCCGCTCCCTGCGCGGTCGGCACGGTCAGACACAGAGACGCACTGATGAGCCATTTTATTGGAAATCACTTCCCTCGTTTCTTCTGAAACACCACGTTCGGGGGGTTCTGTCGGTGCTTCTCAGAGCACGTGCGTAGGTAAGTCGTCAGCCCTGGCCCTCACTTAAGGATAATTAAGGAGGCAGAACAAAATATGCTGTCAAAAGAGCGAATGCCGGGGCCAGGAAGGCGGAACCGCACGGGGAGGGCGTCAGGGAAAGGGGGATGAGTACAGCTGAGCCCTCCTGGAAGACCCCAGGCGGAGGAACGAGTTCTTTCTGTTCCGTTTTTGGTTTCTGTGCCCATCCTGGCCTCAGGACTTAGTTTTATTTCTCTATTTAATAACTAGCCAATGTATCGCTTAATAGCATTCTATTTTCCTCTAAGCATGCTTAAAAAAATAAATCCCTGATAACCCATGACCTTTTCCCTGCAAGGAGACTGCGCTGCAGATACGAAGCCTGAACCAGACATTCGTGCAGAAACAGGAGGTGCATAAACAGAAGTCGCTGCTTTGCTCCCAGAGACTTGGAGTCGCATCGCGTGGAAATAGACTTACTGGCCTTTTATGCCCCCTGCTGATAAAACACATTGGAAAGCGGAAAGAGTTTCAGATCTGATTTCATAATACTGAGTTAGTACTAGAAATGGTGAGGTCTCCGTATGTCCCTATGGCCTGCCAACTTAGTATGTGCCTTCAGACAGACAGATGAAAAGGTCCATTACCTTGAGAACAAGTGTGTGTGTGTGGCCGTAATCAACACTGTTACGTCACCTTCTCTGCCATAATGTGTCTGAGTTCTGCATTTCCATCTTTAGCGCATAGCGGTGAGTCTGAAATATGACAGCTTCTTTCCGCTGCCCTTCGCCTTGGCTTTAAAACAGAGAACATGCAATGACTAGAGGAGGTTTGATCCTGCTGGTGCTGCTGCAGGGTTCACAAGGGGCAGAAGGGCGGGTGCCGAGATCTGGAACAGTTTTTCTGGAGGCGGCACGGAGCCCGTCTTCCAGGCACTTCCAGGAGAACGCACTCAAAAGCGGAAGAGGGGGGAACAGTTACACAGGCGGCTGAAACGGTTGGAAGCATTTACTGATGACAAGAACCAAGGTCACGGGTTCTCTTTGGCAGGTTTGCAGCCCCAGCTACGTGGGGTCCAGTCTGGCCCGTTTGGGAGCCTGCGGTTCTCCGGGCGGCGAACTCCTCCCGACTGAAACACCCCGGAGAGCCCGCAAACTCTGGATCTGCTGGAGGCGCAGGCTCAGCTCCTCGCGACAGGCCTGCTGGACAGCTTCCGTCTTCTTTGTGTCCCAGTTCAAAGCAACAGCCAGTGCTTTGGGGTCTTCCTTGGTAACCAACTGCGGCAAGAATAAGAACCACTGAGAACCACTGCCTCCGCCCGCCTCGCCTGCCGCTCCCACGGTGTCTTTAGAGCCGTGAGGTTAGGTGACACTGTTATGTCCCCGCCGAAATGCCAGGTGTCCTTCATGTTAAACTGTTATGGGCCTTACCACACAACACCAGGAAAGCCTCCTCGGAAGGAAGTGTATTTGGAGTAACCACACGTCCTTCACTGACAGGAAATGTAGCCAAGGGAAGGCCACACGGTTTCCTTCCAGCTACACTGGGGAGGCGGCTGGGACAGGGCCAGGGGCCGGGAAGGAGGGAGAGCCCCTGCTGCGGTGGCTTCCAGCCCTCGGTGTGCGAGCCCCTCCGGACGCCTGCCCTGTGCCAGTGTCTGTGCCTCGACTGCCTACGACTCTCCCTCAGCCGCTGCCAGAACCTGAGCCGCGTCACAGGCTGGAGCCCCGCTGCTCCTCCCTGTCCGGGTCGGTCGTGGATGGCATCGCCCGCTCGCATCAGAAAGTCACGTCTGGTGATCTGCGGGGGCACCTCCACTTTCTTTCGGCCATTCTGATTTAGAGTACACGAGATGTTTGCAAATGCTTTGGCATATGATACTAGGCAAATGGGCAGCTAAGATTTGGGGTTTGCAGCAGTGAAAAAAGTCCCACGCAAGCCTCTGCAGGGCTCTCCCACACCTTTGGGGGAGCTGTGCTCTGTGCTTCAGGGCCCCTGGCTCTCGCCCACCTCCAGATCCTGACTAGACAAACTCAGCGCTGGGACAGGCTTCTCCTTCAGTGCAGTAAGGATCTGGCTTGAGAGGGCAGTTTCCGAGGAGCTCGCTCTGCTCACACCTGCGTCCACGGCGTCCCTCTCGTCACTGAAGCCAGCTTCGGGCTCTGCAAAGCAGACGTGACATGGACATCAGCCACACCAGCCAGCCAGAACAATCGGGAGGCCAAGACAGGAACCTGGCATCTCAAGACGCCAGGCAACTGTGGCCTCACTGTTGTCGACCAGGTTACCATGCTCGTTCCACGTGGTTTGTTGCCACGGCACCGACTGCTCGGTGGCGGTCCCCAGCCAACGCACCCTACCTTGCTGCTTTGACAGGACGCTGCCCTCCTTCTCCAAAGCCTGGAGGTAGAGTTCCAAGAGCTGCCTGGACTGACGGGCTTCCTCCCTCTGGTCAAGCACCTGCTGGAGGGCGTTCTGCAGCCCCTGGACTGTGACGCGGCTCTGGCCAAGCTCCTGGGCCAGGTCTGAGCAGGGCACGTCGATGAGCACCTGCCAAACAGCACAGACTCTAAGAAACCGAAAACCGTTTTCCGAGCCTGGTGCCCCCTCTCTCAAACTCATCAGTTCCTGAGGCACATTTAACCTACTTTCCTACGTTACTTAACATGGCTGCCTAAGAATCACGAGAGAGAGACACAGTTTTTTCAGTTTTGCGCTGGTGAAAAAATTGAGAAAATGATGCCCTAGTGCCTCATTAAAAACTAAACAAAATCCTGATATTAGAAAATCCAGTTGTTCCCTGGCTGGTGTGGCTCAGTGGACTGAGTGCCGGCCTGTGAACCAAAGGACCGATGGTTCAATTCCCAGTTGGGGCACATGCCTGGGTTGCGGGTCGGGTCCCCAGTTAGGGGCACGTGCGAGACAACCACACAGTGATGTATCTCTCCCTCTTTCCCCCTCCTTCCCCTCTCTCTAAAGATAAATAAAATCTAACCCCCCCAGTTGTAAGGAATATAAAGGAAGTATATGGTTATTTATAAACTGAATTGATAAGAGGTTATTTCAAGCAAAAACTTTTTCTAATAATTTTAACCTTAAACATTTTTATTATACAGGTTCTTAGCTTTAAAAGCCTCTATTTGTGGAGGTTTTTGTTGTTGTTTTTGAAGACTTTATTTACTTATTTCTAGAGAGAGAGGAAAGAGAGAGAGAGAAACATCATTGTGTGGTGGCCTCTCACATGCGCCCCTAAGTGGGGACCTGGCTCACAACCCAGGCACGTGCCCTGACTGGGAATCAAACCAGCAACCCCTTGGTTCACAGGCTGGAGCTCAATCCACTGAGCCATACCAGCCAGGACTGAAAAAAGACTCCTTTTAAAATATAAACTATACTAAGATTTCTTTTTAAAAAAGATTTTGGCCCTTTGGAGGGGAAGGGAAGGAAACAGAGAAATGACTGGATGCCTCCTGTACGCGCCCCATCGAGTTGGCGACCCTTCGCTTGCAGGATGATGACCAAGCCGCTGAGCCACACCGGTCAGGACTAAAGTGCACCAAGCTGTGAAATAACATGTTCAGTCTGAAATGAGAGAGAACTCACATACTATACCCTGAATCTGCTATAAGAATCATTTTGAAGGCGGCTCATTCCTTTGGCACATACTAAATTAAAGACAGTCTTCATAAAGAAGATCTGACTGTTGAAACTCTGAAGTCACTGAAGTCTCCTGACTGATTTTTGTCATCTGTAAAATGGGGCAGTACTGGCACCTGCGTCATCAAGTGCCTTCCTCCCGAGTGTCTGTCCTTCCCTCCCACCTGTTCTCACTGCCCCAGGTCCCCGCTATGGTGGCGCCTTTTCTCCATCCCCTGGGCCAGCCTCCCTAAGTCCCCTTTACACGCCCTCAACGTCCCTGCAGAGCCCAGCGTCAGGGCGAGTGCTCACTCACGTCCCGACGTCCCTATTTTGTAAGGCCCATAGTGCTCCTTCATCTGAGGGGACACCAAGTACTCAAGTCTGCTGGGCTGGGGGGATCTCACGACCCCCTTCCCTTTCTTAAAAACAAAGAAACAAAAAACAAACCAAAAAACCAAGCTTGCTCCTGCCTTCCCCCTGCCTGCGGCGCTCTGGCCCCAGCCTTTCCCAGGCAGGCTCCATCTGGTCCTGCGGCTCAGTTTACCGGTCACCTCTCGGAAACCTGCTGGTGTGTATCAACTCGACCTCTGATTCTTATCCTGTTCGTAAACACGTGTACAAAAGTGAGCACCGTCTGGGATAGCGAGACTGAGGCCGGCCCAGCGCCCCCAAGCGGGGAAACCTCAATAAATGGAGCGTGGACACAGCACGCACAGAATAACACTGTGCAGAGGTCAGGAAGGCCCGGCATGTCTTCTGTGCACTGATCCAGACACACTCTGACACTTCTTTGAACATGGAGTGGGTGCACTTCCACGTGTGTGAAAGGGGGACGGGCAGCATGTGTGTGCTGTGCACAGGAGAGCTCTGAGGCAGGAGGGAGCCGGCGGATGGGCTGTCGCCAGGAAGGGAGCCTGGGGGACAGGAGTCAGACCTCCCGGCACACCCTTCCCCGCCCCGATCTCACTGGGGTGGAATTCCCACCCCGCGCACTTGCCCCATGTGAAGTGTACGGCTTGGTGAGTTTGGGCACATTCACAGAGCTCTGCAATCAGCCGCACGGTCATTCTAGAACATTTTCTGTCGCTGTAGGATCGTGGGCTCCGGCCTTTCCACTACAAAGACAGTTGTGAAATCCGTGGCCTTTCACGTCTGGCTTCTTCCCCTTAGCGTTAGGTTTCCAAAGCTTACCCACACTGCGGTGCGCATTAATACTTCATTCCTTTTTACAGCTGAATATTGCATTAGATGGATATAGCACATTTTATTTATTCATCAGCTGATGGGCATCTGGGCTATTTTTACTTTTTGGCTACAGGATATCCTTCTATACCTCTTGGATTTTTAAACATGTGACTGCATCCATATTATTTATTCACAATCAGTACGTAAGTTTACAAAATATGCTAAAGGTCACCTCCTTGAAGGGGGGCCTTCCTCTCTTTTGTCAAAACGGGACTTCCCTGAGCTCCCGGATCTTGAGTGTCCCCATCACTGTCTGCACACCGCCCTGCGCCGCAGGTTTCTTGGTTTGCCTGCCTCCCCTCATCAGAATCCGAGTTCTGCCAGAGCGGACGGGGCCGCCTCGTTCACCACCGGACCCCCAGTGTGCAGAGGCACGCCACACACACAGCAGGGCTCGATAAGTAGTTCTTTGAATTAACACGTTATTTTATCCCAATGGTACTAGAGGTAACACTGGCAGAGACGCTAAGTTACTGGCTCAGAGTCATAGTGACGGGTCTGAAATTTGGCCGAGCCACGCCCACTCCACACTCTCTGGTAAGAACGTCCTCCCCCCAAAGTGGGCCTAGGTGGGGCCTGGGAATCTGTATTTTTAATGATTTTATTTCCTCTTTTTTCCTAGAGAGAGAGAGGAAAGGAGCGAGAAAGAGAAGGAGAGACGCATCAGTGTTTGACAGACACATTGATGGGTTGCCTCACACGTGCCCTGCCCCCGCAGCTGGGGACCTGCCCCGCAACCCAGGCATGTTCCCTGACTGGGAATCGAACCGGCAACCTTTTGCTTTACAGGCCAGTGTTCAATCCACTGAGCCACACCAGCCAGGGCTGGGCATCTGCATTTTTAAAAAGCTTCACAGGTGATTCTGATCCAAGCTGAGGGTTGAAAAAAATTCCTACTCCAGGTGAGAGAATTAGAAAATGAAGAATCTTGGTTATCATCTAAGAAACATTTAAAAATGAATAAATAATAAAAATGTCATGGCAAGACGTATGGAGACTCAGACGACACTGGGGGCGGCGGAGGCCAGGTGCGCGGCCGTGGGCTGGGGCGGAGGCTTACTTGGAGGTCCCCCTCTGAGAGGAGGACGATGCTGGACAGGTCTTCTTTCAGCTGCCTGGCCACGTTCTTCCACCTGAGCCCCGCTCCGCTGTCCGTCTCGTCTATGTCCATGGACTCCTGGGAAATCCAGGCGGTGCCGCCGTCTGGTAAGTGGGGGGAAAGGCCAGTCAGTCGGACGCACTGACACGCGGTTTCCCCTCCTCCCCGCACACCCGCGGCCCTCCAGGATGTCTGCACGTCCTTCTGACTGGCCGTGGGGAGTAGCTCAACGGAGGAGCTCCTTTTCTCAAGGGTGCATGTGAAAGCCACGCCACAAGCAGGACCTTAATTTTCCCTCTAATTCCATCTTCACTTTAGTTCTGTAGGTAACTACTCTTTATTCTTTTAGGGAAAGAAGCCACTTAACCCCCCTGGGTGGTCACGCCTAGCCAGGCTCTGCCCACACTTCCCTTTAAGTTAGTTCTTGTCCCCGGGCATGTGCTGATTTTGTACACAAAATGTGATTCTCAGGAGCTCGCCTGTGCTTGAGGGTCGGTCTCATCCTCGACCAGAGGAGCTGCGGCCGTGGCTGTGTGTGGGGCCGAGTGCAAAGGGGGTGGTAGAGCCACTGCTGGAGGTTCATTCCTCCGTTTAGAGGCGCGAGGACTTCCCTTAGGCACTTCCTTAGTGCCGTGACCCTGGCTCATCAGTATTAGTTCCCTTTGTATCTCATTTCTTGGGCCCTTACGGAGTGACAGGTAAGATCCAAATGCTTTCTATCAGTGGTTCTCAACCGACAATGAGTCGGCCTGCCAGGGAACATGTGACAATGACCGGAGGCACCTCTGGCTGTCTCGGTTGGGGTGAGGAGAGGTGCTGACGTCTAGAAGGCAAAGGCCGCAGGTGCTGCTACACTTCCTGCACAGGACAGCCCGCCACAAAGTTCTCCAGCCCAAAACGTCAGGAGCATTGTTGAGAAACCCTGGTTTGATGGGCACTGTGTTCCAGTGTCCTCACGGCACCCCTGGGACACAGGTACCGTGATTATTCTCTCAAGAGAGTGCCGAGAAGTCAGGTCATCTGGCCAAGGTCACATGGCCAGTAAGTGGCAGAGCCAGGGTGCAGAGCGGGCAGCCTGCCTCTTCCCGGCTGCGTTTGTTTCTGTCGGCCTGTGAGTCACTTGAGAACCAGACCTGAGCCTCACCCCAAGAGTCGAGTCACTTGAGAACCAGACCTGAGCCTCACCCCAAGACTCAGTGCATACCTGGCATACAGAAGGCGCTCAGTAAACCTGGGTCGAGTAAGTGCTTAGCCAGCCAGATAAACAATAGCCATGTTCCCACCCAATCAAGTGACTCGTGATGGCTGTCGTGTTGCACAGGCCACTTGGCACGCGGCTGCCCTCCTTACCTGAGTTGCTGTATGCCCACTTTTCATTACCGGCCAATGCCACGAACTTCGTATTAGAAGGCAGACACAGGAAGTAATCGTCATCGTCCACTATGGTGCCGTCCTCTGCCAGGACCAGGGTAATTGGTGCCAGGGACTTATCGATGGCCAGGATGTCATAGGCTGAGAGAAGTAAAATATTTGGCAATTGAGAAGTATCCATAAGGAAACTACGTCTGTCCTGTCGCTCTCAGTGTGTATGGCCCCGAGGCCCAGCAGAATTCCCGTAGGCAGTAACTACAGTAACAGTCGCAACTTTTAGTAGCACTGATACAACACTGTCACATGTCTGGTCCCGTTCTCAGTGCTTTTCCTAGGGAGTGTTCATCTGGTAACAATCCTATACGGTAGGTACTATTGTTATTCCCATTTCACAAATATCACACCCAAGGCTCAGAGAGTAACTTTAAGTTACTCAGTAAGTAACCTTCCCAAGATGACACAGTAAGCAATAGAACTGGGATTTACACCCAGAGTCTGGCTCGATTCCTTGTAAACGAGCAGTCTTTCTTTCACTCATTTATCCAGTGGTTATCTTAAGTTCTTGTGTCAAATGCAAAGAAAAAAGAAAAGGAAAAAGGTAATGCTTTTATTCTTTGTAGTACCTTTCTTTATAGGCTTTATAAACTTGGGAAAGAACAAAGAAGCAGAAGCTTGGATCAGTAGCTTTTCATCTCATCACGGGGCAAGAGGCCTTGTCCAGGGCAGGTTGGTACCATCCCATTTAGTGATGGCAAAACCTATAAATATCCTCAGGCAGTGTCGTCTGCCACCAAATCTGTACAGAGTACAGCAGGCAGAGCACTGAAGGGAACCAAAACTACCCCGATGCCAAGAAAAAAATGCATAACCGCTTATGTGGCAAATGCCATGTCACTAAAGCATTTACACTACTTTGGCTGCTCCTGGGTCTCTGAGAGACGTCTGTCCCCTGGGGGGTGATGACTCTGAGGGGAAGCACTGAACACGGGTACACACTGTGACTACATGTCCGGGGACTACTCACTCGTTTAGCAGGTAGAACTTTGGTTAAACAGTCTGATTGAACAGTTTACTGCTATGGACTAATAACACTTGTAAATTACATGTATGTATCATCTCCTTTGACAGTCCCAACAATCCTGGGAAGCAGGGCTGTAAAAGGCATTATACCCACCCCCTTTGCCAATGAGAAAACTGAGGGTAGAGAGATAATTAAGTGCAAGGTCAAGCAGCTATACAGTAACAATATGGAACTGGGACTCATAACCTCTGTCACCTCGGTCGCTCACAACATCGATTCTTGTCTGGACCCCCTGCATGCTCGGTAGCAGCTCCCTCTTTACTGCGCAGGTAGATCCCTGTCAGAGCTGAGGGTGGACACCTGCCCCACCCTGCATGGGCTCAGCTCCAGGCGCCAATAACACCAGTCCGACACCACGCTGGACTGATCCAAAATCTAAGTGGTTTTAGTCAAGGTACCCAAGTCGCGTCTTAATTTTCAGTGCTTCCTGTCTACCTTCCACCATGATGAGTCTCACACGAGCTAAGTTAAAGCGCTTGTAAACGCTTTGAAAACTTTAAATAGCTATGCCCACGTTGAGTCATTTCTCACTCAAGGCTACAGAAGCTTCAAGAACCCCAAATCGCCTCTCCTCGCCACCCCCTTGCCCGCCCGCCCGAAATCCTTGCCCGGTCCCGGATCCCCTCAGCCCGCGACCCGGCCCCCCAAGCCCTCGCCCGGGTCCCGTGCCAACCCTTGCTCTTCAGATCGTCCAGGCAGGAGGCCGCCACGCCGTGCTGTTCGCGGCTGTGGTTGCGGCGCAGCAGACACGGCTTTAAGGTCTGATTCTCTCCGGGTTCCGGAGCCCCAGTGTCCCGGACCCCCTCCATCCTCTTCAGAGGGCCACCTGATTGACTCTGGGAAGTCGGGGAAGCCAGCTGCCGGTGTCCCCCTGCCCGACCCGGGTCCTGCCGGGAGATGGAGTTCTCTCTCTAGCAAATCGCGCGTGGGACCAAGGCACGCTGGGAGATGTAGTTCTAATGGATACTAATCACGTGCGTCCCCTCGGGCCATGCTGGGAGCTGTAGTTTCTGGATGCAAAGCTGACCTGGTTACTTGCGCAATTCTACCTAGGAGTTGTAGGGATTTATTTAGTTTGTAGAGATTCATGGACGCACGTGTGTACTCCGTTGACTTTTTAGAGAACTCCTATCAGCCTATATAAATGCTGTCTTTCATTGTCCTGTGTTAATTTGCTTTCCCTTTCTAACCTGAAAAGATCTGCCAGATGTCCCGCTTTCGGGCTGATCTGAAGGAAGTCAATTTAAAAAATTGATGAGTGTGTTTTTCAATCTTGCTGAAAAACGTAACAGAGAAGGCTAGTATACTCGCACGTATCCCTGCTTCCCTGTGCCAACTGGGTTGGACTCAACAGAATGCTTAAACAAACAGATTCAGGACTGTGGTCTAAAAGAAATCAGAGAGGAAAGTGGAAATGCGAACATCATTACTGAGCTTGTCCAGATGCTGTTTAACAATCTATTCGTTCTCGTTCTAATACTGCTACTTATGGAAAAGTCTGCCCCCCCCCCACGAAAACCCAATATTTAAGGTAAAAATAATAATCAAAAAGTATTTCTTCGCTTAAAAGAGGTTCGTTTGTGTAAACAAATAATTGTCAGCCCACATTTATCCGGGGTCAGTCTCATATTTTGCTTGTGAAAGGAAATGAGCTCTTGTAAGAAAAAGGTAGCTGCAACACTTTTTGAGTGTCCCACAACCGATCAAATCGCAACTATGACAAGAACTGGGGGTTCCAGTGTACGCAACCCTTCTGCGTAAAGTTCACGTTTACACTCTCCTCGCCCAGAAACCCCCCGTTCTGTGTTTTAACGGACTTCACACTCTTATCAGACTCGCCTCCAACGGGCTGTGTGTGTGTCTTTGGCCTGGACTTGGGAGCAGGGGTTGTCTTGGATCTTTTCACTTCTAGCGCCTACCAAAGTGCCTGGAAAATGGTAGGCGCTCAATAAGGGGTACTGAATTGAACCATTAATCAATTTTCATTCATTCATTCATTCATTCATTCATTCATTCATTCATTCATTCATCCATCCATCCATCCATCCATCCATCCATCCATCCATCCATCCATTCATTCATTCAGTACTTAGCGAGTCCCTTACGTGTGCCCAATGCAGTGTGGGCATGTGGGGATGGGCAGAGATTTAATTCAATAATAATAATGTACATATAACAATACAAAAAGGACAGACCTCGGATCTTTTTGGAGAGCAGAGACCTAATGAAAACTCTGCGAGATGACTGGGACATGGGAATTCCCCCCACCTCTCTGATGCCCCCCATCGACAGGCTCGGTTCCGGCTACTTTAGTCTGGGCGGGAGGGCGCGAGCCGGGGCGTTCGGGAGAAGCCTCGCCCCGCGGAGATAGATTAGTCAGGCCTCAGAAAGATGGCGTCCTCGGAGCAGGCAGAGCAACCGAGCCAGGTGAGGGGAGTGGAACTGCCCTGCCCGGGTGGCGGAGACCCCGGCTGGAGGGGGCGCTCGGGTGCGAGTGGAAGTCGGATGGGGACCCTGCGCCTCCGAAACCCGGGCCCGGACCTCTTGCCCCCTCCCGTGCCCCGCCCCTCTCCAGGTCCGCGCCGCCCGGCCCCTCCCCGCTGACCCCTCTTTGACCGCATTCCCAAGCCCGGGCTCGGGGCGCCCGCAGGTCCCACGACCGGTCAGCCGGACCCTGGGCTCTCACTTGAGCTTGGCCGGGTCGGTGGCGGGACCCTTGAGAAGCCCCCAGCCTTGCGCTGCGAGGGCTTCTGCTTGAGGAGAGGAGTGAGAGAGGCTCGGTGCTTCTGGGCTGTCCTTCCGGGGAGGTGCCTGACTCCATCAGGCTTTCCCCCACCCCACCGCCGGCCTCTTTGTCGTTTGTCACCTTCGCGTTTCCTTTGCCAAGTTGGTGGGTCGTCCCCTCTCAGTGCGTTGGTAGGAAGGGGACTCACTGTAAACAACAGATGCCACCAAGCTTTCTGCCGAGGAGCCGTCCTTGCTTCCCAGAGTTGGGCTGTCTCGGCCGAGATCTCCGCTGTAGCTTTTCAGCCACAGGTTCTGCCAAACCTCACCCCGTGAAGGGGACCTTGAGGACCAGTGCTCGCGCCTGTAGGCTGCTGTCGGGGAGCAGTGGATGGGGAGGCCTCTGCGGGGCTGGGTTGGGATGGGGGTAAGCGGCACCTTACATTTACTGAGTATGTGCGTCATGTCGAGGACGAATTACGTTTATTGTCTCGTTTAATGCTCACTAGAAAACCTTTAGGAAGCCCAGGCAATCCTTAAGCACCATTTTGCAGAAGTGGAGCCTAAGGGCCTGCAACCTGCCCTTAATCGTGTGCCCGACTGAGCCTGGATTTAAAGCCAGGTGTGTGCGACTCCACTGGTCAGCCACACGCATCGTTTAAATTTAGTTGGAATCAGAGGAAGGCGAAAATGATTCAGCCTGGACCTCATCACTCATCTTGCTTCCTGCTTGAAACACCTGTGGACTTTTCCGCTGCCTTTGGGCATTTCACTTCCTTCCCAAGCAGAACACCACCACTTAGAGGTTCCCACTGTTTCTCTCTTCGGGATGAGTTTATTGGAGGGTCGGCACTTAAAGAGGATCGCGTGTTTCCCAGACCAGCTTCCGTTAGCAGAGTGGACGATTGGGAAGGATGATGTCTGGGTTGTGAGACATGGGAAGTAATGGGGGCTGGTTCTGGCCGCCTCACTGTCGGGGATTCTGGAGCGTGAGGCGTGTTCTGAGGGAAGAGCCCCTCTTTTCTCACCTTGCCCCCTGCAGCTTGCTGGGATGCCGAGGCTTCTCCGTACTGTTCTGTGTTGGGAGGGCCCACAGGCTGGATTAAAGGTTGCCTTCAGTCCTCGATTCTTCTAGAACATCTCTTTGCCATTGCTGTGAACATTACTATAAACCTTGCCCCTTGGAGCCATTGTAGTGTCCACGAATTTCTTTGGTTCTGGAAATTGCCCTCTTCGTATGTGTGGAAAAGACCCAAGTTCCTTTAAGAAGCTTGGCCAGTACTTATTTGGTTTTCAGCTCTGCTTCTCCTTTGCCCTCCTTTCCAAGCCTGGGAGGGATGGGATTGCATCAGAATACGCCAGCAGCCAGGAGAAAAACTCGAACTCTTCATGCCAAATTCTCTTACTTTCTAACAATGACCAGCAAAAGCACACTTGTTCAGTCCTCACCTGAGGATATGTTTTTACTGATTTTTTAAAGAGAGAGGAAGGGAGATGGGAAGAGAGGGAGAGAAGGAAACATCGGTCGGTGGGTTGCCTCCTGTACACACCCTGACTGACTGGGGCTGGAAGTCGCAACCTAGGTTTGTGCCCTGACCTGGACTCAAACCTGCAACCTTTTGGTGTAGGGACAACTGCTCTAATGTGCCGAGCTGCTGGCCGGGACCAAAAGCCCACTTTTTCAGTGAACCAGCTCCTTTTACCAGTTCCTTGCTGTTTGATATTTAGGTCCTGATCCACCTGGTTCCCCATTTCTCTAGTCAGAGTGGAGTGGAACTGGAAGGACTGTTTGGAGAACCTCCCAAACCTGGTTTGTATGTGAGCAGAGCTGAGTCCCCCTGTGGGGCCGAGCCAGTGTCCTGTCAGAGTTTGTTGGCTGGCCACGTGGCACCGGTACCTCGTTTTGAAAGGTCAAGGGTGAATGGCCAACCCTTTCTCCCTTTAACAGGTGATGCAGAGCGGTGGTTAAGAGTACGGGCTCTGACGTCATCTCCACTGGCTTGGACTCCAGCCCCTCTATTACCAGCGGAGTGATCTAGGGTAACTTACTCAACTCCTCCGGCCTTAGGTCCTCTACCTGTAAAACAGGAATGAAACTAGTGCCTGCCTTATGGGGCTGCCCTTGAGGATGAAATGAGTTATGTTAGAATAGTGCCCGACACAGTGTCTTTTACCTATTATTCCATTCAGTGAACTCTGTGTTTTCATTCACAAGGGATCTCAGCCTTCCCTCTCGAGTCCTATTACAATGTCTTTTGGGGTATGATTTCTCATGTTGTCCACTGAAGTTCTTTTGTTCTAAAGTAATTTCCTTGAAATTTAAAGGAACACCCCAAAGGCTGGTCAGATTTCAGGGCCAGAGCTGCTGTTTTCACAGCGGTAAGTGGTTTCAGTCTGTCTTCAAGGGAGTCTGCTGGCATTGCCCTTGTTGCTTCCTGTCCTTGCTGTCTTTCTCCACATTACTGGCTAATCTTTAATCAGAGTCCCATCCGGGCTATACCTGTTGTGGCCCACGGGAAGAGGAAATGTTAGCCCTGGTTCCATGTTTCCCCACAAGATAGTTTGCCTCCAGTGGAGAGTAGGGGCATAGACCGATCTGATTGTTTGATGCTTGTGGAGTATGGAGTATTATCGCAGGACCTCGATTTCACGTCTGCGGAGGCTTACTGGACATAGTAAATTTCGGATTGAGGAAACTGGAAGCAGAAAAGAGACGTGCCCAGGGACCACGTAGGGAGCAGAATAGCAGGGCCTCGTGCCTGACAGACTTCAGTCTGAACCCCGGCATTCTCTAAACTACTGGGCTTGTCCCTGCAGCTCTTTGAGCACCAGTTTTCTCCTCTATAAAACTGGAGCGATAATTGTTATCCTGGAGGGTAGCTCTGAGGGTCAGCTGAAATCACGGCTGTGAAGAGTGTGTCGTGTAAACTAAGTGCTCAGTAAGAGTTAGTTTTCTTCTCCATGTCTCCCAGTGAAGTTTTGGAAGGCCAAGAACTCTTTTAAAAATTAAAAAAATATATTGATTTTTAGAGAGAGGAAGGGAGAATGAGAAAAAAAGAAAACATTGAGATGTTCACCCATTTTTGCATTCATTGGTTGACTCCTGTAGGTGCCCCGGGGGATTGAACCTGCAACCTTTCCTTATTGGCATGACACTCCAGCCAAGTGAGCTGCCCACCCAGGGCTGGAAAGCTAA